CCTTTCAATTGCACTCTAACATTTTATTAATTTGAAATTACTTTGATTGGTGGTGATGTAGCTGTAATGTTTTTAGTTTAAAAAAGGTAAAGTTCATTGGGAGAGATGATCATTTTGATTGAATCTGAGAAGGATCTTGCCTGCATGAAAATTTGACTATTAGTAAAAGCCTCTCCTTACTAAGCACCAGAAATTAATTTCATTAATCTTTGACAAGGTCTTGAATATTGCAGAATCCTGCCAATGTATGCTCTGAAATGGCTGTAATTTCTCAGCCTTACTGGCTTCTTTGTATATTTCTATTTGACAACTCAGATTTTAAGTTTTTGGAAGTAAAATGTCACTCTTCTGCTTACTGTTCTTTAGGCAAATTATTCTTTTGTCACATTGCTGGATGAAGTGGATGCTGACCATGCTAATCAGAGTGTATTTATGTAAAGGCAGCAGCTGTCAAGGGAAGGCACTGTGATCTGTACTCCCCAACACTGGTTATAGGGACTCTCCAGTCTTGTTAAGCTTTTGCTAAGTATCCAATTCTTTTATAAAGTGAAACTCAGTCACAAAGGGAGTGACTGAAGTCTCCTAGCTACTGGCCCAGCTTCAGTCGGGATGAAGATCTAATGCCTTGGATGCCATTCATATTTTCTGTTTAAAGAGTTCTTTTTTTCTTGTGCAGGAGTTTAAATAAGCCCATCTGGAAGTCATCTCTGCAGACTGTTTCGAGAGCAGCAAGCAATACTGGTAAGGACCAAGCAATACTGGTAAAGTAAAGACTGATTATTTTTTTTCTTTAATCCTGTCATAGTCCTATTCCATAGAACACTGACATTTAATTTACATGCCAGCATATTTATACCATGGGAAGAAACGAACAGGTGAACACCCACTTCTGCAGAACACAAATGGAGTTCTCTAAGTATTTCCTCTAAGTATTCTTTGTAAATGAAATGAGTCAGCTATGCAGAACAGCACCGCCCTGCAGGCTCCGTGGCAGGGATGTGTGGTGAGTGACAGGAACTGGGTAAGTTTGCATGCCAGTGGGAGCAGTGAAATAATTTCTCATGCTAAGGCTGGCTGTACAAGCTGAGGTTTTCCCAGTCTCTCAGGAAATGCTGTTCTTCCTCTCCACACACTGGGTGCTGCAGCTGGCAGCTCCTGGCAGCTGCAGGAAGGCTCTTGCCATAATCCTCTCCTGATTCCACTAAGCATAAGCTCACATGTGATCTATCTTAGGGTCTCAAAGAAAAAGAACACTGGGGGGTGTCTTGCTAACACTTCAGTTGATGGTATTTGGCACAAAAGGTAGGTCACCATATCTTGGAGTGACTCCTCTGTCACTCTAAGTGCACATTTTGACTTGATGACACCATGGGAGATGCCAGACTCTTCTTGTTGTTCCAAGTAGTGCGATCCTGATGTTTATCACTCACATTTACCTGTCCAAGTCACAGCTAAAGTATCACCTATTCAGAGCTACTCCCTAATTAAAACCTTGGCAGGTTGCACCTAGAGTTTTTCTGTTTCAGTATATAACTTCGCTGGCTCCAGGTCTTTTGACCTGGTCTTTTGAAATTCCTGGTCAAACACAATTTAGTATCCATCTGCCAGACTGCTCTGTCCCAAAGCATAAATTACAAGCAACTGAAGCTCATTTTAGGGATGTAAATACAACTGACTTCCAACTCATTAATTCCAACTCATTGATCCATTAATTTCAAATCATTAATTAAATTCAGTGGTGATGAGATAGTCTAAAAAAATACCTTGAGGGATGAAGATGTTTTTCCAAACTTCAGTCAGCATGTCCACATTGCATCTTCTATGCAAAACAAAACAAACTCCAGGAACAACTGAATTTTATATTCTTGTGTTTGTGTCATATCGTTATGTCTGCAATGTAAGAAAATAAGTCTAAATTAGGCCAGATCTCTTGAAGGTCAGACCAGATACTCTATGTGTTAAAAGCTGTCCTTCAGTGAAGTTTTATATGAATACCAGTGAAAGGAAGACAGTCTCAGACCCCTCACTTGCAGAGTAATGCATTATTGCAAAGGATTGTTTTCAGGTTTTTTTCTGTAATGCTGAGCTCCCACGTGCTGCTTCTTTCTGCTGAGCGAGGATATGAAAGGCTCAATCATCTCTTTGCAGTTTACTCTGAGACTGTGGGCAGGCATTGCTGCTGGAGATGCCAGAATAGAGCAGGTCCTGTCCCCATCACATCTCTTAGTTTTGATCCTCTTTTGAATCCCTCTCAGTTCTGAATCCTCTGAATCTTCTGAGTTGCTGGGCTGCCAGAGACAAGTTTTTTTAATGAGTCTGTTTTATGGATATTTGTGAGTCATTCAGACATAACCATTATGATCCATGTATTGTTCAACTCTACACTTTGTGACTTTTCTTGCAGTAAGCTGTGGAGCTCCCAGCTAGCTGTATTTCTAAAGCAAGTGTTTACAAAACACTAAAAATAAAATTTAAAAAAACCCTCATGATTACTTGGATTCCAAATCCTAGGAAAAAGAAGTTAAGATTTGTTTGAAATCCCGTTAATAAGTTCTCAATGCTAGGAAAGAGAAACAGAAATAAAATGGAAGAACATGTTCTGTACACATTGGCCAATGGACTGGAGAGAAGGATCATTTAAAACTCTTTCGGGGTAGGATGAAAAGCTGTAAAAGATCACACTTCCTGGCCAAGGGAAAGAAGGGTTTTTCCACTTCTGTAATTTACCAAAATTAAGGAGACAAGCAGGGAATTGCTTCCATTTTAAGTCGTGCTGTCAGTGAGAGCACAAAAAAGTCTGAGCTGGACAAGAAAATTTCAAGTTGCTGCTTCTTTGGAAATCTCTTTTCACAGAGATCTAGGGTCAAATTCTTTTCTAAGTTCTCTTGGCACCATACCAACAAAACACTGCCAGTGTAATTGAAGGAGCCCTCATAACTGAGGGAGCCCTGACTCATGCTTTCATCTGCAAACATGGCTCGGTGTAGTTTGACCTTTTTTTTGTCCACGCTGTGACCATGTCACGTGTGTGTCAGCCTGAGGAATAATGTCCTTGAAGATTGTTTTGAAGTGAGGTGCATATTGTAGTAGCAGGCAGAAGATTGATTCCTTCTTTTTTAATCCATGCAAACCAAAACTCTTTCATCAACTGTGCTCTCAAAAAAAAAAATCTGCTCATGTTTAATCCAGTGTACTTTAGAGCCTGGCAGCACCAACTCAGTAGTGTTTTTTTTCTAGCTGTGTACTGATCTTCCTCTGCTACCCTTAAATTAGAGGATGATTGCTGTGGGGTCACCTCCAGAACAGTCTGTGGAGGCCCCAGACATTTTCCCTGCAGCTGCAGAATGTGCCTGTGCTGAGTTGCACCAGGTCTTAGGGAAGAGCTTTGCAGGTAATTCAGCATAACTTTGCATTTTACTGAATTTTACTGCATTTTACAGGGTTTTCTGGTTTAGGAAACCAAATCTATTTCTTCATGCAGGTTGCCAGTGCTTTTGCCCTTCTTATAACACAGTTTCCTGAAGGCAAATCTTTTAAAAGGGACCTTTTAGTCTCTCCTGAAGACTACACTCTTGTAGGGGTCTTGCCTTGATCTGTAGATTTAATGGCTTAATAAGCATTAGACCCTCCTATTATGCAGTAACAAATTGGAATACAATACTTTTATCAATATTTGGCACAATTAATTTTTTTTACGTGAAACTAAATATTGATGCTGTCAAGTGACTGCAGCTTAAGGGCATAAATTACAAATATTCTCCTGTGAGCCTCGCTCAAATCTTGCATTCATATACAGTAACCATCTAATGTCTTTCTATTCCTGTAAGCCATATGATTTGATTGCCAGATTACACGGTTCTGTATTGTGCTTAGATGTCAGTGTTTTTATTGTTATTACCAATATCATGTTTTATTCTTACTGTAAGTGGTAGCAAAAATTTAACTGCTTCCTTACACTATAAAAAGAATACAATCCCATTTACAGAATGTCTCTGAACAGAAAATATCTTTGGAAAAAAATTCTGAATAAATAATTTACAACATGATGGGTGAGTAGAAAAGATTTTTTTAATGTATTTTGCTACTCAGGACAAAACCAGATTTTTTTTTAAATAAAGCAACTGCGTATTTTAATGGAGAACAAAAGCTCTTCTAATGAAGAATGATTGCAGTGTATTTTTACCCATTCTGCACTTTTGTAGGTAATAGGACTTGTGAAAGTAATGAACCCATCCGTTTGGTTTTCCAGATTCTTGTCTTTTTTCCATCCTCCTGTTTCTTCATTACCTTATTTCTTGGCTTATTTTCTAAATGAAATGTCAACCCACCCACGCAAAATAAATTGTAACATTTCAAGAATATCAGACCGCAGCAAAGTGAACTATCCTGTCTGTAATATAAACAGACCGTAATTAAATTAATTAAAGCCTTGGAATTAAAGTCTCCCATCTTAAAACTGCCCATGCTTTCAGTGCATTATGCTCCGGGCTTCCCCAGAAGAGCATCCCTGGGAAAACGAGCATATGCATTTTCCTGTTTTCTCAGGAAACCAAAGGAGCTTCATGGGCTTGGGAGCGCCCACGGCGGCTCCCGCTGAGCGGGGCTGGGGCAGAGCACGGCGGGGCCCGGCAGGGCCAGGGCCATCTGCACCGTCAGCCCGAACCACACCCGGCACAGCGCACACCGCCCTGGGCACGTGAACTGAAACCGGGTAAAACGAGCCACGTTCTGGGCAGCTTCTCTCCAGGTGAGAGGCGGTGGCTCGGGGTCCGGCACACGGTGCAGCGGCGGGCGATGGGGATGGGGATGGGTGAGGCAGCGGGCGGCCACTGCCTGCGCTCTGCACACGCAAACCCTGCGGTGCACGGCCCGCACGGCCTCTCCCGTTCCGCCTCAGGCCGCTCCGCAGCTGCGGCGCCGCCGCCGCTCAGGGGCGGGGCGGGACGGGGCGGGCGCCTCCCGCCCTGGCGGCCGCGCCGGGCCCTCAGGCGCCCCGCAGCATGGCGGCCGCTGCGCCGGGCCCGCCGGTGAAGGTGCTGGCGGCGCAGCTGCGGCGGGCGGAGCGGGGCGCGGGCGGGACCTGGGAGCTGCGGCGGGCGGCGGCGGGTCGGGCGCCGCTGTCCCTGCGGGCCGTGTGGATGCAGGGCACCGTGCTGGAGGTGCGGCGCGGCGCCGAAGGCGGCTGGGCCCGGCTGCAGGACGGCAGCGGCGCCTTCACCGTGCTGGGCGTGGAGCAGGTGCCGCAGGGCCGGCCGTGCCTCAGCGCAGGTACCGCGGGGTGCGGGGACCCCCGCGGCAGCGGGCGCTGTCCCTGCCCGTGTGCCCGTGCCCGGTCTAACGTGGTTCGGCACATCCCCTCTGCCCGGCCAGGCCCGGTGGCCGTGCCGGGCCCCGCGCAGGAGGCCCTGAATAAGGAGAGAGATTCTTCTGTTGCTCTTTTCTGTTTTTTTTTCTTCTTTCTTTCCTTCTCTTCCCTTCACCAGAACTGCCAGTAAAAATGAAGAAGCGTTGGTCTGTAGAATTGCAGAAATTGTGGTACAGAATAGGCACGTGGCTTAAAAATTCAGCCTTCTGATCTCTCCTGAGTCCATTTAGACAGCAGGACAAATTTGTGTTTGGTGGGTTTTTACTGCATGTGAAAATGTAGTTAAATATGCTATAAAAGTGGCTATACACATAATTAAGCCTTTTTCTGAAATTTAGTTCTCAGCAATCTTCAGTTCACTGAGTTTTCTTACAAGTATTGACATCTTCAATTTACCCTATTTACTTGGCTTTAAGTAATTTGGTTTATGAATTTAAATGCTAGTACAAAGGTTAATTAAATTTAATGCTTACTTGTTTTTTTAGGGAAGTATGTAATGGTGATGGGTGTGGTGCGGTCCTGCAGTCCTGAGCCCGTTCTTCGAGCAATAAAGATGACAGATCTCTCTGAAAACCCCGTCCATAAGAATATGTGGAACCTTGAAGTGGAGGATTTGCACAGAGTCATCCCCTAATACCTTTTACTTCTGTCTAAATGAGTTGTAAATTTGTTTTGTTTTGCAGAATATTGGACTATTCTATGTGACCACTCCTGGAGTAAACCAAAGTGAGGGGTTGGGCCCAGTTAAGTGCAGGGACCAGTGCTTATCTGATAATAATCACAGTGTTAATGTCTTCCAGTCTCTCTTTATACCAACATATTTGAGAAGTGCCTATTTGATGTTTTGAGTACGATGTCCATGCTATTAAAAAGGCTGTATGTTTGTTTGTGTGTGTTAGCTGCTGTTTGGGGGGAGCACGTGTTGAGGCAGTTGTTGTGCAGCAGGGGCTGCACTGGACTCTTGTTAACGGGGTGAACTCAGGACCTGGCACAAAGGCAAAATGTGTTTCAATCCGTTTAGGCTGTGGTTGGAAATAATGGTTTTCACCTGCATTTCTATTTCAGTAATCACCACGTCTGTAAACTACTTGTAAGACAGGTGTCATTTGGTAGCACTATCTTGTACTTAAAATACCTCTCTAGTTTCTGAAATACCCTAAAGGGGTAATGACCCCTCTGTTCCAGTGAAATTAATGAAAAGACGTGATGCAGGATTCCTTGGAACAGGTTCTCCAGGTGCAAGATGTAAATACCTTTTACCTCTGGAAACAAGCATTCTGTTCCCAAGTGCATTTTTCTTTTTGAAGTTTTTTTTCTTCCAGTGTATGCTATTTTTAACTGTTTAAATAATTCTAAATTATGTTCTATTCTTATCTTTCATTCTCCTCTGAAAAAAACAAACTATGAAATCACATCAAGAAACCTCTAAGAAGTAGAAATGTTACTACTCTTTATTTTCCATCTTGTCTAAAGAGTATTTGGGTCTTAATGAATGCATTGCATTATCTGTGGAATGGCTTTGTGATTGGAGACTGTATTGTCCAGCAGTAGAGTTATATTAATTAGGAATGCATATTGGAGGGGAAGAGAATCTCTGATTGAATGCTGTACAATTCAAGATGAGAATCAAGTGGTGGTAGTTAATTTTTTTAATTATGGGATGAAGTTTTCAAAGCATGTGGAAACTAGCATCCTTTAAAGATTTGAGATTTGAGACTAAAACTGGATTTCAGAGTACAATTGCAGTCTTGAGTTTGGTATTCCAAACCAGACTACATCACATGCAGTTGGATAGTGGAAGTCCTGTACTCTGAAATCTTGCTGATGAAATGCCAAAACATAGAGAGATGAAGAATTTTGGCAGTCTGGGTTCATTTATTGTTTGTAATTCTGGAGAAAGTCCACTTGTGGAGTGCTGTAGCTCTTCAGAAGTAATCCATGTGACCAGTGTATCAGCTGGTAACTGGTTCATATTAAAAAGTATTTTCCTAGGAGTTCAAAACAGAAGACACTTGTAGCCAGAGTGAGTGTTGTACTTCTAAACAAAAGACTGCTGTAGATTGCTTTGACTCCCAGCTCAGCTGTACTTCACCTAACGAGAAGCTGATACTGCTTATTTATGGCTGTTGGTGGCTGCTTAAGGCTGAGCTTAAGGGCCTTGTTTCTGGATTTCCACAGTTAAGCATTGTGGGGCTCTACGTGGAATTCTCCCTTTTCCTCACCATGTATCTCAAAGTCTGCAGTTAGAACGTGGGTTTGTGATTTTTGTTGCTGTTGTACAGCAGAGTGTGTAACTGAGGAATTGCAGGATAAGGGGCTTCTTTAGCCCTGTGTTAAGGAGGAGGTCAAAGCTGAGCTCTTGTTTCATCTGTTTTGGGGTTGGTGTAATATGCAGAAATTCTGTGAACTTTATAGATCGTGGGGTTGCTGTATAATGAACATGTTGGAGGTGAGTTGTAAGCTCTAAAACTACACTGGGAAGCATGACTGAATGTGTCTGTGTTCTGCAAGTGGGCAGATGTGTTCAAAGTGCCCTCACAGCAGGAGTTAGAGAGGCAGAAATTCTGTGTTGAGTGGTGGGGAGATCCATGAGATACGCAATGGATATTATGTATTTGCCACGTGACAGCATGGTTTGTATATTGCATTGCCTGCATCCGAAGCATAAACAGTTTGGATTAGTTCAGTCAAGGTGTTCAATAATGTGCAGCATTGCCAGTAGTTACCTGCTAAAAGTTTGGTCCTGATAAAGCCAAGGCTAGTGCAGAGAAAAAAAACGGTTTTAAAATACTGAAGCTGATGGATTGATCTGATAAATGCTTCCATCAAACCCTTCGAAAGTGATGCTTTTCCAGAGGTTCACATCCATTAGAAATCACAAATCAGTTGGCCTGAGGGCTGTTTTGTGTGGAGCTGGCACACTGCCCTGCAGGGAGACTGCTGTTCCTCCCTCTAGGTACACCTGGAATGGGCTTCCCCACATCCCTGTCACTCTGGTGTTGTGTTTGCTGGTAGGAGCTGCCATCTCTCCTCTGTTAGGTGGGAGGGTGATGTGTTGGCTCCAATTTTTAATTCCCCAGATGAGACATGACCATGCAGTAAGTAAGGCATACTTAAAAACGGTTTGGCTGGATGGTTTTATTGGTTCATTAAAAGGTTTATGCAGTTCAGTCTAAGGACCCCATGGCCTGTGACAGTGCTGTGTTTGTGGGCAGGTATTTGGTGAACAGGTGTGACAAAGAACTTGCCTTTGCATTAACAGCAGAGTCTGGCAGGGAGCAAAGGCACAGCTGCCAGGGCAGAAACATGGAGAGAAGACTTTATTCATGTCAGCTATGAATCAGTGCTCAACTCCAATTATGAACGTGATGCACAGCTCTTCATTTAAGTGTGGGGTCGTTTGGAGGTTTATTTTGTTCCCTTTTTTCCCCTCAGCCCTGATGATGGCTCTGTTAGCCCTGCTCAGTGTAAGTGGTGTCTCATAAATGCCCTGTGTGCAGGCAGGTGCCCTGGCTCAGGGGGTGTCCAGCTCAGCCCATGGGGTCAGCAGGGCTTCCAGCTGCCTTGTGGCTCTAGGGTCAGAGTGGGGCTGAGTCTGGCTCCTGCTGAGCTTCAGGGCTTGAGATGTGTCCAGGGCCTGTCCAAGTTCCTGAGTCTCTAAATCTACACAGGATCTGTGTGCATGGAGAACCTGGGAACAGCTCAGAGATCCCGAATAACTGGGCTGAGCGAAATGGCTGCAGGTAAAAATGCTTATTGGTAGTTAAATGGCATCTTTATTACAAGTGATAAATTATATGCAGCTTTTTAGAGGAGCTCAGGGTTGCTGTCTGCAGTTAGCATTTAGTTAAATTCCTGTATTTCTGTATTGCTGATTGAGCTCTTCTCAATCTTTTCCTTTACTTGCTGATGTTTTTCTTTGTTCCTGAAACTGTCACGGCAGGACTTTTTTCAGAGGTGCTTGATGTGCTTTGCTGGGGAGTGAAGTGACATTCAGTGACTGGGGAGAAAATTACGTGTTTTTTTAATCAGCAACTGCTATAAATATTCTTTAATTTCCAGAAATATTTCATGCAATTTTGGCTTTTTACAAAGGTGCAGGTATAAAATTATTACAGAGGAAGACTTGATTTCTAGCATCTGATGTGTGTGGGAATTGCAGGCTTTTTTCCTGACTAGTGTAGGAATCATGTTTTAATTTGTATCAAGCTAGGGAGTAAGTGTTCAGAAAGTGAGTGCAGCTGCAAGCAGCGCACAGGAGATAAGAGGCAGCTGCTTGCTTTTTCTGTGAGCCAGTCGAACCCAGCCAGTTCCAACTCTCTAGGTCAGTACAACTTTGTTGTTATGAATAATCAATAAAAATGTACTCCAGTGTAAAAATAAGACAGTCAAATGTTTATTAGCATGATGTCATAGTACAGAACATCATTATTTCAATGTTTGCATATTATGCAAAGACATTGGATGGATTTTGCAGTGCTACCTTTTACCAAGGAATGGCTGCATTCCAGGCACTGTGTGGAGAAAGGTAATGCAATTTTTAAATCAAGTGACCTACAATGCAGAAAGGGATTTAACAGGTGAGACATACAACAGTAGCTATGACACCCTAATGTTACTTTGTGGGTAGGGTAGATATTGGTCACGTTTTCCCAGCATATCAACTGACTGCTGACAAGGGGGTTCTAAAGACACAAAGGGAAAATGTGAAACTGGTGTGCAGCAACCAAGAAGGCTGTTTCTCAATTAACAGTATGTATATTAATAAGGGAAATATCAGCTAGCATAAAAATGAGAAAATTATTAACTGCTTTCCATTATTTACCCATCTTATTTCTATCTTAGCCTTCTTGTGTGTTGGAGCACTTCCCTGGAAAAAGATAACTTTCTCCAGAACTGCTGAGCAGTGGAGTTTCATTTCTGGAGAAAAAAGAAGTCAGCATCTCTGCTGACCCCAAGCTGATGATGCTGCTTTCACATAGTCCACTTGTACTACTCTGAGCTGGTAGAGAGCTTTTCTCAGCTTTTCAGTGTATTTGTGCCATGGTTCAATGCTTGTGGAGAGGCAGTTTTGCCACTGAATGGGAGAATTTTTTTAGACTAACTGATACTTAAATGTCCAATTTATTTTGGTGGATTATAGTTTCTTGTCAATATATTGGAATAATTTCTCTTGTCCTCAGGGGTTCTGGGTGGAAAGCTTTCCTTATATACTATTACTTCATTATGTTCACAGTTAACACTAATGCATTCCCACTTCTACTGGTGTCTTCCTGTTCTTACCTCTAGCTTGTCTACCTAAAATAACTGTTCTGTTTTAGGATGCTAAAAGGGTTCTTCCATCTTCAGGGCTGGTATCTGCCATTCAGAACTGGCTTGAGCTGAAATGAAGAAGAGATGAAGTCCAGGTGTACAGGAAGTACAAGTCACATGTAATGCAACCTTTCATTACAGTGAAATATAAAAAAATCTCTGAAGGGAAAACAGCATCAGATATATTTATGACATCAAAAAATTGTGGGGGAAAGTACTCCAGCATTTTAGATGATTTTATCTTAGATTGCTAAGCTGAAATAAAGATGTAAGGTTATCTCATGTTTGATAAATTCACACTTAGAAGGAAAAGGGCAGCACTATTTCTAAAGTTTATGAGGTCTAGGTAGTTGAGCTATTCAGTGGAAGATTCTTGACAAGCATGAATTTCTAAGAAATAGTGCAGGGGTAGTTTCTGCTGACAGCCACTTTCTGTTTTGCTCTCATGACCATCACTGGTTATCAGTTACTGTGCGTGAGGAACCCAACCATTACAGACTCTTCCACTGTGTCAAACCTAATTCTCTCTTAGTTTGGTCTGTTCAACTTCCTTCTCTTTAGAGTGTTTACATATTTAGAGACTTAAGTCTTTCCTCAACCCTTCCATTTTTATCCCCAAGACTGTTCTCAACTGGTTCACAACTTAAGTAAAACATGGTGTCTAAAACTGGATACATGAAATAACCTAAATAGAGAAGTATTTATTGACTTAAATATGTTGATTCATGTGTACATCCCAAATGTATTTTGCTTCTTTCTTAGCATGGTCTCATTAACTGAGCTTGTGATCCACCTTCATTCCAGTCCTTTTCCTCAGAAATGGGATAATGTAAACTAGCAGCATTAGCTGACTTCAATCATTTAGCTACCGAGCTATTCTAAAACTTTATTTTCAACTGAATATTCTGTTGACTCAGATTTAACAAAATTTGTCTCTATTTAATATTGATATATTGAAGAGTTTATATAACTACTGGAGCTAAAACCACTCCATGTCTACAAGATGCTACCCATCCACTGCTTAGGAGCTGAGTGAGCTGAACAGCTCAGGCAGATACTGACACATGACATTGTTTCAGTGTGTGGAATTTTGTGATGTGGTGCACTAACAGACAAAGTGAGTGTTCTTTTTCTAGGTTTTTATTTATGCCCAATAAACACATCTACAAATACTACTCCCTTCCTTAATAGGTAAGAATCAGCTAATAATTGTAAATTTTTAAGGCATACTACAAATGGGTTTATAGTCACCAAATCACTCCTTTGTAATACTAGTGAGTTTACAAATGCAAATAAATAATGTTTCATTACATATACTAAAAAACCCACCCTCTTTCCATTACTCAGCCTTAGCAAAACATGGAGCATAAAAGGAATAAACTCAAGGCTTTCATTTCGAACAAAAGTATAATTAGCTCTTTTGTGTGATTCTGCCATTTATTTGGTGTAAATGTTTCCATTGCAGTCTTGTAAAAATACCCTTGCCCAACTAGTAACTCACTGTATCAATAATGGATCTCCACTTAGCAGCACTTGTGGCTCCAGTCACTTTTGGAGTACACAAATTGGCACAATAACTACAGAAGTGGGAAAGGATTGTAATTTTAAAAATTTCAAGCAAGTGATACTGCTCTATTCAGGCTTTTCATCTTCCTTAGCTATATTCCAGGAATCCAATTAAGAATACAGTCTGCATGACAGCTGCATTAAAACACAAGTATTGATAATCCAGATATTCTAGGTTGAAAAGATAAATTTCATTACTAGAAATTGAAAAGTAGAAAAATAAGTCTCTGAGGATTTTGTGTCTGTATATGTATTGTTGTTAGTGTGAATCCAAATGCATTATTCAGACCAAAAAAAGATGGAACCAGAAACAGTATCCAAAAGGAGAAACTCCTGGGGCCATCACACAGTATTCTGCAGGAATCCTGCCTCTGTTATACAGCAGATTAGGACAAAGTAAGAAAGGCAGTAGGGAGGGTGCAGTGGATGGGCTCTGGTGTGCTGGTGAGTGATCAGCAGGAAGGGGGGAGGTAGCCAAGAGGCAAGAAGAGCATTTCTGGGAATAGGATCAGTCCGATTCATTAGTTTTATTTTCTCGTGTTCTTGAATTACAGACATGTAAGTACTGGAGCAATGGGGGTGGTAAAAGAAATGAAACTTACCACTGGGGAGGGATTTCCACAGGGACAAAATTCCGATTGCACAAATGAACAAAAGCTGCTGCTAAGCTGCAGGCAGCCCCCAAGGCCGGGGACTCACAGGTGTCCTGTGTACACATGGTGTAGAATGGCTCAGGCTCCACCTGGGCACAAAGGGATGGGTTAGGGGAGCAGGGGGAACCTGCTAAACCCAGAGGTTTGGGTTGTGTCCCCTCCCCCCTGCCTGGTTAGGACCATTCATTAACCTTTATTGGCTTCCTACCAGTGAGGAGGTTAGTTCTGTTTCCAAGATCTAGACCAGTATCTTAAAGAGCAGTGCAGTCATGCCACTACTCTGTGGGTATCAAAAAATCTCCCTTTATGGTGATGAAAACACCTCTTTTTTTATGTCTGGATTGCAGTTTTGATTACTTTTTAAGTTCTCTGCTACTAAGCTTCAATATTGCAAGGCACTGATTATGTGTCCTCCTTGGAAGTATGACACGAATTAACACAGTGCTGCTGGCAGAAGTTCTACTTACAACTTTGAAGCAGTTCCTGAGAAGTGAATGTGGTTCTTCAAAGAACACTTTACAGATGTTTTGCTTAGCTGTAATTGGACATGGCTTCTCTTTCTTCGGAACAAGGCTGCACTTACTCACCTGGGAAAACAGAATTGCTGAAGTTGGTGTATTTTGGGGGTTTTTGCATATATCAGGGTAGGATGAGTTCTTCAGATTTCCAGCATGAGCTGGTTTGAAGGATGGCAGCTCAGTACCCTGCTCTAATATTTATTGTTCATTAATATTGAGAGGCACCTTGCAGATTAGACCTTGTTTCCTTTTGCTATTGATTCTGTTAATCACTGAAGGACTTCGTGTGTAGTTGCTGACATAGCAGGTAGTTGGCTAGTTCTCTCTTATATAGATCTGACAGGTCAAAGTTGTGCTTTTACTGGATCTTTCTGATGGAGAAAAAATTCATACCCCTGCTAGATTATTCATAGGTAAAGGTGACTTTAAAAAAAAAACCAACAAAACCACACCACCAAGAAGTTCTTTAAGCAAGGGTAAATTGTAGTTATTTTAGTTACTAAGGAAAATGAACTGGCAGTTTACTCTGTGCTAATGCTCATCCCGCAGGAGTCACACACTCAGTCCCCTCCTGTTGTGCAGCCCTGGCCTTGTGCTGGTGGAGCTCTGCTGACCAAGGTCGGTGCATGACAAAGGCTGTGATAAAGCTCCTGGGAACAAGTTGCAGTCAGAGTTCACAGTTCAGTGTGAGCCCTTCCAATCAAGTGCAGCCATTCTGCCCCTGAAGAAAGGCATTCAGGACTGCTCTGCTTCTGTATGGCACTAAGTTTCTTATATATTGCTTTTAATTGATTCTCCTGTTCAATGTCTTTGGGGAGTTTTGCATTTTTATGAATATATTAGGAGTTAATAGTTGTAGCAATTAAGAAAATTGTGCCTATGGTCCGTCACATTGTGATCCTACCCCATTATTAACATAAACATAGGTTGCAAGTTCATCAACTGTATCTCTGTAACAGCAAGAAGTACAAGATACTTGAAGCCATTCTCTCTTTACTGTAAAGTGTGCTGACTTAAAGCTGAAAATGAGATTTTTGTTCCCAGAACTCGGACATCTTCTGTGAGACAGGATAAATGAAAGAGTCACAAAGTCTTTGTGGTAATAAGACGCCGGTTCCTTTTCATTTTAGTAATAGATTCTTAAAATTAGACTTGGAAGAGATTTAGAAGATCCTGTCAACATGGCTTGAAAGCATGTTAAGGCTACTTTTCTTGTTTGGTTGTATTCACAAATGGTTCTGTACAACTGCACGTTTGTGTATTTAGATTATTTCCAGCTGATGACAGAGTACATGAATTAAGTACAGCTATAATGTTGCTGGTATAAAATTGTTACAAGCTTCATTTATGTTAGTTACAGGAATCTTTTTATGCAAGTCAGTAACTGACAGCAGCAGCTCACCTTCTAAAAAGGTCTGAATACTTGGTGTGGGGATGGAGAACAAATTTACTAGTTATTTGTTTCTAAAGTTTTGTTTATTGAGAAGATGTAAAGGATAAAGAACAAAGAAAATTAAGAGGTGCAACATACCTGGGTAGAACTAACAGCTCTGAAGAAAACTTCAAACTGTGGTCTGAGTGATGAATGTACAGATTTGGCCCAGGCTTAGTACCACCTGTCCCTGCATTCCAGGAAGAGGTCCTCTAAGGAGGAATATGCTAAAGATACTTGGCCCCAATATCAGTTTCTTCTAAAATCAGCAACAGCCACCTCTACATGTTTTACTTTACCACCTAGGCCAAAAACTAATCCACCTATTTATAGGGAATTCTTGAACAGTTTTTAGCAAATACGTGCAATCTTTTCCTTAGTTAGATACAGCAAAGCAATGCAGTGTGCTGCTGTTTTCACTGTCGAGCTTTAGTTCATATAAGCCAGCCCAGTGTGTCAGACAGTGCCCTCTGTGCTCAGGAGCCCCTCAGTTCCTTACCTGCCAGCTCTGTGTGAACTCTTTCACGTTGTCAGTGAAGGAGCCATTAGGCACCATCCATTCATTTCCAGCTTCATTGTCATTAGTACCAAAAAGCCCAGCTGAAATACCTGAAAGAAATTGAAATGGAGTAAAATAGGAATTGTCAGGAGTAGGTGCAGGAAAATTACAGCAGCTCTCTCTGAGCTCTGATTATTCTGTTCAGCAGAGCTCAGCTCTATTGTGGAAGAGGGGAAGCTGCTCAGCCTGCATTACCCATCTCGTGTATGTGCTGGTCATGGGCTTCTGAGCACATCAAGGCATCACATCCACTCTCTGCTGATCTTCAGGGGGTGACTTTTAGAATAGTGTGGGGTACATGGATAGTACATCAATGCATTCCAAGTATACCAAAAACCCTGACATTTTGGCCTCCCCTCTGTAGTTGTCTTGCAGGTCTGGCAAGCTAAGCCTGCTCTAGAGCAGATTCTCAGTCGGGGTTTGGGGCTGGGCTGACTGCACTACCTCTGTCTCTGATTTCTGTCTGCTTTATTGCATTGACTCAACAGTAACCCATAAATTGCTCTTCTCCCTGGAATGGTGCATTCTGTGCTCTAATTGGCAATTACTGGGAATGCCTAGGACCATTTCCAGGGTGTGTGTAAATGAAGAGGGGAAAAACAAGTGAAGGACAGCACAGATGCTGGTACTACCAGTAATACAGATAATTCAGAGAGATAGCAAAAACTAACAGCTGAAACAGCTGTATGCTTGATACTCACCGTGGTGCCATCCCGCCAGAGTGACAGTACAGAGATCATACTGAAAATCACAGGAGACAGAAACTCCTTTCTGATCAGATATTTCTATTTTGTTGGTTCCTCGTCTTGAATTCATGGTACTGTTTTCAAGGGATTGATCCAGAACTTGGCAGTTCTCTTCCGTAAAGGAGAAGTTATACATCTTGGATATCTGTTTTAAAATGAAAACGCAGTTTCAAGTCTGTCATAGTGAAGTTCAGTCACAGGCAAGCACAGTGGATTTGGAGGTGCAATAAAGCCAACTTAGCCCAGAATTAAGGGAATAACAACAGGGTTGTGTTAAACTGTTGAAAGAGCAGAAAGCACAAAGCCTCCCTCAGTGCCATTGTCTTAGACCCTGTCAGAGGAAAGTTGAGAAGTTTCTGTCATCTACAGAGAGCAAAGAGGCAGCCCTTGAGTTTTCTCTTTTTTTTTTTCTTGAGTTTTTTCTCTTTTTGTTTTGGAGAGGTATTTTCTTTTTAAGAAGTGGTTACTTTGAAGCCATTCTCTGAGAGTGCTTCTGATGTATGTTTTAAAACTGTTTTGTCAGTTGAAGAAAAAGTCAAATATTTTTTATTTTTGGCAAAAATTTTCTTCCTACCTTTAGTCGTGGGTAGATAGTGATCACAGTCTGGTTCATCTCCACATACAGTGATCTTGAGTTCCTAGTTTCCTCATTTAGTATTATAGTGAAGGCACTGTGAACAAAATCCTTGGCAAGAAGTACACTGCACTTTGATGCCAAATCGTACATTTTTCCATCAAAAGTCACAAGATGCTTGGTCCCCACTAACATAGCATGGTCTGGAGAATGGTATTTCAGAAGAAACATCAGTGAGTTTTCCACAGAGTGGTAAATGCTGCGCATACTGCGACACACACGGCTTCTTGCTTTAATTTCTCAACTTATTATTACACTGACATTGCTACATTTACATTTTAATTAGTTACACTGTAGTTGCTCTGAAACAAAACTTGTCTCAGAAACAAAACACTTTAATGATTTATATTTTGTTATAGATTTACCTGAGTGCCATAAAACTTTTATAAAGTTGAACTGGGATTCAAAGCTCATCTTGACTTGTCATTGTACTACTTGATAGTAATATTTATAAACACATACACATCCATTATACATTCTTATGCAGAAAACACAAGACTATTAATTCTCCAAAATCATCTCCAAAAATTACCCTTCCAAACCAGTGCATCAAACAGCTGCAGTCTAGGAAACCCTGCTCATACATGACTCAGATTATTGGGTCATTAGGACCTACTTTCACAGCCCTCTGTTATGTCACTCTGTACTGGGAGGAAACCATTAAAAAAGATTTTCTGGAAAAGCCTTTCTCTCTAAGGGACAGTTGGGACTGTTAGTGCATTCTTTTAGCATTTAGCAATACTTTTACAGGCAATACTGTCGCTGAAGTTTTCGCAGGGCTCAGCTTGCTCATCCTAGAGGCAGCAGAGATGAAGTCACCAGTTTCCAAGCCTCTGTGCCAGGACACAGCCAACAGGTACAACTAGCAGTGAACCATAGTATCAACTCACAAGAACACATGGATAAGGCAGATAAATACCATCTGCTGTTTCTAGTAAGAAACAAGAGTAAGAAGTGTAAAGAGGTGCAAAATTTGCATGAATATTGAGCACTGTTACTGCATGTCAGCTTTGCCCATAGTGTTGATCTTTTACATACCATCAGTATCTTACAAGAAAGACAATATGTAAGCTAATAGGAAAACTATTAATTAGCGACCACTCTATGTAAACTCCCGTTCCAAATACAATTTTTAAAATCAAGAACTAAGTGGTAATAGACCCGGGTACAAATCAAAGCAGCACTTTGAAAGGGCTTACATTCAAAGGGGGTCTCCATCATCCTCCGTTTGAATCTATAGTACTCTGCAAGTATGTTGAGATTGTAGAGGTCTTGCAGAGGCCTCATTAGTTTTTCTCCAATGAGGTAAGTGGTAACATTTGCCAGCTGTAGGGACAGGTCTGCTTTAGGCAGGACTGGCAGCTTTCCTGCCACCGAACAGTTCCTGCAGAATACAAACAGAACACCCCTTATCGGCTGAACTGAGGAAATGCTGTTACTTTATTATTAGAAATGTTGAAGTGAAATATTCTTAAGAACTGGTAGTCTGGTTAGAACAGCAAAACACAATCCTACTTTGGCCAAGAGCTGCACTGCCCCAGGCCATCTCAGGCCAGTTATCAGTTACTGATACTCTGCTTCCTGTCCAGTAGCTCCTTTCAAACACAGTGGGCCTGGCAGCCAACAGAAATAAATAGTAGGATGTGAAGTGGCCAAAGCAGAGTCATTGGGTGGCTGTCCAGAACCCTCAACTGCACACTGACAGGAAGAGTAACTATGTACATATCCTTTTAGAACACTGTCCAGAGCAGGGATCCTGCAAAAACACCAGTTACCAGTTACCTGGGTGAAAAACTGTACATGTTCAGCAAGGGCTTCCGGATCTTGCTCACAGCTCTGGAAAACGTGGCCTCTGCCCATCTGAGCACGTGCTGTGTAGCCTGTTGGAGAGTCACAGATTACAAAAGCAATTTCAGTATGGCTTCAGGGCAGAGTCAGTATTTGCAAATGAGTTTTAAATTAAGACATGCGAAATAGACTTTGGTGTCTTTTGCATTTGTCTCCTGCCTGATCATGTCTTGTCATATAGAGATTCATATCCAGAGGACAGACTCTAATCACAACATCAACAAATAATGGATAGAAATATATTCTTCCTAAATAATATAACTTAGTGTAGCAACGCTTCACTAAGTTAATGTGTTTCAGTAGCTTGGAAAGGACTGGTATTTTAAATAATATAAATTAGCTTTATGATACATCTTTTATGCTTTGCATTTCAGCAAGAGGAGCCCAGATTTAATTGTACACTCTTTATTGGAATCACAATTTCTCCTCCCCATACAAGAAAAGTAAAAGCTATATGAATGACAGATTACTGATGCTGTGATTTCAACCAGAACTAGTAAAACAACCTCTCCTCTAACTGGAAAAGTACTCTTTCAAAGCAGGACAAATACTGCAAGAACAGTAAATCACCTGTGCACAAGGTGATTATTATGTGGAAAGATAACCACACTATTTCCATAAATAAAAATAATTAACTATTTTTGTGTATCCGTAATTCAAAGCTGAGACTTGTATGTGTAGGCCTTGTCTTTCAAACCATTAGAAATGGAGAACTGAGTTATACCAACCATATCCAAGCCTGCTTTCACAACCTTTAATGCCACCTGGATTGGTTCCATTAACCACACATCTTTTACAATCTTGGGTAAGAAAGCCTGGATTTTTTTCATGTGCTCTTCTGTCTTCTCTTTCCAGACTTCATCCAGTGGCTTCGAGGTTGCGTCATAGTAGGCATCCTTCAAAGTTGCTAATGGCTCTGAAGCAAACACATTAACGAGACAAACCTTAGCTGGTTTGGTACAAAGTGGCCCTTTGCTTGTTTGTTTCCACCCAACTTCCAGCATAAATGAAGGAGAAGCACAAAAAAGGGGAGGAGGCAGCTGTGTTTCCATGGCAGTCAGGCACATTGCACAGCTGTGAACTGAAAGAGCTCTGACCCTGACCCTCTTATAAATACAATGCTGCTGTCCAAAAAGAATATAAGGGATGCTCTGCAATGTGTCCCCATCGGAGCTGTACTGCACAGACTGCTCCTGCTGAGTAACAGGACAGTTAGGTCACAACTGATTTCAAGCACAGTGTATCAACCAAATTCAACTTTGGAGTGGGAAGAGCCTAGAGCTAAGTGGCCCAAAGTGAGTTTTTACCCTTGTGAGAACTGAAGGTTCTTGCATCTAATTCCAGCTGACCACATTTCTCAAAGGTTTCAGTATGGGCCACAGTCCAGCTGAACAGTGAATTAGTGGCTACTGAATAGGCTTGGAAAAAAACAGATCAAGTGAAATCCAATTAGTACAAGTATTAAAAACTCAAGGATGGATATGAACAGCCCTTTGGGAGGAAAGGCTTGCCAGGGAACTGTTAGCAGAAACACTTCAGTTTAGGAATTAAGGACTCTGTTCTCATCCGATTGAACCCAGCCTCCTGCGACCGAGAAAAAACCTCACCACTGATTTCATGAGAAAGGTGTTCACTGAGAGCCTTCTTAGAGCTTATTGCATCAAGGCTCCCACTCTACACTAAGAGCCTAGGTCAGCACTTCTTGCTAGATCAAAACAGAAACCTTTGTGCTGTTCAGTATGTTTTGTAGTTTACACTGAAGTTTGGTTTGCCCTGCACTGGCATTATCCCTATTCTTACTTTACACCATTTTGCTTACTTTGTAATTCATTCTGCATTTGCAGGACAACACCTTGAATTTTCTCCAGATAAAGGGGGATCGTGCTTCTCAGAATGTGCCCGATTCCACTTTGCTTCCACACCTGGGTGACAGCTGTAGCCCCACTGTGCAGGAATCCTGCTGCCCTTTGCAAGGCCATTGAAGGCCAGCCAGCTGCTTCAGACAGGAAACCAACATGCTGTACCTACAGTGGTTCCGAAAAAAGAAGTAATTTCAAAACACACAATGATTGCAAGAAAAACTTTGACTTCATTGCGAGGCAATTCTGACTCCACTCTGACTCTGAGCTGGTGCAGAGATACAGGATCTCCACTATTAAACATGCTTTTTGTCTCTGTATGAGTTACAGGTCAGCACAGGAGTAATCATTGAAATGTTTGAGCAAAACAAAATAGCTGCAGGCAATATAATGATGTTTAATTAACACTGCATGAACACTTCATGTTTTTTTCACAGATCATGTATAGATACTTACTGATCTCCTGAATCTCGACAGGTATCCATCAAACTTCTTGATCTTCTCTGTCAGTGTGGCTTTCAAAAGGCTCCCAATTTCATTAAGCTTGTTCTGTGAGAAGATTGTTAAAACCTTGATTTCAGTACTTAAAATTTCTTGTGCTGGATCCAAATCATTCAAAGTTTGTACTAGTTTAAATGCCGGCAAACACCCACAGTGGCCTCGCATTTCTTAGGAGAAACTACTTCTGTATTATTCAATGGATAGACAAGGGACCAGAAAAGTCAGACGATAAAAAGCAAAAAGCCTTCCCCAAGCAGAGAGTGTGTGAAACCCTACTAAAAGTGAAAGCACGTTCAGATTCTAATCATTAGTTTTGTAACCAACACACCGAGCAGTTACTGCTGCTCTCACTTTATCTACTTACCCTCCTCAGAGGATCCACCCTTTAGAAGAGGGTCCTGTATTTTATATCTCTAGGCATGGCTGAACTTCTTAATTCTCACCGTGGTAACTTCTCACACCAACGTGAAAATAATTAAAACATTGCATAATTTTGCCTGGCTACTCACGAAAATTCACACCTAAAGCCTACATGGAAGGTGCTCCATCAAAATGACAAAATCAAATAATATTCTTGGAAAATCATGCTGCAGTTAACAGCCACTCAAGGGTCTCACCTCAGCCTTAAGAACTGGATCCCCACATCCATGGGCCAGAAAACTCAAGCTTCCATTAGCAGCTGCTAAAGACACTTGTCCCACGCTTTCCTGCCTTTTACCATTGATGCTGAGATAGGTGTTAATGGCAGCCATCTGTTGCCCATCAGAACAAGCACTGACTTCCATTCCTTCTTCCAAATCCCCTGAAGGAATGAAAAGAGCACTTCATTTACAGGAACAACATTGACAGACTTTTTTACAAAGCCAGCTTTTAATTACTTAGGTGATCAATCAACGTCTGAGTGTGTTAGGTGTGGAGGAAAAAAAACAAAACAGAAGAGATCAACAGAAGACAATTAGATCAGTGTCAGGGTTTGCTCTCTTCTATGTGGCTTGTCAATGAATTACAAATACAGATTTGCTACTGCAAAGGAAGCACTGGATTAATGTAAATCTAAATCTCTAGGTCGCACTGATTTACAGGCCTTCTATTTTAGTCCTCACTGTCCCTTGTTGCAGATGTTTCAAAATTGCTCAGCCCTTAAACGAAAACCTGTCAGTTCCACCCACCACACACACAAGTTTCTGCAGAAGCACTGGTGAGCATAAACAAGTAGTTGGCTAAGTGCATCTGTAGAATGTGGGTTGAACTAAGCCGAGTAATTTCTACAAACTTCTGACTTCAGTGATTCACAAACTAATGGTCATAATCTCAAAAACATCATTACAGGTGAGGACATGAACCTGAGATAAACTCCTCTGCAGAACTTTGGAATGGCAGATCCATAAGTGAAACAAGGGCTGGGATTGTCAGCAACATGAGTTCGAGACAACTGGGACACCACCAAATCTATTTGGTTTGCACTCAACTCTAATGTAGCTGAAATGTGGATGAGCCCCACCTCTTGCAGCTCATTTCACCTGACTTTATCATCTGGAATTTAGGTATAACTTGAACCACCAGCGGTTTTTTTCCTCTCCATTGTCAGTCAGAGCTGACTGCTGTGAGACAATCCCTGCAGCCAGTGATTGCACACATCCCACTTCACACATCCCAGTTCATACAGCTGTTCCAGCATGTGGTACAGTCAGTCTCTGGAGGTGCCTCTTTTCTTTCCTTTATTGAATTTGGAATGCAATGATTATCTTAAACAAGGCACAGAACTTTAAGATGGTTAAATCAAGAGGAAATTAATCCTATCTTTTGTTATCATCTATTGTAGTCATACAAAAATATCTTGCAAACTGACCTTTGTAACAAATTTTAAGTTTCAGCTTTTCTTTATCTGAAAAACCATAGCTTGAATGAGCTGAGCTAGCTCCTGCTAGAGACACGGCCTTTCTTCCTGTCTCTTCATAGCAATGACACTGGGAGTCACAGAATAGCTCCAGTTGGAAGGGACCCATAAGGATCAAGTCCAGCTCTTTGCAGGATGAACTAAAACGAAGTCCTATGGCTGAGAGCGTGGTCAGGGAGGTACATACCTTGCAGATACCCCATGTAGTATTGAAAACACTCCTTTCCTTTTGAAGCAGCTACTTTTACTTTCTCTTTCTGATCAATAATCCCCTCCACCAGGATTTGGCTCTGGACAGATGAGGAAGCAGCAGTTCCTGTCAGGCCTAGCCAAATATCTTCAAAGGCTCTTAACTGCAGCCATAAAGGAAAAACATTTATTCAAAGCCACCACACAGAATTAATGATCCTTCAGAGATGGTGCTCAAATATCAGTGCTTCCCACAAAAGGATAAGTGGTGAGGGAAATGTTTCCCAATGCTTGTGCACTATGCAGGAGTCACACTAAGAGAGGCACAAGCATCACAGTGATTGGCCCAGGAGCTGAATGACTGGATAGCACGATGGGGCTGGTGGACAAAGTATTAATGGAAGCAATGAAAGAATGAAAATTAAGGAAATGTCCCAATCAGTTCTCTGTGAGGCCGCTAATTTGTGCCATTTATTCCAAAACACAGAATGAAGCAAGGTCATGCAGAGCAGCTGGTACTCATTTTATCTCCCTCCTCTCTAAAGAGGGAGGAATGGAAAAATAATTTAGTATTTGTTACTGATTAAATCATCATCATAATTTTGTTAAGGGATGATCTATTGTATCAGCTGGTGCCTGAACTATCCACATTCCTGCTAATGAAGAGTTTGGATGGTGCTGGCTCCATGAGTTTTTGCCTCACTCTGTTGTCTCCATCTGCCTCTCCACTATATTAATTTCACAGGAAATTAAAAGCAAATGCAAAATAGCCGGGGGGGAAAGAGAAAAAGGAAGAGATTGGTCTCAGAATGAGCATCATATGACGTGCTCTGCCTTTGTGCCTTTTTTAGTTCTTTTTTGTCAGTTCTTTTTTCTGGCAAATGGTGCTCTGTGTAAGCATTGCATTTTGTTTCCCTCTTTGTTTTGAAGGGGTGAAAACCCCATACCTCACACAACAGAGCAGTCATGCTGAAGGGGAGTTATAACAGCACACAGCCTCTTAAAATTGATACACTCCACTAGGAACACGCCTGCTCTTTTTGTGACAGCTCTACAGAGAAGGAATGTTGGTGCCTTCCTTTGTCTGTCGGTCACACCGCATGGATGCTGCCTAACTGCTCCTTTAGACACAGCCCTAAAGAAACCACGAGTGTTTGTGTTGCCTGCTGTTTAATAGTCACTGCCTGCGCCTGATCCGTTTGGGAGATAGATGGCAGCAGGCCTTTGAAAACGAAACCCCAGTGTCAGTAAAATAAAATAGAAACTCACTTCAATTTCCAGAGAATAGTTCTTTACATCAGCAGTGCTCTGATTCTTTATGGATAGTCCAATCGACCCCTTATCTCTCCCGTGATCGGCAAGGTGGAATCTGCCCTCTGACTGCAAAATGATGTCATCTTTGTTGAGCTGGTGCTTTCCAAATAATACAATTGCCTAAGTATGCACAAAAAAAAGGTGTTAAAGCTTCCAAATTCTTCCAAACAAATGGCCTCTATTTTGAGTAGTAAGAATTTGTACAGTGGCAGCATTCTCATGAAATTACACCACAAACAAAACTTGCAGTTTCAGAAACCAGCACATCCTCCTGCTCCTCACAGCAATGTCTTCATTACATCTTCAGTTTCTGTGCTCTAACAAAGTATGTTCAGTGATTACACCCAGGCCAGAGGAGCAGCTGCAAAGAGCTATATTTTGTTAAAATGTCCAATGTTTTTTGCTCCTACACTTCTCAGCTACTCTAGCCAAGTGTTTTGATAAAGTTGGGGATACATAGGAGGTGAGGTGAATATTGTCCTGGTTTTGACTGGGATAGAGTTAATTTCTTCTCAATAGCTGGTACAGTTTGGGATTTGGAGTGGGAATGGGGTTGGTTACACACTGATCTTTTGATTTTGCTCAGTTGTTTATCCTAAGTCAAGGATTTTTTTTGTGTGTCTCTCTTGCTTTGCCTGTGAGGAGGTTCACACCTAGGACAGGTGCCCCAACCTGGCCAAAGGGACATTCCATACCACAGAATATCATGTCCAGTACATAAACTGGGGGGAGTTATCCAGAAGGGGCAAATCTGGGTTTGGGAAGGGTGGTCTGGAATTGAGCAGTGAGTAATGAGCAATTTTATTGTGCATCACTTCGTTTAGTTTTTCCTTTTCATTATTATTAGTAGTACTAGTAGTATTAACTATTATTATTGTATTTTACTTTGTTTTCAATTATTACACTGTTCTTATCTTAACGTACAAATTTTACTTTTCATTGTCCTCCCCATTCCACAGGAAGAAGGGAGGGAGACGGGGTTGAGTGAGTGGCTGTGGTGTTTAATTTCCAGCTGGGCTTAAACCATGATGCCTATGAAGAGAATGATCCAAAAATAAATACAGAGTCACCTGGTTTTGGAGTACCATGCATGTACATACTTTGCACTATAAGCAGGTTCTTTCACACCTTGGTCTGGGAAAAAGTTTTCCTGTTGCTAACAGAGTGTGATCTGCTCTGACATAAATAAAGAAACCAAGATGTGTTTCAGCCATTGTGAACTGGAGAGAGACATTTATTGCAGGTTCCAAGTTCTGTGTTTGTGAGTGTCTACAAGCAACTCTGAGGACCAGCATGTACGTAAGGAAGATCATGGGTGGGCCTTCAGTTTATGTGTGTATTAGAAAAATAAGGTTACATTACAGTTCAAAAATCCATCCCTACCAGCAGAGCAATCATAGAAACCAGCAAACTTTTACCCACAGGGGAAGGAAAGCACTTTTGCTCCTCTCTAGTTTCCTTTTTGATCACTTAATGAGCCTGATTTGGTATTCCTCAGAAACATTAAATTAAGATACCTTTGAAAGAGGAATAGGAAAGAAAGAACATGGAGGAAGTGAGAATGTTTACAATCATAAAAGGACCTATAGAATACACTATGGTGGCAAACAGAACCTTTCTGCCTCAGTCCATCAAATGACACTTTATTTATTTAAGTTACAGAAGTTTGGTAAGTCTTCTGAAGAGTTCCAGCTGAGGAAAACTAAGTTTCTCCAAACAAGTAATTACATTTAAACTGAAGGAGGTTTAATGTGTTTATGTCAGACTTACATTTGAAAGGTCACAGACCTCAAAGCTTGTATAGTAATCCAGGCAAGAGCAGTAGTTTGTTTCCATTTTACCCAGAATCTTCTGTTTGGTACATGGGGTCAGGAAAATATTTTCCAGAACAACTTCTAACTGAAACTTATCAGGATACAAGAGTTGTTTTCTCTGCAATGAACCAAAAAAATGAAGTTAAAAGATAACAGCAGGATCTTAGACACTCCTTGGAGCCCACTCATCCCATCCCTAGGCTGGCTTTTGTTATTCTAGTAGCTTCAGGATTTTAATGTAACATTTCCAAAACAGAACATTTCCACTTAACAATGTTTTAGCTTATCAGCCTTGTTTACCAGTCCCCATCCTACAAGTTTGGCAAATTTAGGGCACAGGCGAAGCCTCTAATTTGTAAGAACCCTTTCTTTCTTAAATATGCTCCATTTAGCTTTCTTCCCGTGTAGAAAAAAATGTAAAAGGTAAAGTGAAATAATGATATTTCACAAAAAATAGTGCTCTACAGAAGCTTTCTTAAAATTCACTCAACATTCCATCTAAAACCAAAATAATGTCTCATCTACTGAGAACAGCTTCCATAAAAATGGTGAGTCTACAGATCCAACTGCCTTCTCTTACCTCGTATGTGAAATTGTGTTTGAATGTTTTGTCATCCCAGTTCAGATCTAGGTATTCATTAAACAGTGTTGGTCTTTGCTCTACAGACCCACATGCATGCAGGTGTTCCATGCTTAATATTCTCTGAAGCTGGAAAAGTTGAAAAAATTGACACATATAAGTAATGTTTAAAAAAAGTGCTCAGTATATCCTTGGGCAGTAGGCTTCCTGGGCAAAACCACACCCTGTAAGAACATTTGGATGGTCTATACCCATGAAAAACTTTAGTCTCTCCCAAGAAACCTAAGGGGCTGACAGCTCTGTCCTGAGGGGAGGCTGCAGCCCATGTCTGGCAACATGAAACAGAACTTTTCACAGGGTTTATTTTTTTTCCTCTGAGACACAAAAAAGTTGACTTCAAGGCTTTTATATGGTAACAAGTACAGAAAAAAAAATTATTCTGTAAGGATCAAACAAAGAAATTTTGTTACACTCATCTCTTCCAAGGGATGTAAGACTCATACCTGGCCGGCAGAGAGTGTCACACAGCCACCCCAGGCAGTGATGTCCACCTTGGATTTGTCCTCCAGGCCCAGCTGGAGGTGAGCAGGCTGCCCAGCATTCCCTGAGACCTGCAGCTGAAAGCAAAGAAGGATTGGTCCAGCAGCAAGACTAGAACCAGCAGAATGATCCCCATCCAGTGGGAGAAAACAGAGCCCCAGTGAAAGATCCACAGATCCATGTTCAAGTTCCATGGAACTCTGTGGTCTGGAAGCTCCAGGCCTGAGACAAACACAGAGAAGCTGCACTTCTGCAACCAAGGCCATGGAAGGCTTTTGTTACCCTCTCTGGAAACTGCCTGTGGTCTGTCATGCAAAGCAATTAATGGCACAACTGCAATAATGACCCTACAAGAGAATTTATTCTGCTGAATACAATTCTGGAACCATACTGAGTATTGTGCAAACCCCCCAAGCACCAAAGGGCTTCAGATGAACAAACACTGCACAGCTGGCACAGCTTATTGCTCAAAGTCTTCAGCCTCAGCAGCTGCAGTGTCCTGACCTGCACAGGGCATTGTCAGACAGAATTATACTGCAGTATTTGATCTTGAAGGATGATTTGTGGAATTCCTCCTCTTTTCCCTTATATATGCTTTGCAAGTGCACTTCACAACTATAGTTTAAAGCTTTTCTAGCCTTGCACGTTTTCATATTTGTGTTGCAATTTCCTATACAATCAAAGAAAATTTACATTTTCTTCACAGAGGTATCAAAGGCTTTCTGGTTTAGTTTTATTGTGGGAGTTTTTTTGTTTGTTTGTTTTTCTTGTGTGTGCAGACTAGGAGTTTGTTCATTGCTTTATGTTCATTGCCTCATTTTCATTGCTTGGCTGGTTCCTGGGCCCTTCTGGGTTTCTCCCATCCAAAATGGGTCAATGCTAAAAGTGCAAAGCTGTTGGCTAGGAAACAAGATGGTTGGTGGTTTGGACACAGGGCAATAACAGCACTCGGTGCTCTTTACATTTTTCAGGATGATTTCTGGTTCTGCAATTCTCAGGGTGAAAGGCACACTCACAGTAAATGCAGCATCACAGCTGTGTGTTTTGCATCCCAGTCTCATGATCTCACCTGCTGGTTGTACTTTCTGCCCCTTCTTTCTGACAGGAAATGCACCTCCAGTTGCCTCAGAGTGTAATTAAATGGGTGGGCAAGAGTGGCTCTGTAGCTTGCCCGGTGTCTTCCAAACTTCAGAGAAGATGCCACTGATATCTGATCCATATCAACAGATAGAAAAGGAACTTGTGAAATAAAACACCTCTCACATACTGACTTCAAACATATACCCAGTAAGATTTCCCTGTACCTTGTCCTCAGATGAATTATGTGCACAATAAAGTCCTTTCTGAAGAAGGCAAATTAATGTTCAAATTAGGACAATTTCTGCTGCATAGCACAGCCCAAAGCAGAACTACTCTCTGTATTTTACTAAAATAATGAACAATGCTTAAGTTTGTTGAGGCTTAATTTTGGTCTCATCTTTAGGCACTGCAGGCTGCATTGCCACAGTCATTAGACACAGCTTGCAAAGTTAAAGCACAAGAAAAGGCATTTGCTTCATCAGGAACTGAATTCTGTTATGTTGTTGAAAGCAAAATACTTTTGTGGTAATTTAGATAAGGTGTGGCACTTAAATAGTTGTGGTGATTTAAGCAGTAGTAAAAAAATACATTCTACACAACTGCTAAAGTAAATTTTGGAATTTTAACACTTTTTAAAGAAATAAAAAAATTCCATGCTTTTTTCAGGCACATTAATGTTTATTTGGGTAGAATGTTTTATACGTTGTCTTCTGTCTTTCCATTATTCAGAAAATAATGTAATACTCAGCCAAGGTGCTGCATTTCAGATGCCCATGTAAAGACAGCACAGTTAGCAGCAAGTCAGAAGAGTGTCCCCCCTTAACCACATCTGGAGATTTACCTACCCTATGTTCTTCTACTTCTGTCTTTTTCACTCTTTATATTTTTAAAAAACAGTCCTGATTTACTTTATGAAAACAGAGACTGGTTTTAACTGTTCCACATTTGTCAGTCTTGCAAAAAAGGAGGAGAGTGAAAGAAAGAAATACAAAAGAGCTTTGACTGAATCAGTAAAGTTGAAAATGCTAAGCAAGGTATGTGTCCACTTTTGTGTGGGTAAATCCAATGTTATACCCATGCAATGAGTTCTTCATCCTTTCCAATCTCTACTAATGCTCACACTCAGATTTTATTTCTTTGTCCATAAGCTGCTTTAAGCGTGACATTTGTGCTATTCTTCCCACCTACTCTCAGAGGCCTTTACCCAGTGCTTTGAAGCTTATGCATTTCATTACCTTTGGTTAAGCAGCAAAGTGTGGGGCTACTGCAAACAAAAAAATATTTCCTACAAGAATATCAGCTGCTCATCTTTCACAGTCAGAACTTTTTAGATATAGCAGGGGGACAGTTTGCCATATAGTCGAGTTCCCTGGCTTGCTTAGTGCCTTTTTTAATTTAAAAAAAAAAAAAAAAGACCCCTTTGATATTCCTGTCATTCTCCTGACATTTATTTGCTCTGGGCCACTGTACCTTGTCCTTCTGGTTCCAAATGACAGTAAGATCATCCCGGTGAGTGCGTGCTGAATGTTTCACGTATAAGTTGACCCAGGCATGCCGTGGAAAAGGGATGGAGAGAGGATGGAGAAGCTCAACTACAAGGAAAACAAACAAGTAACATTTCCCACCAGGAATCATGACTGTTCCCAGGACATTTTCCCACAGGCTGCAGGACATCCCTTGGTTCCCAGGGAAACATGGTCTCTGCTCACACACACACCCCCTCCCCAGCAGCCACAAGGACTTCAGTGTGCTGATGTCTGCTCAACATGAGGAAATGTAAGTGAGAACAGGAACCCTCTCTCTGTTTACCAACAGAACAGTAGTTACCTGCAATAACCAAAAGATTGACAGCTACACCCAGAGCAACCTCAGCAACAACAGCCAGGAAAGTAATCTGTGTGAAACTGAGATGGCCTTACACTGAAAGAGGAACAGCTTACAACATTCAAACAGGTAAGTGCAGTTATCTTCTCTATTTTCAGATCATAAAGCCTCAACATAAGGGTTTAACACTTCAAGGTAGCAGCCAGTGTGACCAGTACTCCCTTCAGCACCCAGTACTTAAGTTTTATGTTCCATATCCACAAAGTAGATAGGGTTTTCTGAAGTGGACATTTCTAACAGCCAGACCTATAGTGAATTTAATATAAATAAGACCTTAGAAGCCCTAAATTGAAACCAGGATTGAAAGCCTTCGGACACGCATTTTGTAATCAGAGTTATGTAGTTTTTATTTTATTTTATTTTATTTTATTTTATTTTACAGTCTGGTTTGAACACTTGTAAAAGACTTGAGAAACCTACCCTGAATGCCATGACCTCCAGGCAGCTTTGGGAAGAGTCCAGTGTAAGTGCCTGTCAGCTTTATCTCTTTGCCATCCCACAGGGCAATGTGCCTCAGCAGATGAGTTCTGTTGCCTTTTTGGTAAATTGTCATAAACACAAGTTGCCTTGGAAGAATTTTAAACTAAAAATAAAAGAGGGCAAACATTAAACCCCAAGTTCCCCGAGAAGATAAAACCTAAATGTAATTTTGGTACCCCACAGTCCTGTGGGTCTGTCAAAATGTGTTTTTAAAGGTCTACTACAATGATACTCTAAGCCCAATGCTGTCATACAAGCAGCTATTCATTTCTACTTGTCTTCATTTCTACAGAAAGTCATCTTTTCAAATAATGGAATGCACATAAACAACTGGATATTCCCTTTACAACAGTCTTTGGTTATTATACAGTTTGATTTTCTTTTATCTCACAGAATAATCCTTACAACTTCAAGAGCCCCACTATTACAGAATAAATCCAGCAGATAGCACAAACAACAATAGGTATTTGTGACATTTTTTCTTACTTAGAGAAAGAAGTGTGTGGTACCTGCATCGCAAAAACTGGTTCAGGTTGTAACACATTCTTTTTCTTACTTCCTATAAATCCTATATGAGTGCTCCATCTACAGGAGCAAACAAATATAAACTCAAACTAATCCACAGTCAAATGTTTGCCCGTGCTACTGGAGAAATCAAGGGCAAAACAGCTCACACAGCAGCAGCTGCCTTTGGCCTTCACTGCTTGGCAGCCACCCCCTGAGTGCCCTCCTGTCACAGCCTGCCTTTGCCATCAGTGGATGGTACCAACCTGGGCCATGGTCTGTGCCACTTCAATGGCATTAGTGTAGCTGCTTCCAGTCAAAGTTAGCTTTGCTGAAACATTGAAATCCCTTTTTTCCATCCTGAGGTAGAGTTTGCCTTTTGCTTCACTCATATCATAATTAACCTTTGCAAGTTCAAATTAAATTTAAAAAAAATAAAAAAAAAAAAAGGAAAAGGTTGAGATTGTTAACATCTTTAAAAACAGGAACATCCTCAACAATAACAAAAATGTTAGAGATACTAGTACTAGAAATAAAGCAGGTTGACTCCTAACATATTAGACAAGTCTACTTTGCAGTGAGGTATGCAGTGGATTACTTGCAGATAGTTACCTTAGAAGACAGTTCTGCTGCACAGGGGAAGTACTGTAGAAAGAAGGGATGATTCTGGAGTGCTTTTATATTCAACTCTTCACTAAAGGGAAGAAATGTACTCTTGTTCAACAATATTTCAGAAAGTCCACTCTTGCTGGCAGCACAAGTTCATCTGAGTTAGCTTCAAGTCTGCCACAGCTTTTAGAGTTAAAATGGCAGTACCTGCCACTGAACACTTACCCAGCTCCCAGTTTTTGAAGTATTCACACAAAATCACCACCTCTGAGCTCAATAAAAAAATCTGTGCACGCATCCCAGGGACAGAATGTAGCCCTCTGGACCAGAAATCACTTTGCCATAGCAAATGCATGAGCTTTTTAAAAATGAAAAAGGTATTTTGGAATCTGACTTTGCAAGCACTGCCATGGTTTACAAACTTAGAATTTACAATGATTAGAGATTTTAACAGAACTTAAAAGACTTCTCAGTGCAAAAGCCTTTTGCTAGAAACTTAAGAAATATCTGAAATACCCCAAGGCTGAAAATACCACACCTCCAAACACCCTTAAAAGCCTAGAGTTTTGTGCAGATACAGCCATACTGATACCAACTTAGAAAACCAAGTCTCCATAATTTTACAAGTTTCAACTGTAACAGTGCCAAAATAATTTAATAAGGTTTAAATAGTTATGTCCAGTTAAGTTATATTTTTAAGTACCTGTCTAATTCAGGCCTAGAGTTTTATGGACTCTTTCACTGTCTGTTACTTGGATTCTGTGTGGGCAGACAGGTCCCAGGCTGTGAGGGGAGGAATCTGTCTGCTGCCCTTCAGAAACTCCCTGAGGTTTACAGAGTGCTTGGTGTGACTACTCACTTTATCCAAGTTTTGTTATCCAGTTCACCTGTGATTTAGGGATTAATATAGTAACAGTTTTCCATGGAATCACAATGGCCTAATGACATTTTTATAATTCTCAGAATGACCCTTTTACCCTTGTTGGTCTTTTTTTCTACTGATGGAAAAGGAGAAGTTTTTGTTTTGTTCATAGGTCAGCCTCAGAGCACCTTCAGTTTCATTTTCAGTCATGACTTCTTGAACTGTCATCTGTGGAGAGGGGAAAATAAACAAATCACATGCCATAACTTCTATCCATCCTTCCACCTCAGCTGAGCAATCTCTTGATTCATTTAACATCATCATCTTGACTGAAGTTTATCTTCCAGAAAGGCCTTCTGGATGCTTCCTAGATGTAAACCATGAGCCTCAAGAGAGGTCTTCCTTTTTTGTGTGTGTGTTTCCATAACTACTCATTTTCATTATTGATAAATATTAGTGTCACTTCCAGTGTACCCTTATCTGGTTTTAAGTCTAAAGCTACTGGCTCTTGTTTATGTCTCCACACTCTCATTTTTCATTTTACTAGAAAGAAATTGCTCTTTTTTTACTCTAGGGCATTTTCTTCCTCCCACAGCTGCTGCATCATCTACAGCCTTATCTTGAAAATGCAAAAGAATCTCTCTGGGGAAGATAAGGGCTGTTTCCCACACTTCAATATCAACACTGATATTTGCCAAAGTCTGCTGAAACAGTAATTTCTGAAATACCCTGGTTATACTCACACCTTATACATTAATAAGGCACCTCAAGAATTACCATCTCTCTTTTCTTTTTTTTCATTCAAACATTTCACTAAATATTAATGGGGAAGAAGCAGTGAAAATATCTTCTGCCTTTCAATAGAAGGATGGCAGTAAATATTCCCTTGAAACACTGATATTTAATATACAGGTTTAATATTGATCTAATGTTTATGTTAAGGAAAGTTGACTTTTACTCTTACATCCTAGCTACATGTCATGTTATATGAAGAGAAGGTGGTGGAACACTCAGAAGTGTTTTTGTGTATACTACCCTTCAAAAGGGAAGGGGACGGGGACATTTCAACTGATGGTTCTTTCTCCCAAGGGATAAACAGGTACAGCTTTTGTTGATCCTATCAAGTAGATTGGAATATAAATCTACTTCTATTTATTCAGCACTGAAGCGTTTTAGGTATTTGTGCTACAAGTGGTTTAACCAAGCCAAGGAGTTCTCTAGGTATGAAGGACAGCTGTTTTCCACCAAAAGTTCTTTCTACTTTTGTGAGTCCCATCAGCTGCAAAGTGACAGTAAATACGTGACTTCCTGAAATGGTTAACCCTGAAACTGGGGATTTCAGGTACCTGACCAGCTTCCTTGGAAACAGACCACTCCCTCTGTACTTAAGTTAAACAAGGGTTCAGATAAACTGGGCCAAGTCAGCTCTCAGCTGCACTTGTACATAAACCTGGAGTAATTTCACTGAGGCCACTCGAAGTGCTCTGGATTAATGCAAATGTAACACAAGTGACAACTGTCATCAAAGCACAGCCAAAGTTCTGTGGTGCATTACCTTAAGAAAGAAGGGAAGTCCCAGGTGATGGAGAATTGATATTGAATGCTTCACCTCTGCCATGAACACAAATACACCAAAGAGTTCAGAGTCTGTGTCAACATCCACAGTCACAGTTATATCTTTCTCATCATACTGGATTTCACAGACAGTCTTGGCTTTGTTTTCTATATAAAAGGGACAAAATAATGCCAATTTGAGCAGCTAATTTTTGAGAAATTTCAGTACTGCCTGCATAAAATCAACCCAGCCAGCTTTTAGGTTAATACATTCATAAAGACAAAGTCATCATTCAGGATTACAAGAACTTTGGCCTGTGGTTGGAGGAGGGCAGAGTTTTTCTGGATGTCCTTTAACTTTGTCCTTACAAAGTCTTGTGGTAAGAGAGCTTCTGTACCCACATCCAGTGTTACGTGGCAAGTTAGTTCCTGTCAGGAATGTGTTTGTGCAGCTAGAGCTGACTAATCCATACAGCCAACTGCATCTGTGACCTACAGCAGCTTCTTCCAGGGAAGAGCTTTAAGCTGTTCTGACCTCCAGTGACTCCTCTGGTTCCAGCTACAGCAGCTCAACAATGACCAAAGAGCATGACCTGAAAACCATTACCCACTTTCCTACCAGCTTTTCATTTTTGAAAAGGAAAATACAAGACTGCTAAAAGATAAAAATGAGATAAGAGATTTGAAACCCCCTAGATTCTTTATGAAACCCCCAGAAATGGTGGGGTTTGTGGTGGAAATCACATGGTGACTGTGGCTGTCCTGAGAGCGACCTCTCATCCTGCTGCTTTTTTCTGAACAGGTGAAAAGAGATGACGCCACTCACATTAGTATTGATTCAGTGCCTGCCAACCTCAGTAATTCCTGCCCTTTGGTGCTCTCACAGTTGTTGAGTTTTCTTCAACATGAATACATTCCCCTGGGGACACTTAAGGTACCTGATCACAGTGTAAGAGAGATATGCACATAAAATTTATGCCAGGGCAAGCTTTGAGGATAGACTGGCTTCATCAGCTAATCACAGATGCAGTTTCAGAATGACAATTTTACTTACAAACAAGATAAAGCCTCTTTTTAGATCCTACCAGGAAATCTTAGTCAGTTTGTAGCTGTTGAAGGAACAGCTGAAACATCCTCAAAGAGTATTGTAGAAAAAAAACCCTTCCAAGAATGGCAGGTACCCACCCAATTTCTGTACACTGAAAATCAAGTTGATTGCCTTAGGGTAGCCAGATGCCTGGAGTACCTCACTGCTGTGCACACTCTGGCAGAAGAGATCCACTTGGTGGCCAACATAATAGGAGTTTATTATGTATGTGATTGATGCTTCTCCAGCTGCAATGTGCACATATCTCTCTTGAGTGGTGTTTCTCCCTTGAAAAACCACATCTATCTGAAAAATAACACATAGATATCAGTTCTCAAAACCATATTTAAATACTATTTAATTTTAGGACAGGAGAAAATGGAAGTGAAAGAAAGTTCTCTCTAGTCTATACTTATGTCAAAATCTATCCATTAACAAAATGTCTCTTGGCCTTTCATTAACAATCTTTGACTTTCAAGTATGAAGCTCATTCAATGGAATGAATGTCAAGCTGTGATCTATGTAAATTCTCATTAGGTTCTTCTTTATCCCACACACACAACTCTCTACTTATAAAGGAGACTTACTCTACACCTACTGACAATATTTACCAGATAGTAGGTACTCCAATACTTCCCTGAAAATAGCACCCAAAGAAATACTTCTTTCAGTATAAAATTCCCATTAAAGAGCAGGAGAGTTGTAGAGTTACAATATCAACAGTACCCACTCTACTAACACTGATCAGGATGGAAGAATCTCATTCAGAAAGCAGTCAAGGAGAAACTTTCTGTTTCAGTAGTTAAGCTTTTAGGCATCCATAGCTTTTAAATATCAGAAAATCTCAGCTTCCATCCTGTACCTTACAAAATGAAAGTTTTTATCCAAGCCATGAACTTGAATTAAACCAAAAACCAAACAAAACCCCAAAACTACCTGTAAAGATGATGGGACTCTGGCTTGTAGCAGCCATGGCAAAGAATGATGGAAATTCCCTGTTATGTTGGTACTTGTTTCAAACTCCTGGATTTGTCCTTCAAGAGCTATTAGGTGGGAACCATAAAGCACTTTCAAACTAAAGCTCCTGGTGACTTTGAGGTTCAAGAGAGCCTGTGTGCAACAAAAATAAATTGTGAAAAGACTGAATTGTAAAAGCTAAAGAAGCTCCTGCTGGTCAGGGTTCTTTCTTTGGTTGAGACAGTAGAATCTCAGAGATATGTCAAAGATGCATCTTGTATCATTTTATAAGACAATATAGTTAGAAATGTCCCTTTTATTTTAGAATTCAACCATTTAACATGTATTCTCAAGGCCATGCTTTAATGCTATTCAGTTACATGGTTGATAAGTCTTGTGTTTCTCAGATAAAAAAATATGCCAGGTAGTCAGAGTTCAGAAGGAAAATACCATTTGGAAAGGATCAGGTGAAATCCCAGCAGTGCTGCCTCTCCTCTGCCCTGTGTCCAGGGCACACTGCAGCTCTGTCAGACACACAGATGCAGTGCCCTCCTCTCACTCCACACGGGAGCCAGCCTCCAGCCTGTGGAAAGCCCTGGTCTAAGCTATTCTCCCATGAGAGCAAGCTGAGCTTCTGGGCTCTCCTCAAGAACAAAGGGAGCACCTGGACTCCCCTTCCCCAAAACAGCAAACATGAAAAGTCCCATCTACACCAGCTGCTCTTTGCCACCTCACTTCCCCAGCTGCTGCTCCCTCGTGGCATGGCTCCAGGTTGATAACCTACCTGCAACTCAATCCTGTCTTTTATTTGCAGAGTCTTCAATGTCTCTATGTTATGAGTCAGTTTGTAGTTAAGAGAGACAACATCGAAGTTCTGGACAAAGTTCAGTTCTTCTGAAATCTGCTCAGTTCAGGTAAATATGACAAAAGTTAACTGTGGCATATCTCTGATATAGACATTTCTCTGTCGATAATAACTGTGATTATTAGACTAATTACACATTAGAATAAAATTATGAAAACTACAAAAACTTTATGGTGAAGAATTGTCTCATTTTTTTGGAAGTCATAACTCTGTACTGTAAAAGTGAAGATTCTTGATAAGGAAGATATAATTTACAAATGAGAGTCATGGATCATTGCTGATGTCAAATTTGTTGCAAGGAGCAATCGCACAGAAGGAGTGGCTGAAAGATACTGCCTTCATTTAATTAAGGCCTTTACAACTAACCCAGCCCCTGCAATGTATTGCATTTGGATTGTTTGCAGAAACAGTATTTACCACATCAATTAGCTCACTTCAACCTCTATTTCACATATTACTGATATGGAGGAGACACTTACTTGTTTGTTGTTCACACAGAAATGAATAAATCCTTTATAGAAGTCACTGTTTTTTTCTGATGTGACATCAAGTAACATCCTCATGGGAATGCCAATGTCAGCAGCTCCTTGGATGTTATGGGTTAGCAATGCATCCAACTCTTGCCTTTCCTGTTAATATTTCACAGCACAGAGAGCAAAGCACATGTAGAACCCAAAGATTGCTGCTATACAGAGCTCAAACCAGAAATCTGTCTGTCCTACATTTAATATGAATTAAACTCCCACTAGCTATGTTGTTTCTCTATAGCACAGAAATTATGCAGCAATTACCAGTTATGGCAGGAAAGTGAAACACCATGAGGAAACAAATACTTGTGCATGTTCTCTGCTCTCCTGCTCTGATGACAAGAGAATCCAAATTTGTAATTGTCAACAGAAAAGCAGGAGATTCCCTGTGTTGCTGTCTCACTGAATAAACAAATAGCAGTGTCTCAATCATTGCCTATTATTTTGCAGGGTAAATCACAGTGATGTAAAGAACATCCAAGAGTACAATCCAAAGAACAATTTACACATAAAGAGCATAACAAGGACAATATTCAGGAAGTGCCAGAGCCTATATCCTATTAATCAGTTACGGCACATTGAAGGTGCCAGATTTTCGGATTTTATTATTTCATTTTTATTCTGGCATTTATTGCTGAAGCTTGACTATTTGTTGAAAATAACATAGGTTAGAGTACATTACTCAGTACTTTGTTCACACATTCAGCCTGCCGAGTACTCACATCAGTGACTTTTAGTATAAGGAGTCCTCGGAATTTACTTTCATCAACAGTGATCAGTGTCTGTGAATCTAGGTTCATTTTATCCATCCAAAGGTAGCCTGAGCCCTCAATTTTCATTGGTGCTCCAAGATCCTGTAAAAGAAAGAAAAAACTTGTAAAAATCACTGCTTTTGCACTTAACTACAAATGCATTATACCCCTGAAACTTAATTCCTAATAGTAACTTTAATCACCTAGGTGTAAAATCAACTATATCAGGCAGCATAGGCACAGGACATTTCAGAAATCTTGAGAGCTTTTCAATACATTGTATAATGTTGTCTTTTTTTTTTTTTTAATATGTCTGATTGTTTTTGATGGATAAGTCAGCATAAATAGAACACTAGACAATGTGGCAGCTCTTCCTGCCTAAATGAAAAGTTAATTAATACTCTATGCTTGGCATTGTCCCAGTGGCCCAAAGCATCCATAAACTCAATGAAACTAGACAGCATACATAAGTTTATTATGGCAGTTTTGTCTTTGGAAAAGGGCAGATGAATCTCGTCTATGTATATTCAGATTTAGCCTGACTTGCATATTGAATCCACAGATCATAATGTCTCTCACACTTTCCATACACTGAATTCTCTGACGTTACGATTATCTATTTACTTCATATATTTTTAAACTATATCAGAGTTTGTCTCTCAAACTGCTGAGAAACTGTAACTGCTGATAAAGCCAAAGACAACTTTTAATAATCGTTATTTCTGAACAGAAAAACCCTGGAGAATCCTCAATCATGTTTTATAAAACACATCACAGCTAGTTGAAGCAAGTCCATTATCTGCAGGTACTGATTAACAGAAAATTTGGCATATGCCATATGAAAATAAATTGAATGACTGGTCCAGAAGTAAGATGCAACATTAAAAGAGAATGTTGTTCTTATTTCTCTGCTACCTCTTTGAAATACTTAGATTATTGTCTTTTGACTTCAGCAGGTACAAATATCCTAGCTTAGACGTATAAATTCAACATTAAATGAGAAAATTCTTTTCCATACCTGAATTGTTTGGCATTTGTTTTCTATAAGCATTTTCCACTGAAGGTTCTTTTCAGGGTCAAAGTCCCCATTCATTTGAAGCTCACAGGCACCCAATTTCATTCCAGCTCCAATAAGATATTTGAAGTGTTTCCGTGCAGTGATGGACAGCTCATTTTCCCTTGGGATTTCCTTCAGCTGGGGGAGGTCATGCCTGAACTGAATTTCCAGAGCCATCTTTGGCTTGCACTCTGCTCTCACTTCGAGCCGGGCAGTTTTGCCTCCTGTTTCCAGGACAGAGAGCAGCTCTGCCTGGCACTTGTCCTTCTGAATGGATCCTGTGAGACGTGACTGAGCTGGGAAACTGAGATCCTATCAGGATTTAAACAAAAAATCCTTTGGAATATAAAAACACTTTAAGACAAGTGTGTATTATGTTATACAATATCAGAGACAAAAACCTACATTCTCCATGCTGCCATTTTTCTCCCTCTCAACAAGAAAGGTGGTGATTTTTTTCTGAATAGGACTTGATGGAAGATTAAGGACTGTCCTGCAGAATTCACAACTTCTGCATCTTTACAAAGTTTTATATTTACAAAAATACAAAATACTTGTTTCTTCAGATTGGCAAAATTTACTAAACATTGTATGCTTCATCCAGACCACACCAATCTTCAAACAAACAAATTAATGTACAAAAAAATCGTAGAACTCACAGACGTTCTTGCATCTGGTTGCAGAAGGTTTTTGGTTGTTTTTTTTTTTAATAATTAATCTCAAATGAAAAGTTTCTTCCCATTCTGTCAAAGGATTTCTAAAAACACTGAAAATTCTACTATTTTTAATACTTTGAGGGATTTTCATTCCCTCTTCACTTCAGCTTTCCTGTCATTTTTATTTTTATGTTACCACCTCGTAGCTGAGGAAGTTACTCAGTTTGAGGATTTGAAAGCAAAATATAAGTGCCTATGAACATCTAGAAAAAAACCCTGATTTTGCAATAGTCATTCTTTCTAATGTAGTCAGTGAAGCTAACTGGAAAACCCAAGGAAATTCTATTTTGATATAATCCTCACAGACCAGGGAATGTATTTTTGACAGAGTTCAGGTTAATATTGCTGCTCAGCCTTAGAGGGCAGTGTCGGCCTGCAAAGGCAAAGGCAGCAAAGGCTGAACTGATCTCGGTGTCCAGGAGCACCTGAGAACATGATGTGTGAGACACTGCCTTTGCCTAATGCTGTGGGACAGGTGTGCCTCCCCAGCACTCCAGCACTGGCATTTTAGATAAAACCCACAAGGCCTTCATTTGTTCCCCAAACTCTTTTTAAAAGCTTCCCAGAGCTACCTGTAGAAGTGGACATTCTGTTTCTGTTTCCAGTGTCCAGTCAGCTTTATTCTGAACAAAGAAATCCCCTCTAGCCCTCAGTCTGCATCTGCCAGCCTGCAGCAGGAAAATGCCCTCTGTGGTGGAGTCTGTGGCTGCAGAGAACAGGACAGAGTTTTCAAAAGGCAGCCCAAGCTGGCTGAGCCAAGGAAGTGAATGCCTGAGCATCCCCTGGAGTGTAAATTCATGCTGGCAGGAGGTGTCTATCTGCACATCCACTGCTCTGCCATCACACTGCAGCTTCATTAACAAGCCCATGTTGCAGATGTTCTGTCGAAATGAGCCCCCCAAGACTGCAGCATGAGGCAATCCCATCCTCTGCAACAGAAAAGATTACATGGTTTAAAACACACAAAGTAAAGCAACTGTCTGCCTCATTCGTTCCTAAGTCATGAGAAAGCTTTCCTTCTTTCTGAAACAATCTGCTTTTGGAAAGGACCATACAAGACAGCTTGTTTCATAGAGAAATCAGAAATTTCAGAAGTTTCTGATTTCTCTATGGTGAAAAACCTGGAAAAAAATAAATAGGAGGGAGGGGGAAAAGAAGAATAAATACTACAATAACCTTTTCATAACTAATGTAGAAGGAAAAAATCTTAACCTCTACAATTCCAAATTGAAAGGGCATGCTTTTCACTTTTAGGACAAAAGTTTATTTTAATTAAAAAACTATTATTAAGCAAAATTTTTATGGCAACAGCTGTAACATCTACCATTGCATTACTCTAAATTAATATCTTCAAATACACTTCCCCTTGCAAGTGCTCTGACTCACTGCTCTGCCAGAACAACTTCAATGACTAAATTTGGTCTATCCATAAATGTGTCAGGAGACAGTTTTCTGTGACTCAGTGATCTGAAATACACAGACTAGAAGGGCATGCAGAAAACAATCTGGGCTTACCTCTAGACTGATGCACTTGTTTCTAAAAGCAAGTACCCATCCTGTCTCATTGTTTGCCAGGCTCACTTCCCCATCAGCTTCCAAAGTACAAGGCCCAAGGACAATACCAAGGATGCCCTTGTACTTGTCACTTCTCATGGCTAACACCTTCAGGTGGTTCTCTCTGGCAATTCCCAGAGAATGAAGTGAAGGCAAAGAATGCTGGAAGTCGATTTCTAAATGAGGATGGGTGTTAGTGGTAGCATAGAGTTGCAGGCAGGCAAATATGTCATGAAAAGAAACACGTCCAAAGAGGATGACAGTAAAGTTGCTGGTAAATATTGACCCATTCAGTAAAACTCTTGCTGGAGTCTGAAAAATTACAGAAAACTGTTGTCAAGTTTGCTTTCCTGTCAAGTCACATGCTGTTTTTAAAAGCTCATATTACTAAAAGAGAACTGTTGCCTACACCATTTTGTATTCATCCTATATAATTATAAATGCTGAAACAAATGGAGAGATGGACCCATATCTTTATTTTGGAGTTCCATAATAGAAATAACAGGAAGAAAACCCAAGCCAATAATTAATGGAGTGAAAATATTTGAAAATGCACACAAAACTTCCAGGAAGCTCAAATCCATTTCTATGTGTCTGACACTTTCAGTTCTTAGATTCCCTTCATGGTAGCTAAGACACTATGTTGTTGAGAGTAAAGTTTATAAATTAAGCCAGTACCTCAAAATGGTGAAATGCAATTGCACCATTGCAAAGGCCAGAAAGTTGTTTGTTAGCAGATTCTCCACTGCAAGCAACCTGTTGATGTTGTCAATAAAAAGTACATTCAGACTATGAAGAAAAGCAGGGAGGACTAAAATTCAAAGGAGCAAGTTACAGGGCTGCTTTAAGGATCAAATGGATGAAGGCACCGAAACATAGATTTAAGATTAAATATTAGAGTTCTGTTTCAAAAAGATTAAAAATTAAATTAAAAAGATTTCAAAAAGTTTAGTGTTTAGTGATTAGTGCACTAAATACATTACAATATATGGCAGGATTTCTGCAAACCTCTAGTGCACGTGGAAGAATGTCCATCAGTCCTCCCACATCATGGTGAAGTAAAAGAGAAATTTCCACAGCAGTGCCAGTGGTTTTCTTCTCTATTTCAATCTTGAGCTGCTCTGTCTCCACTGTGGTTGTTAGCCCCACAGCAATCTTTCTGGAGAAATTCTGTGTAGAAAAGAAACCAAATCATGGAAAGAAACAAACAACATCCTAGCAACAACTGGGAAAGGCAGAGTGTGTTTCATAGTGCTTAAACATCACAGCCTGTATCAGGGCAGCAGCACTGGTAAAATAAAAGTGCAAATTCATCAAGGCAGCCTCTTTTCAAACAGAGATTGTACTGTTATGCCAGATCATCTAAATGCAGTGTATCAATAATTTTTCTGGCTCCAAAATATACTGAGAGCATTCAGTACCCTGAAGGATTTGAGCCCTCAGGCACAAACAATTAAAGCACTGGAACTACTAGAGAGCAAGGTAAAGGAACAGTTTAGAATTCTTTCTCTCACCTCTGTGTCTCACCCTACCACAGTTGTTGAAGCCACCCAAATATAAGCATATGAGTGACTCGAGCCTTTCAGTGGATGTCTGAGACAGCAAAGGATTTGTACCTTTCTTTTATGGAAAGATAATCTGCAATGCAAAAGAGCTGGAACGTTCACAGATCTGTAGCAGAAATGCAGATAGAGAGAACAGTGGCCAAGCAACCCCATACCAGGAATCGTGGTCCAGAATGCTTCTGTGGGTAGGAGTTTCCAAAGGGAAAGGGAAGCAAAACACTGTTCTGCTCTTTAGCAGCCTTGCAAAGGATGACACGAGGACCAGTTATATCCAGTACCAGATACAAGCCTTAGGCCTGCTGCTCCACTTCTCATTTATAGGGAAAAGATAAAATTGGACAAGACATCTGTTCATATGCAGCAAAGCACTTCACTTAAATGAGAACTGAAAGTAGCATCTCATTTAGTCTAGATTCAGGTCCAAGAGCTCAGATGACAGGTCCACAGTATGACAAGGAACCAGACAACACCTTTCTTTCATTCAGTAATTTAGTATGTCTCTAAAACAGAGCAGCTCCTAAAATAAATATATACAATGCACAGGAAAAGTCTAGAGTTATATAGTCCTGCCAGAAATTAAACTTTCACAGGCAGAAATCTTCTTACCTCATAATAGCCAGCAGCTTCTAAAACAAAAGGGATCCCAAGTTTCTTTATCTTTGAGATGTTGTGCTTTAGGATCACAGATAGCTGGGATGTTGGAGGCTCTGTGGCCAGTCTGTGCCCCTCTAACACAGCAGCAATCCTTTCACTGCCACTCTGCAGGGCTATGGCAATGGTGTGATTTCCTGTGCCATGCTCACATGTGGCAGTAAGAATGCCATCCAAAGGTAACCCTATTGACAGGGAAGGAAGTAAAATCAACACAGCACTTCTGGGTTGGCATAACAGACTACAGAGAAGATGTATTATAGATCAAAAGAAGCCTTCTATAGTTTTTCATAAGAAAAGACACACCTTTAAATAAATTGTGATCACTTTACTGATATTTATAGAAGGACATTACCTACCAGGTGAAAATAGTATTGAAAAGAGACTGCTAAATTAAAATGTGCCATGCACTTTGGAAATCAAGATTTTTCCTTTTCTTAGTAAATGATATTTATCAATTGGTATTGTGTCCAACTCCAGTAGTCAGCTGTCAAAAAGATTCAGAAAATATTTACTCTGTCCAAAGGAACCCATGCAAAATTACTGATAACTCCAGCTCAGGAAAACCCACAGTTTTGCTTAGGAAACAACACTTGGCATAAAACTATACTTAGAGGAACTGGTCAGCTTAGAGGCTGCACAAGAACACAGATGTACAAGAGAGAAATCATTTACTCTGAAATATTTCAAAACTCTTCTAACTATTTCTGTGTCCATTTTACTGAATTATCTCAACAATATTAAAAAGAATGCTGCTAAGACTAGATCACATTTTGTTCTGGTGTGAGCAAACACAAGTCATCTGTTTCCATTGGTCAGCAGTCATTTAGATAAATTCACCATGTTAGACCACACAGTGAAATCAGATTTTCTTCCTACCTGCATTTTTTAAGAAGTCGACATTATGTGTGAAAGTCCCACTGATTCTGCCATGCCCATGATCCATGATATTAAGAAAATCTACAGAAAGAGCCTTCTCATCCACCTGGAAGCTAGCTAGCCCCCTTTTCTTCTCTTTACTCAGTTCCAGGTGTCCTTTCAGTCTTGCCTCCACTGGCATTGCCCGACTGCCATTCTGAACAATGGCAACAGTGATATTGTGCACAGTGCTTTTCCCAAACACATTCCTGTTCCTGACATGCAGTCCATACAGTCTTTTGTTGATCATCACATTGATGTTACCTGTAACAGGCAGAAATTATTACTGTGGAGAGAGATTCTTGGGAAAAAATAACCACAGTTTTAGAAGTAATGTATACACTAACCATTGCTTTAACACCAGGAGGAAGTAGAAGAATTTCCATTTATTATACTAGGTAATTTTGTCTAATCTAGAGAGCAAATCAGTTCAGTGTTGAGGGTTTCTCTACTAGTGAGTGTTTGTATTTAAAACAAATTACATAATGGTATTTCTGGCAGCTATTCCTTTTTATTCACCAAGCTGCTTGTGCCCTTAGGCCATGTACTATACTGCACTCTCTCTGAAGGAAACTTTATAGATGGATTGTGACCTACTACTTGTGTAATTGCAGGCTAAACAATCCCTCCAGAGCTCTGCAGTGACCTACTCCACCCATGGAGCCATTCAAAAGAGTAGGAGTCTCAAGTCAGCTCTCCCATTTCAGAAGAGGAAGGAGGCCACCCACTATTTCCTTTAATCCATGAAAACATGAAAAATCCCAAACTATGTTAGTTCACTGAAAAGTACTCTCAACCTGATGACCAGTGATTCATTTTGCATGCTAAATACTCTGCTCTGCATTATACAGAATCACAGAATGGGTCAGCCAGGGAGACCTTAAAGCCCATCTTGTCCCAAGCCCTCTGCCACAAGCAGGGACACCTTCCACTGTCCCATGTTGTTCAAAGCCTGTCCAGCCTGGCCTTGAACACTTCCAGGGATGGGGCAGCCACAGCTTCTCAGGGCAACCTGTTCCATTGTCTGATCACTCTCATATGGAAGAATTTCTTCCTAATATCCAATCTAAACCTGCCTTCTGTCAGTTTGAAGCCATTCCCCCTTGTCCTGTCTCTCCAGGCCCTTGTCTAAAGTGCCTCTCCAGCTCTCTTGGAGCCCCTTTAGTCCTGGAAGGGTCTCTAAGGTCTCCCTGGAGCCTTCTCTTCTCGAGGCTGACAACCCCAGCTCTCCCAGCCTGGTTCCAGAGCAGAGGGGCTCCAATCCCTGACCACCTCTGTGATCATCAGTGTGCTCTGGACTCACTCCCACAGGTACACATTGCTCTTCTGTTGGGGCCCCCAGAGCTGGATGCATTGCACAGCTCAGGAAGGATTACATTAAAATTAAGAAGTTTTCTTAGGTAGCTGCAGGTTAGAACAAAACACAAAGAAACAGAATACCATCGTGAGTGTTGTTTTTGCACTTCAGTAATCCATCCAGAGAAAGGAGATGAGGTATGGCATTTAATCCAGTAAAAGTGTGCTGGACTTTTCCATTCAGGGACAAAACAAAACCAACTTTCTGCTCCCTGACTCCCATGAAATCCATGTGAACCCTGTTTTCATTAAGCTTCAAGTCAGAAGATAACAGAAGTCTAAAAAGACAGACATAAAAATTGCTAGTAAGATATTAATGTTTGATTCAGGATTGTCAAGACACCCCTCCTCACTCAAAGCAGGATCAGTGAGAGCAGGGTGCTCAGGAGTGTGTGTGGTCCTGTTTGGAGTATCTCCAAGTATGGAGACTCCACAGACTTTCTTTCACTCATTCCAGTGTTGTGAATCAGGCAATCAAATGCCTTGCAGTCAGCACACACTGATGTTTATAAACATCACCAGATGTTTATAAATTCCTCAGTAAATCTTCACAGATTGGCAGACTAATTTTTCTTTAAATTTCTTGAATGTTTCTGTCATGGTTTATAATAAAAGAAAGAGTTGGAGAGACTTTGAGATGGAAATGAAGCCTCCTCTGTCACAATATGAAATATCCCTTTGGTGCTGATTTAAAAGCAGCATTCAAGAATTCAGGTTAAAACATAATTCTAAGTGCCCCCATCTTTTGAGTTTGGTAAATGAACCGACAGTAATTCTTTGCATCTTGGCCATGAATTGAACAGTGTTGGAGAAACACAGCACAGCTTTTTAAAAAAACTTGCTGGAGCAACAAAAGGCTCCATTTTCAGTGTTATAAGACTGAGACACAATTTTCACATTGTCTTCAACAAACTACCCGACATTCTAGACCCAAGTATGCTACACAAAATACCCAAAAGTGAGGCAATCACTCCAGTTTTCATAGTGTTAGACATCCTTCCTACAAATTGGAACCCTGTTGAAAGACTGATGACAAGTAAAACCTCAGTGAAAATCCACTCCATGGGAAGAACAAAACTAGATAGTTCAGTGAAGTAAGATTCATTCCATCAGTCAGCAACTGAAGTCTGTACAGACTGCATCCTTCTAACTGTGCTCCACAAACATTCAACAGTTTATTTTTGTTTGTATTCTCCCTGTAAAACAAATCCTAAACAAATCATCATTCCAAAAAATTTAAGTGTTCTGTTTTCTTTCCTGTGAACTGCAATAAATTGCTCTCTCATGGCTTACCCTGGTATGTAAACAAATTAATGCACTATTGGAAGCCCAGAACTGCAAGCAAACTGCAGAACCACATGAAATACCCTTCTTGGAATATTTTATCTGATTTTTAATGTTACTAGTACATCTAATATGCTTTATCTAAATTGAAGTATCTTCTGATTTCTTTAGCACTTATTTCCTCATTCTCGTTATCCCATCCAATTGGTAACACTGGGACCTCTGCAGAAACACTAAATTCTTCACTGCATACTTTTGTATTTGTGAAATTTGAAAAATCAGCTGAAACTTGGGAGAGCCAAATTTCTATTTCTCACCTCTGCCACCTCAGAGCTTTCTCCAACACTTTAAAAACCTTATAATAAACACTGGGAAGTGCCCTTTTCCACTGGCTTAGCCTGTACTATCTGTTCACTCAAAGTTCTCTATACAAAGTCCTTGGAAAGCAACTAGAAAACATTAATACAACTTATGCCAAGTTGTGAAATGCAAGGAGCAGAAGTATTTCAATAATAGGGATAACACATGAACTGACATTTACTCAGTGGCCTTGCTGCAGCCATAGGAAAGCAGTTACATTTAAATTTGTATCCCAGAACACTTCAGTTCCTCAGCCAACATTCTGATTTCTTTACCTTGATGGATGTATTTTGCCCATGAGCTGGAACTGTACTGATTCTGGGTTTGTCAGGACTGTCTGATGGAGAAAAGCCCTCAGTTCAACAATTCTGGTACTCCTCCTGTTTTCATTGTTCACATCGACCTCCAGCTTCAGCATTTCCTTTCCATTGGAATGAAGGTGAAGAGAGCCATTGACATTGTTTCCACCATAACTCTTCACAACTGCCTGGACCTGCATATAGAGAAAAAGGAGAGGACCTCAGATTATAATACACAATACTGAAACATCAGTAAGAGCAATGAGACTGCAGACATCAAGTCAGGACTTGACAAAAGCAGAAAGGGGAGTTTTTAGTTCTCATCATCTAACTTTAATTTTCTATGGCAATAAATTAAATTAGTATTGCCTAAGTTGAGTCTGTTCCATCTGTGAAGGTAATGGCTAAGTGATCTCCCTTGTCTTTATCCTGACCCTGTCACAACAAAACATGTGCTACATTAAATTTTAAGTACAATTTAACTCGACTTTTAAGAATTTTCTGAATTTCAGCCAAAACACAAGCCAACTATTCCAAAGCCATGTAGCTATTCAGCCAGAACAAACTGTAACCATCAAAAGTTAACTGTTTTCCTAACAATTTACACCTCTCCACTACAGTCATTGAGTGTATGAACTCAAAAAGCTTCAAATTCAAGCAACAAGACTGAGGACTGACCTGTGAAGACATGTTCTTGTTGATGATGACTGTTACACTCACACCACAGTCCAAGTGTTCCAGTTTAGTCCGCCTGGAAAACAGCTCCCCACTGAGGCCCATTGCTTGTGGAAACTCAACCTATTTGACAAAGTAAAGTATCAGAACAGAACATTGCATTCCCCCCAGTTGCCTCGTGATTTAATGTCTCAATTCCATGAAGTGGGTGATGCATATAAGCAAATGTGTGTATCAAATTTTACCAGTTTTATCCCAAGATACTGGAAAATATGTTGAAAGCAATAAAAAAGCATAGAAAAAAAAGGTCAATGTATGCCTTACAAGGTATTATAGACACAAATTATTGGTACATAACTGAACCTGCTGAGATATCTACAGTTATTTGTTAGGTCCAGGACTCGATTGGATTAGGACATTTACCAGCATCAAACAATTGTCATTCTAAAGACAACACAGTAAAACAGCCACCAATACATAAAAAATAAAATACCAAAATTAAAACCACCAATACCTGGAATGAGTGTGTCACATCCATGTGTAAAAGATGTCTAAAATCTCCATCACTGGATTTGTCCTGATACCGCCCTAGAAAACTGAGAACATCTTCCTTATTCACCTTTAAGACAGTCTCGAGCTCATGCTTCACCTGTGTGTTTAGAATGGGAAGAAGCAAATAAAGCACTGAGTATTAACCCTGTGTAAAATGAAAGATCAGAGAGGTCATCCCTAAACATCGTGAAAAATGAAAGAGTTGCAACCTCTTATGTTTTGGCTTAGAATGAAAAACAAGAAAATGAGGGAAAATAACTACATTTGGTAAGAAAGATGAAGAGATACAGCTAGATAAGGGTGAGAACCCTGAATCCATTCTATCCCAGTACTTGTTTTATTAATAACACTCATGCATAATAATAGTCTAAAAAAATATATTAAGTATTCTTATCATATTATTACACAAAATTAAGGAGGTACCAAGGACATAATCACCCTCTAAACATTTTGGCTGCAGCAGCTATGTGGCAAGAAACTAAAGACCTATAGCATGTTAAGATCTGAAAAGATAATAAAATGTAAATAAACAGGTAATGAACATGGGAAATTTACTCACATTTTGATGATTTAGAGTTAAAATGCACATTTCAACATCTTTAGGAAAAATGCTGTAGTTATAAGGATGAGTTAAGCCCGCACAAATCTAAAAAGAAGTTTGAGAGAAAATGCAAGGAACATAAGTAATATGCAGTAAACCACTCATTTGCAGGTTGTTTTGGCATATCAGACTAAAGGAAGCTCTTGGATAACTCACATAGGGGTTTTCAGGTTGGTAACCAAGTATAAGAGTCTGAACTGTTTCTTCCACCTCATTTATCAACATTTTTGTTTCCATGAAATAGTGCTTTTGCTTTTTATCAACAGTAAATGTTTCCTGCAGAAGGAAGCTCTGCAAAAAGGGCACTTTAAAAGGATGCCTGGAAAAAAACCAAGAAATAAACAAGTGTAAAAGATCTTAATAGACAACTACAAAAAGAAATCATACAGAGTTCAATTTGAACTCCAAAATTAGAAGTTGCCACCAAGGTATCAGGTATAGAAGTAAAACACATAGGACCAGACATTTAAGAAACTACAGAGCCTAAATGCAACTTCATACAAACTCCACACACTAACCTGATTTTTTGGCAAAGTTTCCCTCCTGAATTTGGTAAATGCCTGGAAGGGCACTGGAGAAGATGCTGCTCTAAAATTCTGACATGCATAACCAGCACATCCACCTTCTACACCTGCATGGCCAAGACTTCATTTCAAACAGGGACAGTGTCCAACAGCTCCTGGCAGGTTTGAAAATTCCACCTATCCACATTTTATGCTTTCTGTAGAAACAGCATCTACATGCCAAGAATCCTGTGCAACAGATGTTCAGCACTACACAGCTCTAGGAATAGTTTACTACTTCAGTGTAATGTTTTCTGGACTTTATTAAATATTTCTGCAGTTTTTACTCAGTTATTACTTAGTCAGACCTCTTGGAAGCATGCACGAACCTTTATAAGCAGACACTGGCCCACCTTTGTACATGTTAGAATATCTGGTACAGCTCTTCCTTTACGTATTTTTTACTGAAAAGACACCTCCCAGTGTTTTAGTTATCTCTGAGCTGCACAGTGGCTCCTAAGGCAGCCTGTGCACTCCTCTTGATGCTGCTGTGCCATAAGAAAGCTGAGATTTCTCCAGAGGTGATCCAGGTGTCTCTAATCTGAGCATACATTTTTACTAAGGCCTTCAGGCTGGGCTTTAGCAATGGATAATTAAAGAGAGAAGTTTCAGGGACAGGCAATATGTAGGAGCAGTGCACTCATTCTCATCAGAAAATGGAAACATATTCCAGAATCTAAACAAGACCATTTGTTACATGTTTTAAGAGGATACCTCTGGCTTTAGAATGGCTACATAATACCTAAGGACTAGGAAAAATCACATGGATGACACAGAAGATCACATCTGGATTTTGGAACGTCTCACCACACCCAAATTTGTACACACCATAAATCCTGCTGTTTTCAGGAAAGGAGGCCATATGCCTGGCTGAGTTGCCACCAACCATGTCACAGCACATGGTCTGTTGCCTTTGACAGCTTTGTTCACTGTCATTTCAACAAAGAGGACAAAAGCTAATGAATGCAAATAACCAGCCCACAAAGCTGCTGTGCTTGAGCAAGTTTAGGGAGCCAGATAGGACAAAGAACAGACTTTATGCATGTGGCACTCTCACTTTGTAAAGTCCAAAACATTTCCTAAGAGCATCAAGATGCACATTAAATTTAGGCCAAAACTTTCTTAAAAGATAAGAAATAAGAATACTAAACCTGAAATGGAGGGTTGCACGTTTTTGATAGAGCATCTTCTCCTTCCTCAACTCTTTTATCTGACCTTCACACTGCAGTATGACAGGCAGACTTTTATAATCTCTCCAGACAATCTTCACAGAAAAGTTTGTCTTCTTAGGCTGCACTCAGATCATGAGACCAGAACAGGAAAGGACAATTGCATCAGATTTAGTGCACTGATATTCAGGAACCTCAATATGGAAACCATATTGTTCAACAAGCTGCAGCAAGGCTGTTATTTCACAGACCAAACCATTTCTGCTGCAGTTTAAGTCTAGGTCTCTATTAATCTCTCAGAGGATTAAAAGTACCATCAATAGAAAACTGACTCCAGTAGAAGACAAATGCCCCTTGAGTGTCACCTACTTGCAACATAAGCAAGCTCTGATACATAAAAAACCAAACTGGGTTTTCAAAGCTATAGAAAAAGCCTTTTCAAAGCTATGTTTAGAAAAACACTTTTCAAGACTTCCTGCAAGGTGTGAATGGACCAAAGTAACTGATCAAAGTACCTCTTTTGAGGAGAAACTGCTGATTACCCTTCCTGTGCCGCAGACACCAAGCAGAGCAAAAATTATTTTAAGACTGGAAGGGATGTAGAGATTAAAATAGCATATAAACCTGGGTTGTTACCATGCTCACTAGCAGGCAAGAGATTCTGATTCTCCAAGACAATAGAATCTTCCACACCTCTCATACATTTGCATCAAGTTGTGAGTAATCACATCTCCAGCTGTCTTTCTAGTCATGCTTGTCTCTCACCCTCTCCTCCCTGACTGACTGTCTGGACTCCCTAATAGGTGAGAGGTACTCCAAACGATGTCTCACAAGTTTTTGTTTTCTTTTTGAACCTAGATTTACACTGCAGCCTGTCAAAACAGACAGAAATAGATGCAGTACTGGAAGGGTATAAGTTTCAACATTAGCAATAACATCGTTCAGGAAGAGAGTGCTGAGTCAAAAAATTTGGTTTTGTTTTTCTTTCTCACCATTGGCAGATTCTGATAGCTGGCTGTGAAGTTAAATTCCTGTTTTGCACTCTCTATCTTAAAGCAGAGAAGTTTGGCTCGTTCGTTATTCTCCAAATGAATCTCGTTCTTCACAAGCTGATTCCACAGAGAGATCATTTCACTATAGCTATGCAGAACATTTCTCCCAAGACGATTAAGTGTGGATGCCTGAAAAACAAAGACATTAGTCTGGCTGAGCCAGGACAAACAGCATTTCACCGTGCAGCAGCACAGCACAGAGGTGACAGAATGATCATTTACAAGAACTATTAGAAATGTGTGCCATCTTTTCCATTATCAAAATACTCTGAATTGCCATACAGAGTTCAAAGTTTTATTTTATCTCCTCCAAACAAGAGAGAGACAAAAAGTTAAACAGTTGATGAACACTTTTTTGTCATTCAAGAATGTTTCTCACATTCCTCCATGGCTGTGCCTAAAGCAGTAGTGACCTAAGGAGAAAAAGCTGATAAAGGAACATTTTAATAATAAACATAAGTCAAATTGCATAGTGACAGAAGTTTACCACATTACTTAATGCACAGCAACTATGATGAAATCCATTTTAAACCTCTGCTGCATAGCACAGTCTAAAATAAATTAGGAGGAAGCTTAGAAACCATAGAGACAGGGCACAGTGACAGCACAGAGCCTTGTCCCCAAACACTCTGTGAAGCACCATGTCACCAACCTGCAGGTATGTGGTAGCTGGTGTGTAAATGTGAACTTTTCCTTCCTTCTCATTGCCTTGATCTTTATAGAATAGTTCCAGTACAAGGTCTTTAATGGAGAGAGCTTTTCCAGCTGTCAGCTTGGATGTCAGTAAATAAGCAGAATGCTGAGGCTGGTGCAGTTTGTGAGCTGTGTACAGATAGAGCCATGGGGTGTCTATATTGAACCCACCTGCAAGGGACATATGTTAAAGCTGACAGGAACATGAGATTTCAAACTACCTGGATTCTAACTCCACACCAAGGCTGATAATATCCAGGGGTTCCAGAATGAAGCTAAAATGCTACTATCAACCTTTTCCAATTGCTAAAATCTCTGAGTTGTATATAATGAAATTAATCTACTTCACTAGTGTAAATGGAACTTCTGGAAGAGATCAGCCAGCCAGGCTGTGACAAGTTGGAGATTTCAAAAACTCAGCTAGACAAAGCCACAACAGATGTGATCTACTGCTAGAAACAGTCCTGACTGGAGCAGGAAGCTGGGCTGGACAGCCTCCAGAGTCTCTCTCTTCCAACAAACATCTTTATCATTCTGTTGCACTCATGCAAAACTGCTCAGAAAAACTGGGCAGCAGCTTCCAATGCTTTTCTAATCACAGACTGGAAATGGTTTGTGGTACTTCACCTTCCCACTTCTTCAGGCCATTTCTGGATGCATCCTTCCACTGCAGCCCAGCCACAAATGGTACATGGTCATTATACTGCACCTCAAAGTTGGTGCTGCTCTGCAAATACACCTGAGAGGTGTGCAAGTGCTGCAGCTGGGTTCTATAATTCACCTGTTTTTCCAGGACTTGCAGGGTAAACTGGAAAAGAAGTGAAGCAAATTCAAATAAAAACATGATCCTATTTTCAGGGCTGTGTAAGTTACACACAGAAGCAGGAAGGTCACAGCTTCTGGCTTTGCACATTTGCCATTCACTCTATAGATTTTCATGCATGCTCACCAATTATAGACTGAGGTTTCTGTAACATGCATTTGTTACAATTACAGGAGATTCAAAAAGAAAAAAGCTGTAATATTCTGAGTAATTATAACCTGCACCCTTTTTCCACACTGTGTCAGCAAAGCAGCTTTCATAAATCTCTACAATCATTTTATATGAGTAAACACCAACTTTTCCAGTGTTTGCACAATTTATCTTCTATCAAATGTCAGAGATCTTTGTTTCTGGGCTAAGACCTCACCTAACTCAGAATTATTAGGTCTGGGTACTTGCCTTATATTATTAGTATATACCATGTTTACAAAAAAAAGGTCGTAATAAAAAAAATTTCAAATTTATTCTTTGTCTGTTAAATATTTGAAATGAAGGTTTTACTTTTCAACCACCACTATTACCTCCATCAAATAGCTGACTAGAGATGAACTGGAACTATTCTTAAAGGCTTGGCTGATCAGCAGTTTCTTCTTGTTGTTTATTTCATCCCAGTGTTTCCCATAGTTCACTTCCATGTGGGAGGAAATCCAAGATGCACTCACTTCATGTTTCAGGTGAACCTAAAGAAGAGGACATTGCCTTTGTGCTGTGAACTCTTTGTCACGCTGAGAGCCCTGAGTACAGGTGACACAGGGGTGCCCAGCACAGCGAGTGCCTGGCTCAGCACCCACCTGGTGGCTGTAGGTGGGAGCCTGCACACAGTGAAACTCATGGCCCAGCTCCAGTCTGTACAAGCCCTGTGCACTCGTCTCCACCTGAACCTTCTGCTGTGTATTGCACTCGTGGCAAGGGGTTTTTGCCTCTCCTGCTCGAGTTAAATCACAAAGTTATCTATTCACGTAAATCAGAATTCATCTTTCAAAATGTTAATAGTATACATCTGGCACTGGCTTCAAGACTTCTGTTTTTCAAAACGTCAAAGTGAGATTTGTCTGTTTTTACAGCTATATACTTGTTGATTTATCCTAGAAATCCAAAGGAAAGCACAAACTACGTCACAAACAGAATTTTACGTGGTTGAAGTAAAAGCACTACAAACTAATCATGATCAAGCTTTGCAGATTTCTTAGTATCATACAATATTTGATGATTTTCTGTTACCACCTAGCTCCCAACATAATGACATTACATAACATTTCATCTTAAAATAAAAGAGAACTTCCAGCCCTTCTGGACATTGAGAAGAAAATTAAAATAATGAATTTGAACTTTCAACTAATAAGTAGGATTACTTTTTAAAATTAAAATTCCAGTACTTCTCCAAGGAAGTATTTGCTGACCACTTCAGGTGGAATAGTTGCCAAACTGGGTTTAAACTAAAAAGTGTAACTATGTTCCAAGTATCTAACTTCACAATTACATAGCTATAGCCAGATAGCTTAAGGTACTGTTTAAGTGCTCAGGTATGTTTTGGTTGATGATTATAAAATACTGTAATCAGCATGACATTTTTAGCAAAATTATGGGGTCATGCCTGTGTAGGTTTAAGAAAACTTTATTACTGATATTGCAACATACTCTCTGAAGGTGCAACAATTAGTGTAAACATTTATACATTTATAACATTTATCATGATTAGCTGCTACAAGGATTCCATACTTTGATATAACTGCACTGATGTCCACCTTCTTTGTCCCACAAAATTAACACAATTCTGATATTGCAGCAAGGGGGGGCACAGCCAGCTGCTTCCTAGAAACCACCCCTCATGTTACTGAGTGCATGTATGCAAGCATCTGAAAACACAAATTAATTAGGAGCAATTCCCACTGAAAAAGTGGACACGCTTATGAAAAGCCCATTTTAAAAAAACTGTTTTTACATGCAGACTCAAAGAGTAAAGTTTGTCCAACTGAAAAGAGCAACTCATTTCAAGTTTCAGGTCACAGTCTAAAAATTAACTGAAATCTTTCTATTGCATTCTAAACACAGAGGCAAATCTAGTAGGAAAAATGAGTAATACAGAACACTTTTACTTTCCCCGTTTCTCAGTGTACCTAGGAGTCCATATTTTATCTGCAGACCATGAGACCACAATCCCTCATGCTGCTGGAGGAGAGCAACGGCGTGAACTCCAAGAACACCTGGAAGGTGAATCTCCCCTTCCAATGAATATTGTCTCAGCTTATCATTAACCTTTTTCTCCAGAAGTGCTACAGAAAGAAGAGAAATGATTATGCAGTGGTGGAACTTGAAGTTACTTCAGCTAGTCTAAGGAACAGTACAGTGGGGAAAACCAAAAGGGCATTTAGGCTCTCCACCATGGTGAGCTCCCCGCATAGTGAACAGATTAAAAAACACAGAGCTGGATGCTCAGCTCTTTCTCCATCTCCACAGACAGCCTGCAGACCACCCTTCTCACAACCTGCTTCATATTGAAATGCATCCAGCCAAAGCTGCTTCTCTAAGGAAATAAATTCAGCCAGGCAGATCTTTTAATTAACTAAGTCCTAACGTGTGAACATGTGGATGTTCACCTCTACACAAAGTCAGAGCAAGGCTGTGGCTTTGCAGCAGCACAGCTTGTGCAGCCAAGTTCTCAGGTGCTAGGAGTTTGAAATCAGACCAGAACTGGTTTGGATGCAGTCACTGACAATCCATGTGAAAGCTAAGGATGAAAACTTCACCAGATCATCTTCCAAAACACCAACTGGCCTTTGGCATTCCTTAAAAGTTAGTTCTCTTTGAAAGTACTGTGTAACCCTATGGCAGTTCAGTCAAAAATGAGAGCCTTAAACATCAATTACTGCTTTATTTCACTGTATAATTTAAATTTTAATATATTGATGTTATACAAATATTAAGGCTCTCTTTCTGATACTTTATCTTGTATTTTCCTCTTAGCCTATTTATGAGAAAAAAATCTTCAAGATTTTTAGAACAACAGGTCTTAAGAGAAATTTAGCTACAAATATGTGTCTCTGTATTGTTTTGTACTAACAAAAATGAAAAACAGCTGCTATTTTTTTGGCATGTTTTTGTTAAGTAATTCCTTATATTTTATTTCCTCCACCATTTCCAGCAGTAATTCAAAACAGACTTTTATTTTAAAATTTCTTTTATTCTGAAATATATATATTTATATTAATTTATGTAAGATAGTGATTTTAAAAAGCAATCTTTATGGATTTGAAAGGAATTTTAGGAATAAGTGTCCAAAACCAGACAACCCTAACAAATAATGGCTCCAGAACTTGCATTTAAAAAATACTTACTGTCCTCTAACCTGAAAGAAATGCAGCATCCTTCAACAAATTATTCAGAGACACTGAAAAAGCTATCTTCTTGCCAGGCTGTTTAGTGATGTTTCCTGACAGAATGATAGGACTGCTTTGCTTTATCAGCTTTACCTCCAGCTGGGTCATGTATCTCTGCTCTCCACTCAGCATCTGTAAATCTGCCATTCCCTAGAACAAACAAACAAATCAAAAAGCAAACCCCAAGCCACTCAACAACATAAGTTTTAAGAAAGCAATAGTATAGAGTTGGGTGTTTCAAAAATTAGATGAGAGGAGGAAGAAAAGACATTTTTTTCTATACATCTAACAACAAGCCTTCCACACCCCACAAAGCCTAACTCTTGCCATTGCTAAATAATGGGGAGGAAGGATGGATTTGTTTTTCCAGTTACAGAGGTCACAGTGGTGCAAGATGCTATTTCCTTCAGCTTCTGCTGGTTTTAGGACTGAAATGACTATGAATGTTGCAATACCAGGCCAGAAATTAACAGAGCATTACTGAAAATATTCGAAGTCTCACAGAGATTTCGGTTGAAATTTAGCACTGAGTCTATCTCAAAAATATATAATAAGGAGAACTGGTCATTTCTCTGATGGATTGCTCACAAAAATGTTTTTAATACATGTATTTACACTGCCTTTCTTTTCTGTAAGTATTTATCCTGGAATGAGAGCTCATTAAATGCAGGCATACCTTAATGTAATACACATCTCGGTCATCCACTATCAGCTCCAGGTGTCCAACTCGGGAATTTTTAGAAGATTCAATCCTCCCTTGGAGAAAAAGAAAATGCTTTACTTTTTCTTTACTGTTCAATGATGCTTCATAAGAATGTACTTGAAATGATAGTTTTTCTTTTCATAAGCAATAGAGAAATTTAAAAAATGATAAATACCAGCTCAAAAGAAAAAAGTTAGGACGAGAATTTGCAAATGCATTTTGCAAAGTCTTCAGAATAAACTAGTAATTTTGAAAGGATATTCTGAAGAGAATAACTGAGAAGAGGTAATGAAGCTGTCTTCAACAAAAACAGCTTAGTTCTGGAACTGATTTATGCACTTCCTTTAGGGCTGTACTAAAACTTCTAAGTGGTGTTGTGCTGTGGAAACATCTCAGGAGCTTAGAACGCTTGCACACAAAACTTTGTACAGTGTTGGTAAAGCTTCCTTGTAATCCATTTGGAAATAACCAGGATTAAAAAAAAAAAAAAAGAATACATAGTAGAATACATCAACACAAGACATCATTTAACCAGTACACCAAAGATGCTGAAATATGTTGTCTATATTATTATCATTAATTTATCAGTTTATATTTCCTCAATGGGTTTGTAGATTCTGTGTTCTATGTTACACTGTGATTAAAATGTTATTTTTTTAACAGTTAATATTTATTTTTTATTGTAACACATGGCAGTAGCATTTAGCAACACATAACTTCATCTCATAACTAACAGAACACAGCAAATTGAAACAGTAAAGCAAGTTCAGCATAATGTAAAAGATGTCAGAACAATCTGCCATGTTCTTTAGCCTTCATTTCATCAATCTTGGCAACAGCTTTCCTCTCCAACGTGGCTTCATGAACCAGGTACTGAACCTCTGACTGTGCAAAATATAGTCGAAACCAAAATGCAAACCTCATTGGGAATGGGTGCTACCTAAAGCAGTAAACTGAACAGTTATCACATAATTATGTCATTTCAGCATTAGATTAGTGAGTGAAATATACTGATATTTCTCAGTTAACTGTAATGAAGTTCTCATAACTGATATTAGCTGATGATCAGGCTCTTAATTGAAAAACCTACCATGAACCTCAATTTTTTTCTTAGGTTGTATAAATAGGATTCTGAATTTCTTCTGTGGGACACTAAAACTTAGGTCAACACCAACATCTCTTTTCAAGTCTGATTTTGGAGTCCCAATGAAGAAGTGAAAGACAGCTTCACTTGGGATCCATGAATTCTCCTGAAAGAACAAAAGAATAATCAATTAATTGACACACCACTTACAAAACAATCTCTTACACTAAGACTTGTGTAAGAGATGGTTTGTGTGCTGTATTGTAGATAAAAAGAGTATGTACCTCCTATCAGCATGAGTCATTTGTGTTCAGCATATCTTCCCACTATACTGGGAATGGAATGATGTAGAGCTTGGAACCCAGAGGGTTGAATATGCAGTACTGAGATAGACCAGAAGAGCAAACTGAAACTGAGTCCAGCATGCCAGTGGTACCTGAGCTCTGTAGTTATAGGCAGCTTCCAGCACATACTGCTGCAGGCCTCTGTCTTGCTTAGTTAATGTCACAGCCACTCTCAAAGGTCCACTGAGGGGGAAAACCAAACCAGTGGCTGGGTCAGGATAGGACATTTCAGAACACAGCTGCCACCCAATAATCTCAGACACTGGTGGAAGATAACAGTTGAACATTCAGTTAGAACAGAAAACAAAGAAAACATAAAATGAACATTGAACTGTAGATCTTTTAGAAATAATATTTGAAAAAGAAATTCTACTGAATAAAACGATTTATTATGGATATTTCAGAATGCCTTTCTAAGACAAACATAATAGCTGGACTCACCTTCCTCCCTAGTGCAAGATCTGGTTTCTGTGTGGTCTTGGAAGACATCTATATCTTCTGTCTCATCCACCATTCTGAAGTAGAGTTTAGAGCTACGACCAAGAAATTTGAACAATAACTTAAAACCAATTATGCTAAACTTATAGCACTATTTAAACAAAATCCTCAGTTATATTCAAAAAAGTTAACAGTTAATGTTCTTGAAGATGCCCTTGCTTAATCTTACCTGAAATTTATAATCTCCATAGATTCTTCTGGAGTGTTCAAGAAAACTTTGAGCTCTTTCCCTTTCTTCACCTGGATTCCCCCATCAAGACTAGTAGATGTCCTCATTCCTGTTAACCACTTTAGGCCAGCTTGTCCCAGACTCCCCACAATTCCCATTTGGACAGAAAGCTGGACAAATGCACTGTTGAAAGATTCATGTACATATCCTTCTATGAAATGCAATTTCTTTTTAAAGCACTTAATTAAAAGCTCTTCAATATATACATAGCATTTGATGCTGTAACACAGTATATTCTATGATTAAAATAATGAACTATTTTGTTTCAGGAAATAACTGAAAAGATTGCATATACACCGACACACACTTTCTAACATGAATTATAGTTTTACTATATCTCCTAAGGAGGGGATTGTGAATGCAGATTTCAGCATAAAATATTAAGAAAGAGAAAGCAATTAGAACTGAGTATCACAGAGCAAGTTCTTCTCTGTCTGTACAGCACTTGGTGACGTTTAGTAATGTATTCAGTATGTACAAGCTAAAATAGCCAGGTGAGGAAACACAGGGTTAAATCCTCCACTAGTTTGTACATCCATAACCTGTAACAGCATGTTTGACCCTGAGAAAAATCCACTTGCCACAGGTAAAGCATTCAGAAAAATCATCTGCATGCAAGAATTCAGGAGTTTGATTTAGAGATAGAAAGGATTAGTCAGCTTAAACCAGCACTGGAAGAACACAGCAAGAGTTCAAAACCAGGCAGGCAGGACAGGAAAGCACTGCTGCCCTTACACCACAGCAACCATTCAGCAACAGAAGGCTGATGGCTGATTTTGTTCTTCAGGAATTTCCTAATTAATAAATAGGCATTCACACAAAACTTTCACATCAGGAATTGCTGCTTTACATCAGGGACATGTGAAAGGGACACATTTGCAGCAGTTAATACCTCGGCTTGATATATCCATCTAGAAAGACATTGGAATGTTGTTTGAAATCTGCATTCCCTTTGATTTTTATGTTGATTGCTGCTGAGGCACTGACTGCCAGTTGAATAGGAAAGCCTGAAATTGCTGGAAACTGCAGCTCTTCAGTGGCCAAGCTCATCCTTTTATTAAACTGGACCTCCTGCCCCTGTGGTGAACAAAACCCAAACAAACCCCAGAATTTTATTTCGCATAATAGAGCTAGCATTCGAGAATTTTTCCAGATATAACTTTTGACTGTATCTGTCTATTGTAAAAGTGTTTTTTACCTGAGCTGATCTGAGACATGAAGAAAGCAGCCCAAAGCCTGCCCATGGCCAAGGCATGAGTCAGACACCAGTCCTACTCCAGTTAAAAAAAGAATTTAAGCATGGATGGATTTGAATGAGAGAAGAGAGAAGAACCATTAGACAGCAGATTAAGTCTTTGCCTAATGTACTGAATGCTATTTAAACCAAATATATAGTGGTGTCTTTTAGAGTTCCCTTTAGAGAAACAACAAGTAATATTTGTATCTTTTACATATCTGTCAGAAAGCAGTTTCTCAAGACATTTTCTTTTACCTTCAGAAGTTTGACAGCCAACTCAGCCAGATTTAAGGAATAATGTTTCATTTGTTTTCTAAAATCTTCACAATCTAAGAAGCTAAGTTCATTTCCAAAGATTTTGATGCTTAGCTCACATTTCAGCACCTCCTTTCTTACTGTTCGCTCTGTGAACTGATGGAATAAAAAGAAAAAAGAAATTAAAGGGAGCGGTGTTATTATTTCCTTTCAAACTTACAATAAACAATTCCTCAGTGCAGGCTATGCTATTAGTAAAGAAACATTAGTCTCCCTTTCACAAGTACTTTGGAAATCACTTAAGACCCTGGATTAGTAGCTGTTCTTTCCAGCTACACTTCAGCTCCACAGCACACAAGCTGGCTGTCACAATGAACACTGATCATGTCCAGCCCTAAGATGACAGGCAAAGGAGTAGTATTGCAATACATACCCACAAACAGATGAAGATCTGAAAAATACAATCTCAAAACAACATTAGGGATGCCTTGATTGCTAAATAAACTGCTAGGAAGTAAAAACTTTACATTTTCTGTTCCTTAAAATTCTGTGATACCACAGCAACATGATCATGAGTTTACAATTCTATGATACCACAGCAACACGATCATAAGCCTACTCTCTAAGAAAAAACCCTAAGAAGATGAGATGATCTAGGACAAACTAAATGAATTACAGTCCCTGAGTTTTCCAGCTAATACATCAACAATTGAAGTCAATTCTCAGAGCTTTCCTGTTGAGTACATAAAACACAGCTCTCTCCAAAAATGAGTAAATTTTTATAAGCGCCAATGTAACATCTGACATCAAACTGGGAAGTCAGATTGCAAAAAACAGGACTCAGGAACTCAACATCAAGCAGCTGTTTACAGTGGCACAGCAGTCAATAGGCAAAAGGATGTCAGCATAAAGAGACCAGAGCTCAAAATAATGAGAGGAAGCCCAAAATACAGGCAATACAATCCCATGGCTGAGTGTCATTGTTTTGAGACAATAAAACAACCTAAAAAAAACCTAAAGATCTGGCTCCTGGCTGCTCTGTATTTTCTTCAGCTGTTAAATTCTCTGCAAGTGAGCAAAGGAGTCATAGTAATCCAGAGCACTTGTCCAATGTCAGATGGGTCCCTGTGCTCGACTGGGAAATATAATTAATTTTTCCAAGATCTACAGATTCAGTTACCTTTTTGACTAACTCGTTCATCTTACTGTATTTTCTACCAAGACAATTTTGGTTTGTTTTTCTCAGCTTTGGCTTGCCAGACTTGCTCACAAGATGACCAGCAGGGCTGTATCGCTTCAAAGTCGGGTTCCTTTGCTTGACTTTCTCTGATGTTTCCACTGGGGTTCCCGACTTGTGGTTTCCTTCATTAGTGTTTCCAAAAAAATAATCACTGAAAGTAGAAGATTTCGGCCCAAAAACCTTCTCCATGAGAGTTTCAGCATTCTCCAGTCGTACACCAACCTGGTGAAAAGCATGCAGCAGTGAAAAGCCTAGCAGTGACACATACAGGCCATGGCCACTTCTAAAGCAGAAAATCAAATACACAACCAGATGTAATCAACACAAAAGATTTGCCAAGCAGGATCACAGTAGTCTACAAAGTTTAGCATTCTACATCCTTCAGCCTTCACTACTGGATATTTCAGTATTAAATCGTCCCATGAAAATCAAATATGTAAAGCTCAGCCCAAAATAAAAATCCTTTTTCATTCAGGTACTGTGGTTCATTTACTCCATGATGGGCCAGAAGGGGATACTGCTATTTTGGCATGTTAGAAACACTATTTTGGCTGAAAACACTAATACACCCTTCTCATGCTCTGAAATAAGATTCTATTTGGAAGTTTGCTTAAAACAGAATTACTAACACACACAAACCGTGGCACTGAAAGAAAATTTTGTTCCCTTGCAAGCTTAAACTTGAGATCTGAAGGCTGCATTAAATAATTTCTTTCTTTCATGAGCACATTGTTGCCTGGCAGAGCAGGTAAAGATGATGAGGTCGCAGGCAGGTCACTGAAATGTTCCAAGCACTGGATACTCAATGGCAGTAGAACAGTGACTTCAGCTAAGTACAAATGAATCTATCTCTGCATTAAAGGTACCCAGGCCAATCCATTTTCCACTGTACAATAAGAAAAGGAACCTTACTGTACTAAACAGGAGCTAGAGCAGTGTCTCAGGAAGCACTGATTTTAATGTTTCATTTAAATCAACAAGAGCTGAGTATAAGTCACTTTTCTAGTGCATGGCACTAGCACAGTGACAGTGCTTTTGTATTTACTAAGCCCATTACACAGAGGACTCACCAGTCTGAGGCAACTGTGCTACAGCAGTGAAAAGCACATTTTGCTAAAGGAACTGCAACAGGAAAACAGAAGTGCTTTGTATTTCAATATACCAAGTATCACTTGAGGAGGGGGATAAAAAAATCCCCACAATTAAAAAAATCTGTAAACTTGCCTCCAGCAGATTTATAGCCTGTCCCATAAAGTGAACAGTCAAATTTGTCATGACTGATCGTGGTAGAAAAGATGTAGGAGAAAAGACCACTGATGCTTCCAGATTTGCACCTGCACCAGCTGCAATGAAAAACAGACATCTGTCAGCTGGAGATCAGCTGTTCACATATATTTCACAAAATTCGTAATTCTTTGGAAAACTGTTACTCCAGTCAATAAGAAGACGATGAATGAAATATTGCCAATAAGTGAAACTATTTAACTTTCTAATATAGCAAAGACATTACTGTAAGTAACTTCCACTTACTGGAACTCCATATTAACTGGATATTATTGGGTATTATCTCACTAACATCAAAAGGAAAGTATTTATAATACATAACATGCATAAACGCACTGGAGGAAATGGACAGAAAATCAAAATGTAACTGAAAAACATCATCTAGCATTTTCACTGAAAACAAATGAACAGATAGTAAAACAGGAAGGAATTAGTTTGACTTTTTTCTTATACCAAGGACACACAAACATGAATCAGGAGGGAAAAAAACATCCCAGTCCCCTGTTGCTGCAAAGGAAGTTAACCAAGGAAGGAATTAAAAGTTGATGTTCACAAAAATAATCTTAAATGTTCACTGGTTCTTAGTCTCCTCTCTCACAGGAGGCAAAGGTGCATGGTATCTGGTCTGCTGGAAATACATTTGATATGCTCCAATTAAGGTCAAAGTAGAATCAAGCTTACATGTGCAATATTTGAGTAGCATTAAATCATAAAATCCAAAGTTTTCTGGAGCAATATGTAAAAGGTCAGAAAAGCCATGTTGGATGTTAATAATCCATATGTTACAAAGTGTTAAGTTCTAAAACTCTACATACCCGAGTGAAAGGTGACATCAGAGTATGAGGAGTATTTCCATATATCCCGGTCAAAATCTTTGCTAAGGATCTCATCAGGTATAGAATCTCGAAGGTGCTCCTTCAATGGATCATCTGTCTCCAGGAGCTGAGAGAGATGACTCCAAACAAAGGAGCCCACTAAAATTCAACACAGAAAAACATGTGGAAGTCAGAGAAAAATTACACGAGTCTTAAAAACAGATACAGGAGATATTTTTATTTTTTATACCACCGTTAATTCTAAGCCATTCCCCTCACCACAACAGAATTCATTCATTTTCAGCGTGATTAAAATCAGTCTGATGCACCTACTGCAACAGCACTTAAAAAAAAAAAGATGCATACAATTAAACAATTATGATTCAGAATTAGTATTTCTGCATGACACTGTGGAGTACCAGTTTGGCCACGTATGCCCTGTGTCGTGGGGGACAAATATTTCCCATATGTTCTGAAGTCTGGTTCCTAAATAGAGGGGGGTTTGCCTCCTGAAGGTAAAAGATATTAGGCTCCAGTTCTAATTCAATGCACAGACACTGAATACTGATTTATCTGCATTTTCACAACACAACTTTTTTTCAAATTTCATTTTCTGAATGTGGAACTAAAAAACTAATGTGTGCCCTATGCCTTCAAAAGCACTTGTTATTCAAAAGTTTATTATATAAATTATTTAGCTGTCACAGTAACAAAAGACAAAGGAAAGAAATTAAGAATATTCATGAGTACTGCATTAAATTGTTTGAAACATACAACATTTTGGATGGACTTGTAGAGCTCCTTCATAAATTGGACAAATTAAATTTTCTGCATGGAGTCACTGGGACGAGTCACTGAGGGTACACCTTGAAGTGGATTTTGGAAGGGGATGCAATCTCTCTCTCTCTGAGTTCTGAGCAGAGAGAAATGAGTGCCCTCCAAACCACAAGCCACAGCAGCAGGTGAGCACAATGCTGAGCCTGAACTCACAATCACTGCAGGGTACACTGGTCTGGACATAACATGCTGGGCAAATGGAAAGCAGCTCCAAGGCAGAGTTGGCCAGGATGCAGACACAGTGCAGACAGAGCCCACCTTCACCTGCCTGCAAACAGTCTTACAGATACCCTTCTCATGTTTGCTTCTTGATAGATGTAAATGCAAGGGGTAAGTCTAGAGGTATTCTTCACTGAATGTGGTGAAACCATTTTAGAATATTGCAACACTTTTTCTGCCACTTGCTTCCTTCTCAACAAAACGCAATTTGCAGTCATCCATTTATATTTCTAATGCACTGAACATCACAGCTCTTCCATGCATCCTTCCCAGGAACCTCCAGTGAATGAAATGCTGCCAGTAGTAGGAACTAATTCTATAAAAAGTCAGTCCTTACTGACTATTGCTAAACCAACAGTATTACAGTTTCAATATAAAATGTCACAATCATACAAATAATCATTTAGAAACAATCTACAAAGCATTGAGATTAAACAAAAATTGACACAGAACGGTACCCTTACACTTGTAAAGTAAATGTCACATTGAAGTATCAATTAGGAACATGTAAGGCTTCAGTAGATGCTTGGCTAACCTTGGCTGGATGTTTCTCTCAGCAAAGTCTTTTGCACTTGTTTAAATAACTGTTCATGTGGACATTTCATTGCTATATAATAAGCAGAAATTCTTATTTCCACATCTTCGCTGGTTGTTTGATACAACTGAACTAATACATCATTCTAAGAGAAAAACACAAAAAGATAAAGACAATTGAGATTCGCTCCCCTGGAACACCTAATGTGCACTTTCAGGTCCTGGTGGGTTTTTGTTCTCAAAGAGCTATTGCTATATTTATAGCTATTGCCTTCTACCTGACACAGTCACTTTGTGTAACGTGCATACAAAGGTTTGTTGTCTATAAATAATAAATAATTATTTAAAAATATTTTTATAACTAAATAAAATAAATAAAAGTATTGTCTATACTACCTTATCCACAAATTTCCTGAACAAACTGTCATTATGACCTTGAATCCCACATGGACAAATCTGTACAGGACTCTGCAACACAGAGCCTCCCTTGCCAGCACAACTGTTAAGGATGGTTTTATTCCACCACAAGGGACACTTGTCTATTGTATCTCTCATGTGCCATAGCCAATACACAGACAACAACGGCCATGGTTTTGTTCACAAGCTATTAAGATCATTACTTTTCGTCTCAATCAAAGAGCAGGCCACCAACGAATTTATTCTGTTCAAAACTTCCCCAGTATCAACCAAGATAATTCCTAGAAGCTCACAAAAAGAGTTAAGAAACTGGAGACTGATACTACTAACATTTTTATTAGCATTTAACAGCCTCAGTCCACTCAGTTCAGCAGTTCATTTGCTAGACAACAATGGGATATATGACAACAAATAGACTTGATACTTTGAAGATATCTAATGAGTAACACCAAGCTTCATAACTGCAGGACAAGTGAATCACACCAATCCATGCTGAAATTAAATTTAAAAATGCCATAGAAAGGTGCTTCTCTAAGTGCAATCCACATGGAGCTTCTTGCTCTTCTGGAGCAGGACTGTCGGCTTTGCCCAGGCCAGCACTCCTGGCTTTGCCATTCTTCTAAGTATCAAGGTATTAGACACAAACAAGTTTTGATCTTTCTTCCATTAAACCACTTAACAAAACTTTCTAACTCTGGCAGCGTATTGCAAATCACAAGCTTCTCACATTAATACTTTATGTTTGAGAGAGCGAAACAGTGAAATAGACTACGGGAAAAATCAAGTCCTGTGGGTTCTGAGCCATAACCCCCGCAGACACAAGGCACGGAGCTGCAGTGCCTCATCAAGAGGTCGCAAACGCTGCCTCAGTCACTGAATGCGTCACCTCAGCTGCAGCAAAGCCCTCCATGGCTTTGTTCACCTGGGTGGTTCTACCCCCTCCTCCAGCAGCAGAGGGGCTCTGCTGGAGCATGTCTACACTTGCTCCTTATCTGTTCGCGTGTTCTGTATCTACTCCAACGAGCGCCAAAGCTGCGGCAGTGCCGGGAAGGCACCGGCGAGCCGAGGCAGTAAATGACTCACCCGGCCCGAGCAGGGGATGCGCCGGAAGGCGCGGACGGCGGCGAGGCGGATCTCCATGGGCCGGCTCCTGAGGGCCGCGCACGAGCTGAGGGCCGGAGCCAGCGCGGCCGCTGCCAGGCCCGCGTTGCCGATGGCTCTGAGCGCCAGCTGCACCTGCACACGCAGAGCAACCACAGCTGCAGGCTCTCCCAGTGCTGGCGGCTGTGCTTTGAATCTCACAGCGCTAACGTTTTCTGTGCGAAACTCTATTTAAAATGATTGCTGGTGATTCGGGGAGCTTACTGCAGCCCCTATTGTACCACCTATACCCTGGCTTTACTGTGAGGATAAGGTACACTGTTCTATTCTAGCATCATGTGGCACCTGTAAGTAGTGCCTGCCTTAGACCTGGGGGAATACAAAAACATTTTTAAAAGCCTGCATTGTAACAGAAAAGCAAAAGTCATAAATTTTATGTGCTGGAAAACTTTTTCAAGTACTTTGATATTTTGTCCCTTTTGATCATGGATATTTTGACATCTTAGTGTTTCAACATAGCGTTCTGGACACAATGACAAAATTAAAATAGCAATTTGTCAACAGGTAGGTGCTCTTCATACTGCTCAATGGTATGAAGTTTGCTGTATCAGGAAACCCAAAGCTTTTCCTTATTTCCACACACAAGAACACCTATACTGACAGGTTCTGCTTGTCGGATTGCAAAATTTTAGCAGCTCATGAAACTTCTATTCCTGGCTGTCTGAAATCCAGTGAATACCATTTTCATCAAACAAGTTCTAAATTATAGAGGGAACAGGAAACTAAAGCACTGCATCATGTGCCTCTGTATAACCAATACCTTGCTGAGATGTTCTGAGTCTTGCACAGTACAGTTTCCTCCCAAAAATTCCCCAAGAGTCCTCATCACACTCTGCACAGCAGGTACAACATCACAGGAGCTGTGAGCTGAACAAAACCTATGTACAAGAGCAGTTACACCCAAGAAACAGCTCTGGCTTGCTCTGGGTGACTTCAGCAAAGGCTGTAAATAACCACAAGAAGAATGAGATGTTTCAGAAAAGTCATGAGAATTACTATTGTAACATACCACATATTATAAATGTATCAAAATATTTACATACTAAAACTCAATCTCAGCAAAATAACCTGGACAGAGTTTTGTATAAATCTGTGAAAAAAAACTGTTACTGTAAAACAAAAACAAAAATTATGAGCCACCAAATTAATTACAAATTGAAAAAGAAAAAACAACATCCACTCACAGCAAGAGATTCAATCATGCCCGAGGTGGGATTAGGAATGAATGCAAATGACCAGAAGAAATATTCTACTTTATCTTCCTCAACTTCTCCAGAAACTATGAGGTCTTTCATTAGGACAACACATGCCTCTGTGGCACAAGATGGGAGAGCATCTATTAATGGTTGCCTGTAACACAAGGAAAAAGTACAGGAAATCTAAAATTATCAAAATACACATGAATCACATAACAAGTACATTGAGACTGGGCTTTTTTCACAGTAAATAGAAGTCCATTGGCTTAGCAAATGCCAGATTCCACAGAAATCAATATTATCTTTTGGTTTAGTGGCCTTATAGAAATATGTTTCAGCCAGAATATGATGGAAGTGCATTGGTGTTTCAAGAACAGTATCTAAGCAGACTTCCAAGAAAATACTCAGTTGCTTTCACTGAGAATTGAGTCACATCCCATCCCAGGTTTGATTTCTAAAAACTGATTTTTATTAAGGTTTTTTTCCTTTCATTTCACCTGCAACACCAGTAACAAATTAAAATATTAAAACTGAATTGACTAGATTTTACTTCCTGTGCTTTTTTAGACCTTATCTAAGGGGAAAGCTTACCACCAGACAATATGCATTCCAGCTCTTGAGAGTCTCTCTGTAAATATTCTGTACCTGCCTCCTATACTGGTGGAAGGACAGTTTTGCATTAACTAGAAAGCAATTAAACTACATGAGGTAAAGCATCAGAGAGTAGTCTGCATGGGATTCTTTTTCACTCCTAAATTTAATAACCATGTCCTGAGTAAAATTAGTCTAAAAGTAATATAAAAGAGGCAGAGTAGTTTAATTACTGTCTAATATTGAAGAATATTAGCATGACTATCAAAGGATGAGAATAAACCTAACCCAAAACAAAATTTGCCCCTTTTGCATCAAGTAAAGTTATTGTTGCAAACATAAACCCTAGCATTAGATTATTTTCAAACAGGCTGCTGACATTTTGTACTGAAACCAAGTAAACGAATTGTTTCATTATTTTCAATTTTGTGAAGGGAGAAAAAATTAATGATTTTAATAATACTGGATTAGTATTTCTGATAGTCTCAAACCATTGGATCAGAACTATTCCTGACTGCAGAGAAGTAGGGCCTTGATCTTTAAAGCCACAGTTCTACAATTGGTATAAACTCTCCTGAGATCCAGCTGCTACTGAAAGATGCAGCTGCACCACTTCCATACTCCCAGCCTAACATCTGTCTCCTCTGCCCCACGACTACCAAGGGCATTGAAGGTACAGATCCAGGTAAGCTTTTTCATAGCAAACAGCAACATAAACTTAAAACCAACAGAACTGATTTCCACCCAAGCCATGACTCAGGTTTTGCATTCACATTGCTTCAGAAAGAGGAAGTCAGGCTGTGGGAAAAGGTAAGTCTATTTTGTATATAACAATCATCCAGGGAGGAGAGAATATCATTCCATTACAGAAACAAGATCTGAAATACAAATTTTTATTCTAAAATGCTTCAAATTTAAATGCAACATTTGGGCACAGATTTAAAACATTTAAATATTTTAAATATTTGCAAAACATTTCTTTCTTGTAAATTTTTGAAAGCAATTACTAAAGGAGACTTACCAATTGTCTCTGCACTTAAATGATGACTTTTGCCATAGTGTTCTTAAGGCCTCAAAAGAAAGATGTTGAAGCTCAAACACGAGAGTCATGAAAAGGTCTGCAGTCTGTAAGTGCACAACCACAACTGTAATATTCCTGCTGTGCAGAAATCAGCTTCAGAGAACAGAGCACAAGAGGTTATGCTGGCATTGCCATTGGTTTACAATGTAACCTGAGAGTGAACCCTGCTTTCTTCCCTATGTCCTTATGTTCCTTCCTCATTTGCTTTTCTCTCCAGACTGCAAACATATTGAGAAGGGCTTTTGCTTTGGATGTCAGTCACTGTCTCAGACAGCAGTTCTGACCATGCACACCACTGGCATACAAATGAATAATAAACCAAAATGCAACAGCGTGGTTACAATCCTGAAAAGAAAGTCATAATCTTCTCAGAGTTTGTATAGCAAGATCATGATTTATGACCAGAGCTGCTGACATAGCTTTGACACAAATGAAACAATGGTCAAGCTAACTGCATATTAATCTTAGGTTTATGTGAAAGATCATTTAACTGAGGTTTGGGCAACACTTAGAGAACCTTGAGAATACTTGAAAACCCTTGGGCTGTGAGAAATTATTCCCTCCTACTGGGGAAAAGCCCAGGCAGAACTGCCATTACCTCTGCAGGCAGCACAGGACTAGCTGGAAACTTAGAGGCAGAGGAGCTGTTCTCTCTCACCAAGAGGAATTGCTACATCATACAGCAGTTCTTTTACCTGGCATTTTAAAGGCTAAATAGCACGTGGATATATTCCTCTGAGCCCTGACCCAAAGTTCAAGAAAGAAGATAGATCTCATTACTAGAAAAATTAGCAGAATGTTCAATACAGTGTCTTGTATGTTCATGGCAATTGAACTTTATAATGTGCAAGTTTTAAACATGGTCCATGTCAGATTCACTTCAATGCTTTATTCACCTCAGATATGAAAGCTTTAGACATAGGACTAAATTTCTGATTCCAAAGGAAACATCTTTCTTCATGTAAAAGTCATACAAAGTCTAATTCTACCAAATCACATTTCCAAAGGTTTGGAGACAGACCTACTTTGACTTCCTGACCTTCCTTCCAGGAGCTACTCCCAAAACCAGTGGAAACATGGAATAATCCAGTGCCAGCATTCGATTTTAATTTAAGACTGCCAAGCCATTTTCCGTAACAAGAAGCTGTCTTTCAGTAAGAAGTCTGAGTAACTTCTTACTGTTTTGTTTGATAGGCTGAGGGAGTAATTTGTCAGATCTGTCAATATAGATATAGTTTATGGTTTTGTTCTTTTGGAATTTATACTCTTCTTAGAAATAATATATAATTTCATCAAATTAAAATTTGCTTTCGTATGTGAAGCCCCGTCTATGTATTAATTCTGTTAACATTTATAATTCCATACCTAAAATTCAGATAGGTCCACATGCATTCCCTTCTATTCTATTCCAGCCCATCATTACCACTAAGGTCTATTTCAAAAAGAAATTACAAGCCTGGACATTATGGAGCTAGTGAAACACATAACATTTTATGGTCCATAAAACTTTCAGAGAACTGTGTTTTATATAATTTTTGAAAGCATTTCTAAAGCATGTGCCTTATGTGCATTTTTCCACAGGCAAATCCTCTGATGGGCTGGGGACCTTCACAGGTCTCATCACAAGGAGCTGCATGTGCAGCTGCTGCTGGCCCAGGTGGCCTCTGGAGCTGCAGCACAGCTCAGGATTAAACTGCCACACTGAGGTACTTTCAGGTGATACAATTTTAGACAGTAAAGTGATTTCATTTTACTTCACACCTGCTGGCTAGACAAGTTCTCATCTAATAACTCCATGCAAAATTTTGCAGAGAAACAGCTATTTTTGCTTTCTAGTAATAAAGCTTTACAAGAACTGTCTGACCAGGTGGGCTGTTTTCATTTTTTAAGGTTGGCTCCAATGAAATTGAGTTGTCATTGCAAATTCCTCTTATTTGTAGTATCATGGTAACAAACTACTTTCAAATCTGACTCCCCACCTCTGAAAGAAACATAATAAAGCCTGGCTTTTACTCTACATAGAAGCTTGTTTTTCCTTGTTCCTGAAGACCTGCATATTTAAAAAAAAAAGAAACTAGGTAAAAGCAAGCAATTAGAATGCCATATGAGGGGAAAAATATAAATAAATTTTTTAAAAAATAAAACCAACCAAAAATGAAAGATCATGCCCTGAAAGTAAACTTTTGGGCCAGACTGAGGTCCAGGAGCAAGGCAAAGCAAATCTGACATACTCTTGCTTTCTCAGTGCATACACAGCCACATTTACCAGAGCTATTGACCAAGCACCAAAACCCAGCCAGTGACTGGAAATGCAGCCCCAGCAGAAGTGATGTGACAGGCTTCTCTGCAGCCTCTCACAAGAGAGGGTCCCTTCTCCCCATCCCTTTTTCCATTCTTTGTCAATAGGCAGCTTGTTCACTTAATGGTCCATTAGCTAATCTACATCCACATTGAAATTCAGTCTTGTCTCATAATAGCATTAAAAAATTAAACAACAACTTTGCTTCCTTGGAAATGACACCATCTCCACCTCCATTTTCTCATCCTTCCACTGTTCTCCCCAGAGTTGGAGATTTTCCCTTCCATTTATTCTTGGTTTTGTGTCCTGAAAGAAATGTATAATCTCACCTCATTCAGAGTCAAACAATAAAGGGACAAACAAGCTCTACATGCATAACAGTGCAGCTGTCTCCCAAGCAACGCTGTGGGCATTCCCATAACTTCTTTCTTGGCCCAAAGCATATTTTATTGGTTGAAATGAGGGATGATAAAGATTCTCTTTGAAATGTCTTGTCACACAGAAAGAACACCCTGAAACAGTGAAAATGGTTGACAACCAATCAAGCCCTGTGCTGAGACAGGCACATGATGAATAATTCACCTCTCTTTTAGGCAGTGGCACAGACAGCAGCCACTTGTGCTAATCTTAGTGATTTAAAAAACAAATTTCCCACACATGAAGCCAGTAGGCCTCTTTGGAGGCAGAAGTGACATCCCACTGTTACTGGGAAAAATCACCTACCATTCTTTCAAAGACACTGAATGAAGAGTGTTCCACAGAAGATAGGATTTAGAGAAAGTTTCTCAGGTCTGTTGCAGTAATTTATTTCTTCAACATTTTCCAGGCAGTATGGGATCCTTTAGTGCCTAAATGCCATTTCATACTGCTGTAACACTGACAGTTACATGGAATTAAGCATTATCCTTCTCCTGCTTTTATTCTGTTAGCACCAACCATTATTATATGGCTGCCTTAGCCCTCCATAACTCCAGTCTCCATAGCATGCAGCTAAAAGAAATGGCAGACCTGCTTATTACTCATAGAAGTCTATCCCAAATATTGCAGCACCCACAAAGGCCACCTGCTGCTTTCTCCTCAGCCCTGTCAGCTGTGGCACCAGGTCAGACTGTGATCACCATTTAACAGGTTGGGACTAAGGTCTGGGGCTGGAATTTATCACAGCTCACTGGAGGTGCTGGCTCCAGCAGCTGTGACCTCTCCTGCTCCACCCTGTGCCTTCCCCTGAAGTCTCACACACAGAACATGAACCTGTGCTCATGAATCACAGGTGATACTACAGAAAGTTGAACACACCCAGGATATCCCTGCAGAGCTGCAATCAGCACTGCACTTTTCTCCAGTCTCCAAAAAGCCTCTCCTTCATCCCCCAGTATCTGTGTCCAGCCCAGGGGAAAGATAGGCAGAGCTTCTATTCTTTGACATGGGACTTAATCTAAACAAAGGAAGGTGCTGGGTCTGAAGCTCTCTGTTAACATCATTGTACCCATGTGCATTTACAGAAGAGATCTCAGCCCCTCTGCACAGGAAATAACCTTGCTCCAAAGTACAAACAATCTAACAAGACAAGAACCTTAAAGGACAGGGAATGTATCAGGAATGAGCTGACAACTCATCAGTGGAAAATTCATGGATGCACCAATGCCCTGTTTAGTGTCTTTCTCATTAGACCAGACTTGTTTTCTAGTAACATCCTGACCAAAAATTAAGAGTGTTTTCTTCTGTCTTCACGTTTACATTTTTTTCTCTTATTTTTCTCTGTAATAACTTCACTACTAGCAAGAACCACTCAATTTGAAGGATAATGGGATATGAAGTGTCCTCTGCTTGCCCTCAGTTGATCTCAGGTGAACAGTGATTAAGCACCATCATCTGTTGATCCTTCTGTATTGTACATAACAGGTGTTCTTTACAACCTAACAGGTGTTCTTGATAACCTCTGAATTTCAGAGATAGGGATCTTCATTTCAAACACAGTGACTATTACTTGACTGATTCAGCTGCTGCCAGTACCAACAAAAAATACAAGACCCGAGTGAGCTAAGGAGACAGGCAGACTCTCATCTAGAATGATGGTCATCATAAAAAATATTTAAGCCACTGCCTATTACACATGACCATCCTATCTTAGCAGTATTCACCAATGAAAATGGTCTAACCAGCAGAGATTCCCTCTGGACCCAAGCAGCATCCCCAGAAAATGATGGTTATTAGCAGAGTTCATCAGAAGCACAAGGAACTTACCAGCCAAGACCCAAGGCAAGGGCTTCATGTGTAGACTGTTTTGAGGGGATGAGGCAATATAAGGATAGCAGAATTCCATAAAAATAATAAACATAGAGACAACAGCACTAGCAGGGGTAGTATAAATACTTTTACAGTATCAAACAGATTTACAGTATCAAAACTTCCAGTGACAACCCAAACCAGATATTTTTAATGTTTTTGTTTCTTCACAGCAAAGCGGGACATTTTCTTTCAGATTAATTTAGGATATAGTTCAAAATTGCTTTTGCCTAATATTAAGGGAGACACAGAATGTTTTAATCCCTCAGTATGATTTACTGTTTATATAAGAAAATTACATTTGAAAACATTTTCTCTTTCTTTAATTCCACATTCAAAAATGTTCAAAACAATGGAAGGCTTCAGTATTTCAAAATTGCTGCTCTCCTGGTCACCTCTTTTCTGTGTAGGAGAACTCCCAGCCCATGAAGAGCCCCCCAAGGAAACAGAGGCTCTGTGTACAGCTTACCTCATAACTTGCACTGTGTGCTAAGCAAAGCTTCCACACCAGTTCAGTCACTTCTGCCTCAGTGACCTCCCTCTTAGTTACCTCCCTTTCATAGAAAATGTTGGTCACATACAGATCCTCAGAGTCCCCTGGAAAAAGGAACATAAAGGAAAAATCACATCTGTGGTGATTGCTGGCCATTTGCTATCATTAGCCATATATGCAAGGGGAAAGTTTATTTTTGAGCCTTTATTTCTCCCTGTAAGAGTCTCTCTAGGCTCATTAAAGCCAAGAGACAAATATGAATGGCTGCAGTTAGTTTGAACTTAAGAACACAACAGAATAAAGGTAAGTGTGACCCAAAAGAAAGAGCCAGAGAAACAAGACAAAGATATACATGAAAAAAGGCCCTATTTTCCATCCATACATTTCTCAGTATGGCCCTGCTATTTTACATTCATTACCTTTTCCAGTATCATCTAATCACTAGTCCCACACTTCAACCACCCAAAAAGTCAACAGGAGATCTAAGTGCCAAGAAAAATAAATGGGCTGGCTCTGAACCTCTTCCTGAGGAAGAATCCTATCATCTTATGTTGTTATAATTATAAACAAAGTGTCCTGGAAATTTGGGGGTTCCTTTAAAAAAAGTACTGAACAGCTATTTAGAAACAGACAAAAACATGTTCCTCAACATTCAGAGTTCAAAATCATTCCTCAGGCAAGCCACCTGTTCACTTCAGTAAAATCGTTTTCCTAAGAAAACACATAGAGCAAAGAAGGAGCAAAAATTAAGAGTTCTCAGACATGGCATGTCCTTAGTTCCATTAGGACCTGCAATTATTTACGTTCCATTTATATAAAAACTGGAAACTGGTTTTATAAAAATGTTTTTATATAAACTAAGAACTTGTATGCAGAGCATCAGCCTTCCTAACTCCCTAGGCACTAGCTATGTAAAGTAGATAAAGAGGTGCTGGCCATTCCAGATTGTCACTTTTGGAAACCTACCCAGTTTTGGAGATCCACAAAGTTTTGTTAGTGCAGGCCCAAGCCCTCAAAGAAGGGACAGCTCAGCCCAGCCTGTAAAAACACCCACTTTAAAGCAGTTTAATACATTAAAGGTGAAAATCACGGGTGCAAAGAGTCCTCAGAGGCAAGACAAAGCCACAGGATTTTTCTAGGAAATGAATTTACTTTACTTTAGCAGAACCATAGTTACTTTTATTGTAGAGGGTCTGTGTCTCCACTTGCAGCAGTCGGAGTGCAGACTGTGTCTGTGTCTGTGCCCCCCTGCCCTGCTGGGCCAGCAGCAGCACCCGGTGGGACTCGGTGCACTTGGCCTCCTCCAGCACCCCGTCCTTAATGCTCTGGACACATTCCAGCTGCGAGGACAGCATCTGCTGCCCAGACTGAGAAGAACAGATACTTCAGGAAGATTCTTGATGACTTGTGTCAGCCTACCCAATCCTTCCTCTCCCAGCTTCACGGAGGATTCCAGTTCTGGGATAGTGGGAAGTCTCTTGTTTACACTTCTAACAGTGTAGAGCTTATTTATCACCACTGAAAAACAACTGCTATTAACTGTCAGCACCAAACGGTGTCAATTCATTTCAGTTCACAAAGCCTTGAAGTTAATCAGATATTTTTGGTCAGCAAAGTAGAAAAAAGCAAAAGGCTGGTAAATCATGAATAGCTACTACAATACCAGAAACAGGTAATATTCACCTAATAAAAATAGCACGTGATACAAACATTGACTGTATTTTCTGTCAACAGTGGAAAGCTGCAAGTCTGGCATTTAGAAAAACTTCTATCTTTCCAAAGTTTTTTACAAATAACTTCCTTTTTCGAATGTACTTTTTCTTACATCTCTCTACTCCTCCATTCCACAGTCTATTTTCAATTTACCTCTATATTTTAATGATAGTTTAATCCAGGTGCCTAACAACCTCTTGCATTTATACTACAACATTCATCAACTACAATGCAAACTTGCATTAAAACAAATTTTGTGAATAACAGACACTACAGGGAGAATAATATTCACCATTTCTTTGCTAAGAGCTCAAGTTTGGGCACACATTCTCTTCAAATAAGTCAAAAGCAAGAGTCAGTGTCATTCCCAAAACTTACTGGCACATGAGGAAGAGCAACAGACTGCACAGAAGTCAAACCAGAAAAGCGATGGGAGCAGAGGTTTAAGTCCCTTGTCTTTACAAGAATGGGACCCTTTCGCTGATACTTGGTTGGGCATATTCCCAAGACATCCACCTGGTAATAAACATACACTGTTGAATCACACATGCACCCATAAAATACAAGGAGGTAGTGTAGGTTATTGCAATTAGTTTTAAAAATTACTTTCTTTGTAATAACAACAGAGATTTAAATTCTCCCTGGCAGAACACCAGATTTGCCACAAAAGCCATGAAAAGGCAAATAATTTTAAAGATCTTGGTCAAGTTCATAGTAGCAAGGCTGTGTTGGTTTGTTTAATTTCACTATTATTCTGAATCAGCTCATTTATAGACATATGGTTTTTTATTTAAGATTTTGTGGGCATGCAGGGAAGCATTAATGCAGAAGAGCATTACTAGGCAGAGCTAACTTCAATTACATATGGGTGTGCCAGGCCCTACTGCAGAACATCTCTTTAAGCAGTGACACACAGCAGTAGCCTGAGAATGAGGCAGTACTCCTCATGCTGAAGGTCAGCCTAGAGACAGCTCTTCACAAGAGAGCTGCAGCCCCTGAGGTGTGTCAGCTGCACCCATGCAAACACCCAGGGGACAGCAGGGTATGCTGGACTATTTGTTTCAGTGTTATGCAGCAGAATTTGAGCTTAAGCATTGAAATAATTGCAAAGACCTCTGAGAACACAGATCTTAAACCTCCTGAAATTAATGAAAAAAAGTTTAAAAAATTAATCATTAATTATGAATATTGTATTTTCTCCATAGAACAGGTAAAGCCCTGGCACTAGAACACGGGTAACCAAGTAGTGTATTCTAAGCCTCAACAAGAATGTGAATTATAGATAATTTTAGAACATTCACTACAAGAAGCAATCAGATGACTGCCACTGTCTGATGAACCAAGTGACAAAACCTTTTATTTATTTGCAAGTGGAGTAGACTTAACGTGTACAAGAGCTAAGATCACCTCAGAGCATGACTGACAGTCTCACCTCCTCAACAACTGCACCAGCAGGGAATTCCTGTGCTGTCTGCAGGATACTGAGAATGCCTCGCTTGATGTTCAGTGCCCAGGTCTGTTCACTCCTCACAGGACAGAGCTCCAGTACTTTCCCATCACGGAAAGAAAAATGAAGAGGATGCTGTTCTAGTATTCCCCTGCAATAAAAGAGTTTAATCATTTCTTGCTTCAAAGAGTGAAAGTCAATTTATGACATTAGACCCAGATTTTTCTCAACAGATCTATTCTTCCACAATGGATTTGTCTCACTCTGTATCTCCATTCTTTACAGCAAGCATCTATTCTTCATAAATTCAGCCTAACCCAAAGAGTCCTTAAAAAACCCTGTGAAATCCTAAAAACAAATCTCAAGATAATCACAGCATCCTCAACATATCTGTAACACTAAATAAAAGCTGTTCTTGCAAATTATTTACAAGTAAATGAACTTAATGGCAGTGATTCTTATTTAATTAAGAAAGAAATTCCATTTTATGATTCAGGGAGCCTTTAGCTTTGGTAGGCATATCTGAATTGCAAAGGAACTGCACCATGCCTGTTCAGCTGTGATGCACACAAGAACAACTGCTTCCCAATTAACCCATATCTTCCTGCTCTGCTAGCTGTGCATACTTGGGCTCTATCCCAAAATTATTCCCCAATCTTGGCTGTTAGTAGACTTCCTAATGCTTTTGCTGTCCCAGATTGAGAGTACAGTGTTTTCTACCTTTCCTAGGGATCACTTTCAAACACTGATTTTCACTCCTAATGTAACATACTTTAATCACATATTTTCCCTCTAAATGGGGAAAACCAAACCATCCAAAGGATGAATTCTATATTAGCCCAGTGGTCAGCTCCCATACAGGGAGCTAGACAGTTCATCTGCACATTAACTGGGGCCCTAACTATTTCTCTAATCAATCGGGTAACAAAGTAAGAGCTTAACTGTAATACACCAACATCTGGATAAAGTCCTTCCAGAAGAGACTGGGCATATATCCTATAGGATAAGGATTTCTGAACTCCTAGGCAACTGAGCCCGTTTTTGCTACTATCTGTGGATATTACATGCATGTTCAGAGGACAAGCTAGACTACTGTATATTCACAATAGGCTGAAGCAAATGCTAATAAGGCTCACTTGTCTGAATAATTATTTTGAATAGCCAAACGTCACTGAATGCTTTCTTTGCTACCTCTCTTTTTTGGCTTCTCTGCAAAGAACAATACACAACTCCCCTTACTGCCATGAAAATCTTGCAAATAACTTCACAGAAGATGTGCCTGTACACTCATTTGGACTCTGATACCACTGCCCAAAGAGGGAACACAAAGTTCTTCATGATGAATATAAAAAGCAATGCATTTACTCCAAAGTTGCTCTTTTTGACCCTTTGAATTGAATCGATTACCCCAGCTCTCAGTGTTGTTTAAAGGCTGAGAATCCAAGTGGCAGGACAAAGAGGAAGATTACAAGGCTGAGCTTAATCAGACAAGAGAATTGCTTTTTTTTTGATGGCACAAGAGGCATCAGCTCTCTGGGAAAATTCCACAGTTTGAGGAGATCTTTTTGTATAGCCATCTACACTGGAGACTATACCTTGGCAAGTGAGTGAGAAGCTCACTGACATATGTTATGAATGAGCTACTAAACCAAATTAGATTAGGTTTTCTACCTTAGACTGTCCACTTCCTTCAGAGACTCCTCTCTGGATGCAAAACTTTTCTTAATCTGTACATCTTGCACCTAGGAGCAAAGATTATAAGTAATATATTTCATTGTCAAAAGGAACCTACAGATTTATCACATCAGGTTGTCCACCCAGAACATCACAGACTCTGAACAAAGGCTCAGTGTTGCAACAGAACTGCATTAGCCCCATCTTCAGGTGACATATCTGAGGCAGTTTCCAGAAAGTTCTTCTATGAAGAAGTTTCACTCACTATTAAACACGTTTTATACAGCACTATTATATTCCTTTGACTGTCAAACCACTAACCAGAAAATTTTTATCCATGTGCTAGGACAGGGATAACTATCCTCTCCTTGATTGGCCTCATGTATGCATTTAGCAGACAAATGTCCACCCCCCAGCAAAATCAATGAATTATCACCTCTGTTAACCTGAAGGAAAGCCCAGACAGCTGAGAAATTTATTTTCCCTGCTGCTCCTGTAGTTCTCCACCTGGCCTAGCACAGGGCTCACCCCAGGAGAAGTTCTGCAATTTGAAACTGCCCTGCTGCTCTTGCACTGAGACAGATCTCCTGTTGTGATGAATAGAGTGTTACAAGACTGAATTTGACACTGGCACCAATCCAGCACATCATACAAGTTTCTCAAGTTCTCTTTAAAATGCTTGCTATTTTAAAATTACTGCTACAGATATGAAAGTGCTTTAAAGTAAACCAAGTTCCTTTCAATGACTGGCTTTATCTCTAGTCCTGCACCTCATGTAACAAAACACTGTTGTGCCACATAAAAAAGAAAACAATTATTTGCTTAATTTACATTCTAAAACTGGCAAATACCTAATTTCAAGTTGTGGTGCTTCAAAGCAATACTGCAACTCTAATTATGAGATCCAGAATTGAACTGGATTTTAATTACAAGAAAAACAAATGTTTGAAATGTAGCAATAATCCCAAATCAAAATAAGATTCCACATCAGCTCATCCCAATCACACAGACAATTATGATAAATACGTACTTTCAAAACCATCTGGCAACTCCCCAATACTTCAATGATCACTGTGCTCTCCAGAGAGATGCCACTGCTTTTGTAAATATTTCCCTGCAGGAATGTATTGGTGACTGCTGAATACCTGTAGCTGTATCTAGCTCTTTTGGGGAAATATGATGCACTGTATCCTAGGAAATAAACAAACAAACAAACAAAAAAGGAGGGGTTTTTTTAGCATATTAAACTTCCCCTTCTCTCTATTTGTTTTCTATCTCTTAATCTTTCAGCCACTGAAATCAGCTAAGCAAAGGGATGGATATTCAGATTGTTCCCTTCCCACTTGGACTTTCAATTGAAAGAATTGGGTTTCTGAAAGCACCCTGCTTGCTGGCCATAGCTCCTGTGGGGAAGGTGAAAAGACTTCCCCTCTCCCAAGCACATAACCTCACAGTTTCCTTCAAGGCAAGAAGTTAATTTCCGAGGGCAGAAAAGGAATGTAATGCATTTACAGCACAATGCTCTTTTGACACCTTGCAGAGAGCAGCAAAGCAGGACTTTCACCACAGCAGGATGAAATAGATCTGCTCTTCGTGCCCATGGTTGGGCTTAGTCCCACACTGGTTTAGTCCTTTGCTCAGCTCTAATGCTTAGGAGTTTTTCAGAGTTCACAGAATGCAAACTTCAGGCAGGTGTGGGCCTGGTAAACTTTAGTGGAACTTCTCTGCTACTTCCATGGATGCTGATCGCCCAGACATAAGTACCATTCTTCTCAGAACACAACATCCCTGCAGAAGTTTTCAAATTACTCTTTCCTTATCATATAAAAAGCCTGAATACAATCTTGTTTTACTCACCTGCACATTCTGCAAAACAGGAAGCTCCATAACTTAACCTCTCTGAGGATCCTGCAATGACAGGTTACAAAACAGAAAAGCAGTGCAAATTTGTTTGCAGCTCAGCATGGACCTGTTGCTTCTGAATTTCAGTGAAATTACTGAAATCAAAGCATGGTCCCCAAAATTAATAAATGAATCCATGAGAGTTTTTCTATCAAGTATACAGACTGACACAATCTCACTTTTGCTTTCAGAATGCTGAAGGAAGATGCACTATTTAATGCATCCTCTCCAGGGAGGGTGCTCTCCCACCTACCCAGTACCACCCAAAGAGCTCAGTGAAGCAAACTGCAACACTACACTAAAAATCCAGACAAGAATTACTACAAACCTACAAGCTGTAACATAATTTTCTGAAGTTTTGCCAGTGAGAACATTTCGTAGGAGAAGTATTCTGCATTGAGAGAGATCAGTGTTAGCAGAGGAAAAATTTCTTCTACTTACTTGCTGAAGCTCCAGCCACGGCAGCACAGAGTAAAATGATGGCGAGCAACCCTGTGGCCATCGACATCACCTCCTCAGACCAGAAGTTAACAAAAACACATCAGTTCTGCTCTCAAAGGCACCTCTGAGCAAGGCACTGAAAGAAAATTTCCTTCACAAAGCAGGAGCTCACTATTTCAACTCCCCTCTTCTAGACAGAGGAGGGGCTCTGGCAGGGCAGCCTGCAGAGGGGAGGGAGAGGTTGTAGTAAGGGGGAGAGACAGACTCACACATAACCACTGATCCCATCCTCAACAGCATTGCAGCCTTTTTGCAAGAGAAGAGAAAGAGAAGTTAATCTATTAGAAATCACACAAAACTGCAAGGAAAAGAAATTAGGTTATATGGCATCATAACTGAGCAAATGATCAGAACAATCCCATGCAGTGATTTAAACTAAATAAATAAATGTAAAAGTCACCCCAGCAATCACTCCTTGATGATTAATCAACCAAAAAAGCACACAGGATGAAAGCCAGAGCTTTGGGACTAAAGGGAAGGTGTTTCCATTGGGAACAAGCAAATTCATGGGAGGCTCATCCCACCAAAGTGCCAAACCTCAAATGGGTGAAATTGTGTGTGAATAATCAGAGATTTCTTTGTGGAAAATTACTTGCTGAGTTTGCCATTTTTACTCTGCTAAGCTACTCAGTCTGGTACTCAATCTAATTTTTCATTTAAGAGTACAGCTTATCTGGGCATAGTACGTCCTCCATGTAAGCAGTCATTTAGTTCTTGGTCTACTATCAGCAAGAAGGATATAGGCAGGAAGGTTAATAGCTGGGCAGGAACATAAAAACATGATTAATTTATTGCCCAGTTTCCACAACAGTCTGACTTTTAACTGTTTATATTAAAAGATTTTTCAACATATTTCACAGAGCTATTGAAAAAACCCTTAAAAACATAAAATTTGCATCAAAGTCAGTAGGAACATCAACACTGAAATTAGAATTTCTGCTTTATCATGACATTAGTTGCAGTGCAGAGTGTAACTTAGGCATTCTAAAATAATCTAATTTTAATCTCAAGTTTTATCTTTGTAGCTTCCTATTGCTCAGGGAAGAACCTATTCTAATAATAATAAAAAAAAAAAAGAATAAAAATATCTTATGGTAGGACTATGAGCATGCCCAAGAATTTATAAATCTGAGCTTGCTTGAATCTTGACAATTTCATAAGCCCAAGAACAAAGAAATTAATGAACAAAACTCTAGGGCTTTTTTTGGTAAAAATATTTCAAACAGCTGTTTTCAGCAGAGCACAAATTTGGAGCAGTTTTTATTAAAATACCTAAATACAGAATTAAATTCCTGAATAGCAGCTGGGTCCTAAATGCACGCTGAAGTCAAACCTTTAAGATAAAATATCACATAAGTGTCCTTGGACACTTGGATCATGTGACATCCCTTATGTAGTGCTTGGCAAGTGCAGGATGGAGCCCAAGACCAAACATCTTGTAAATATTTTTTTCCTACCACACACCAGGTGAGCTTTTTCTAAAATATCAAAACACTACCCCCAAAACAGGCAGAAAAAGAACCTCCTGAAAAGAGATTTTCAGCATATTGCTGTCCTTGATAATCTTTAAAGATGGAAGAAAATCTGGCACACGTACTGCAAACGCACTGGTTTAATGGCACACAAGAGACCCACGCTGGCTGAAAGCCTCAGAAAAGTATTCATCCACTCTAATGGATACTGTACTCCACTTCGGAAAATGAATTTAATAAAAAGCACTATCTGTCACACAACAGGGTAAGCCTGTCTACGGACACTGAGAATTGTTCACCATTATTGCCAAGAAAGACTGAGCTTTAATAAACAGGCAAAGTCTGCTTTACATAGGCCCCACAAATAATATTAAATTAGTATTATCGCAACGCTGACGTTTAGCCCTAACAACCGAAGGCAGGAGGGCAGTGCCCTTGGCCAGGATCCCACTCCCACCTGTGTGCTCGCCGCACCTCCTGCTCCCTGCGGAGCCCTCCGCGTCCGGGAGCCCCGCCCGGTTACGGACCCGAATCGAGCCCGCGGAGCCTTCACAGCACCGGGCACCGCCTGGAGCCTGCGGCCGGGGGCCCCTCTGAGCACCGAGCGTGTCCCGGAGCGCCCCGCACAGCGCCGGGCAGCGCTCCGGGGACAGCGGCCCGAACATCCCCGGTCTCTGGAGAACACGCCGCGAAAGCGCTGCGAGGCACCGACGCTCTGCAGGGCGTTTTGCCAGCCGAAATGAAGCGGTGGAGGGGCCACCTGTCCTCCCCAGGGCTGTGGCAAGGCCGCTCCCCGGCGGGCCGTCCCCAGGCTCGGCCCCCGAGCGCCGAGGAGCAGCCGAGGAACCCAGGGCGGGCAGAGAGAAAGGGCCAGCGATGACTGCGGGGAAAGAGCGCGATGGGGCCGCACCTCCAGGGCCCTGTGCACTCCCGGGCCTCTCACAACAAGGACACCGAGCTGCTGCAGCATGACCAGAGACGCGCAGTGCAGCTCCTCACCAAGACACGAGCAACAGCTGAGGGAGCTGGGGGCCTCATTCTGGAGAAAAGGAGTCTCAGGAGGGACCTTCCCTTCCGTGAAACAGTGGTCAGGCATTGGAAGAGGCTGTGCAGGGAAGTGCTGCAGTCACCGTCCCTGGAAGCATTCAGAAAATATGTCCATGTGATGCTTAGGGACATGGCTGAAAGGTGGAGCTGGCAGGTTGATGGTTGGACTCGGTGATCTCAGAGGTCTTTTCCAACCTTAGCGATGCTACGATTCTGTTATCCTACGGTAAAAAAAATTCTTCAGCGCTCCTTCGTGAACAATAAAAGCATTTTATGAGGCATGTGCCTGAGGTAACTTCTGTACTAGTTACCAAGACTCAAAGCACTCAGATTAGCATCACCAGAAGGTACTTCAGAAGCTGTGGGGAGCAAGACATATAAATAGTTTTGGGTTTGTCTTTTTTCCCCCCTAATGCTTTTGTGAACCCCTTGCTGTCACATTCAGATGCACTGTGGCTTTAAGTCCTGGAGCAGTGTCATACACCCGGTTAATGCAATGGTCCTCGGGAGCTCATTGAAGCTGGTTTTCGGGGGTAATTTTTTTTTACACAGACAAAGCTGTAGCGTTAAGCAAAGCAGCCAAACACAAAAGGACTTTTAAAAAGCCGCCTACTCACTCTTGGTTTATTCTCAACTTGGGCACAGCTACTTTCAGCACCTCTAGACCACACAACTACCTATTCAGACATTACATTTTCAAGTTCTTAAACCACCCGCCCCCGCCAGAAAAAACCCCAACAAAAATCAATTTTAAGTGTTTATAAGAAGCACTTCCTTTGAAATCAGTAGGTTTCCCATGTACCTTTTAGTGTCCTAGGTGTTTAGGTGTGAAAAAGTACTAAGATGCTTATTGGCAAATTAATTTTTGTGCTGGATTCATACCCAGCATATCATACATGCGAGTATTCATCTCACAAAATAAATATTGAAAGTCATCCTAAAGAAAATAAATTAATCTCACATTGCAGGATCTTATGAAGCAAATAGGAACACACAAGTTAATTTCCTATAAAATGCAATCACCTGAACTACAAAAACTTTACACCTTTGCCACAGGACTTTCACTTCTTCATTTTTACTCTGAGGATGACATTAGTATATAGTCCATTATTGACCTCCTGCCGCTCAGATATTAATTATTAACTAGGTTTGACTAGACAAATAATTTCTTAAAAAAATCTCTTGTGGTTAGACTGCCAGAAGTGCTTCCACAAACAGAGCAACAAACAGCAGCTTCTTGAAACCGCTCTGAACTTGCTTAACAACTCCCTGTTGTAGGGCTATCAGTTGTATTTTATTTGTTTTAACAATTTTTATTTTGGATCCTCTTTGCATGACAAAACAAATTTTATTTCCTTCTGGCTCAAGCCTCATCAGAATTTGAACGTTGTGCAAGTTCTGCCTATTAAAAATAGAAGTCTAATGAAAATAACACTGTCAAAGTGTAACAGAAAGCAAAGTAATCCTAGAAAGATCATGAAGGTGCGTGTTGGGAAGGTTCGACCTGGTTCTGTAATGTGAAGCTGGAGGATTTCAGATGGCCTGTGCTTCTTCCTTGTGTGAAAACAGCTGAAGTCCATAAAGTCAGCATTGTTCCTTCTGTATCTTACCTTACCAAGGAAAAAATATTCATACAACACTCACTTACTACCAAAATAATCCAAAAGCTGCTTAATAAAAATAATACCAGTGCAATAAAACAAACTTGTTTGAGGTACTAACCTTGCCTTCCTGTGCTTTCTGCACCTCAAAAAACCCAACCAAACAAAAATTTATACACCAAAAGAAAGGAGGGTATTCACACATGATTAATAGGGATGCTTTCCTACTGCATACAGTGATATTTGATATATATTTCTGGTATGTGAATGTGCAGCCATATTTATATGTGTTTGTTTAGCTGCATTGCAAGTGAAAGTTTTAACAACAGTTTTAATTGAAAAAATATTTCTAGTACACAAGTTGTAGGAAAACAACACATTTTCAGTGTGGCTCTGTGGGGGACAGTTGGTCTGCAAGGCAGGCAATGCCATTTATCAGAGACTTGGCCCAGGTGATACTCTGAAAAATTTCTCCCTCCACTTAACATTTCAGCCATCCATGTGTTTGGAAACATTCCAAGTATTTTAATTTTCCAATTACAAGCACTAGATAGGAAAGACAAAGTTTTTATTTCAAATAGAGTCAGTCTTAACAACAAAGAGTAATTTCAACATAATCAAACACAAAGTGCTTTCACACAAAGGAAGTTACATCCTGCATTTGTTTGTCCAAGGTAGGTTTAATAAAGCAGGTTACTTTGGCACAGTCTGTACATCATTTCATACAGAAGAGAACAAACACAGGCTTTGCATTTAAGGAAACACAGCTATAGAAGGGGCAGCAGAAAGCCTTGCAGAATGCTGAATTAGAAGGAAGAGCTGCCAACATTGTGTGTCCTATTCTCAATCCATACAAGAAACTTAAAGAGAATCAACGGACTGTCCACATAAATCAAAACAAATTTTTTTTTTGGTATTTTGCATTCTGATTCCAACACCTCAGATTTTCCAACCATCACTTTGGAAAGAAAAGGGGAGCTAAAGGAATAACAACTGAAGACTTACCAAAAGAATATATGGCAGGATTACACAGACCAGACTGACAGGGTACTAAAAGAATTAAAAATCATCCCCAGCATGCAAGCAAATCCCAAGTTTGGAAACACTGTGTTCTTCATTGCTTCTTTCTGTCTTGCTCTGACAATAAAATGACAAGAAGCACATTTTCTGTGACTCCCAGTGGGGAATTCTCCTTCCCAGTAAGGCACAAGACTTGCTTGTGTCACCAGAACAGAAAGTTCAATGCAGCATCACCCAAGCTCTTCAAGAACAGGGAGAGCAGTATGGTGGAGCAGACAAAAGCACTTGTTGGTACCATGTCATCAAGATGGACAGATCCAAAACCATCAGCTTTTTATCTCCATCATCCTCCTGCCAGTGAGTAGCTGCTGATGTACATTCTTACATGAGGAGACCAGAAACCTTCTCCAAATACACAAGCTCTTAAATCATTTGCAGACTGATTCACAAGCAACAGCAGTTTACAAAACCTAATTAAGACAAGGCCTAGAGATTGTACGTGATCTACAAAATTACTGGATTTCAAACATAAAGGATTGAAAGACTTTTGAAAAACTAACTTACACCAAATATTTACAGAAGGCACATTTGGTAAGAACAGCAAATGCAGTATTTTTTATTTCTATTTATTTTATTTTTATTTCTTTTTATTTGTATTTATTTTTACTTTTACAGATATTAATACAGTGTTACTAACATAGCGTTTTTTAAACACCTGTCTGCCTTTTCTGGAGAGGTGTCATTTAGGTTGCACATTAGGAAGACCTTTACAGAAAGGGTGATCAGACATTGGAATGGCCTGCCCAGGGAGATGGTGGAGTTGCTGTCCCTGGAGGTATTTAAGAAAAGATTGGGTGTGGTATTCAGCACCATGGTCTGGTTGATAAGGTGGCATTAGGACACAGGTTGGACATGATGATCTCAAAGGCCTTTTCCAACCCAGCTGATTTTGTGATTCGGATTCTGTGATACACATCAAAATGTTGTTTGATCAAGTTGCTTATGACACAGAAATTACTTTAACCTTCAGAGATTCATTCCCTAATTTTTTGTGATTATCATCTTAAGCATATCCATCTTAAGTTTATAAAAGCAGAATTCATCTTTAATTTAATTTAGAATAATCAGAGAAACTCCTTAACAAACATTTTACCTTCGTAATAAAGAAACAATAATTAATGAGCAGGTCAACAACTAAAAGCCCAGGTGTTTTATTTATGTGTCTCAGGTGGAATTCAAGCCTTAAGATAAGGCCGAGGCTTGTTTATGATCGATCAGCTGACCTACGTAAAATGTACAAGGAAGTTTTCCAATGATCAAACCAAGGCTCTCCAGGCATTTCCACTGGGGTGAAGAAAACACTTCACAGACTTTCAATCAGCAGTAAGAAAGCCTCCAGCCTAAAAACCACTGAACAAATAGCTTCTATATGAACATCTTTACTTCAGATTAGAGACATGACTAGACCTGAAACTGGCAATAAAATTCATATACTAGATTCAATCATTATTTTTGCACAACGACCCGAGTTGTCAATTTGCAAAAGCTACTTCAAAGAAGGAAGAAGCCTTTAGTTTGGTTATCTTCCACCTACAGAAGTTTTAAAATGAATTCTAGTGCTCATGAAAAGATGACAACAAACAATTTCTTTTTTCAAAGAGGAGCACCTGTCTCTGAGGCAACTCCCTGCAAGTTCATAAACAGCGCTGCTGCCAAAGCATGAGCTTAAATAGTTCTCCATACACATCCTCCTCTTGTTCTGTGCTGAGACTTTACAGTTTCAATGCAAGCACAATGTGCAACATTCCTGAGACAAGATTAACTGAACAACACCAACCTGTTCTGCATAAAGCAAAAAGGGAAACACTCCATTGCTCTCCACCGGTGCTGGATCTGAGTGGCCCATACAGATGAGGTATGCTTTTTACATACCTAAGTGAGACTCCTCTCAAGCAAATGCATATTCAAACCATCTAGCAATAAACATTACTTTTTATTGGTTTCCAGTGAAAGGATGCACAGAAAAAACAAGAAGTCTCCATGAAGCTTCAGAGAGGGCTTGTAGAGGTGCTAAACAACTTCACTCATCAATGTTTAAACACTGCCTATAAACGTTTGTAAGAACCAATAAGAGCATTGCATTTTGGACAGGTGTGATCCACATCCTTTAGGGCATCAATGCAGAAGGGAATTAAGCAGCAGCCTGCTATACACCTGCGAAGGCAAAAAAAAAGGGAAAAATACTGCTTTACCACTTTTTATACACACAAGAAGGTAAAATGTATTTTGTCTAAAAGCCATCAGTAAAACTGGTGCCATAAGCTTTAGGAAGAACACACATGGCTATGGAGTCCATTACCATCATGTTCCAGAACTGCTTTAAGGTCCTGCAGGACACAGATGCAGATGTAGGCTATTTGAACCACGAAGGCTCAGGTCCCACATAGAGAAAGCAAAGCTCAGAGCTCCCTTAAACTTTAGAACTAAAAAAAGTCAAGGTAAAAGTACAAATTGAAGTTGACCTACCCCAGCAGGCAGAGGCCACCACACGACAGCCAGGTCAAAGCTCCTGAGTCATACGAGAGACGTGTCACTATCACCTGGTTACAGGACGGGCAGCACATCTGAACCGGGCGGTCATAAAACACTACTGGCTGCTGCACATACACCGTCTGAACAGTAACTGAGCAGAGAAACGGCTGTTTACTCCATGAGGAACAGGAAAAAAGAATAGCAATCAACTTCCTCTAAACCAGGCATAACTGAAATACTTAGGGCTCAGAGCAATGAATACAATACATAGTACACAGAGACAGAGAGAAATCACCATGGCATTTCCTAATGCAGAAATACACTGTCTTTATAAAATAAAGCTGCACTAAAAACTGCAGAAAGCCAAATTATGTTATTGATATCAGGGCACACTGAGGGATTCACAAGAATTGATTCACCTTATTCTCTTCAAAAGTATTATTTGGCAAGTGGTGAACACCTGTGAACCAGGATTTTTCATCTTCTGACAGCAACTATTACACAGCCACTTGACACCACCTGAACATGAGGTACAGAAGAGTTTTGGAGGCTTACTGGGGTTATTTGCTGATGGAGGCTGTCCCATGTGTGGGGGAGGGTTCATTCCCTTCCCATCTGGCTTCTGTCCAGGGCCAGGGACGGGATAGGGGTGAGGATAGTTCATATTGATGCCTACAGCTTCCTCATAAGAAGGTGGTGCAGATGGGGCAGGGTTGCCACCTGGAGCAGACATTATATCTGAAACATAAAAGAGAGAGAATCATAACAGAAGGCATTATTTATTAAGGGCAATTGACAAATTAATTAGGCTCAACTCAACAGTAAGAAGATAATTAGATTAAAAGGGACTTTAACCAGCGTAAAATTAATTGGCTGGTATTTGCTTCTGATAGTTTTAAATATTAATCTTTATTTCACTGTTGTTGTTGCCTACTTCCCATTTCCTTTTCACTATGAATTTCTTGCACTTTGTCACAACACCAATTCTAAAGCAGGGAGGTGAGGTATCTTTATCAGTATACTAAACTATCTGGCAGTCTCCTATTCTCCAAGAACACTATTTCTAATCTCTCGTGTTCACCTGAAAAACTGAACAGCATGATAGGCCACATGGTAGTTGCTAACCAACATGAGCCTGGTTTGTGGTGAAGCTTAAAAAATTTAAAAATACTATTTACCTCTGCTGTAATTTGAAATAAAAAGTATTTATATTGAAGGAATAAGAAACCCAAACAATTAAGCATGTCCAACTGAACTCAAAGCATTTACAACTATCAAATGTGTATAAACTTGCCATTTTTGCTTCTTAGCACTGTTTTAATGAGTTGTAGCACAACTTTTCCTCCCCCATTGTTATTTTGTTGTAGAGGATAGGACCCATGCTGACCACTGCCAAGAAAGGACCAGAGTTTCAATGCAGACTTCCTCTCCTCCTCCCCAGCTATCCACTTCCTATAGTCTGCCCACCATTTTCTTCCTGGAACAAGGTCCTGTGGCATCAATGCTGACCAAGCATCTCCCTTTTCCCCTGTCTCCTAAGGACCAACCAGATAGCTCTCCAAGAGCCACACTCCATTCTGCTGTCACACATATGATCCCTCTGTACACATGCAAGTCTTTGCACTCAGTACTATCTGGGAAAGGCAACCTCTATTTGGAATATTAGTTCTATGGTGCTATGAATGTTATACAGGAGCTCCAATTACCCATAGCACTACCATGAATAAAAAGAAGGGAAATTGCACTGATGCAATTTTCCTGTACAAAAGATAACATGCAAAGAGAAAGAATTTCAGGTGTAAGTATCTGTTTAAGGTGTCACTCCATCCACACTAAGCTCGGGTGAGACCCAGCACACAAGTTTCCAACAATGACAGAAGCCTTTCTGTTCACCCGGAGCATGGAAAAGTCCCTGGAATGCTGCTGATTATCCTCCTCACACAACACAGCTTTCATCAGGATTTCAGTGAAGTCTATAAACACTTCCATAAAGAAATTGTCACAAGTCTGTCACTCTTCCAGGTTACACAGGACTAATCAGCTGCACTGGAGGCATGGGGATACACCAGCAAACAGCAATGTTTATGTATTTCAGGAGTTCCACATTCTTCCCAGCAGATTTAGAAGAAATGTGGAAAGATGTATTTACAAAGGGAATTGTGTAGGCAGTAAGTGTGGGTTTTATAGCAGCACCATGGCCAGGACAAACACAGGAGCTGGTACGAAGAACAGACGTGGCTACAGGGGCTGGAGCAGTAATTGTGATAAGCCTGGGACAAACACTGCCCCTTCCCACCTTTCCCATACTCACACTGCAGCTTTGGCAGAATGAAGAGGGAACAAGAGAGTATTCAAAGATGTTGAAAGTCAGTAAGTTTTTGTAGTAGCAACTATTTCACAGCTATACTTTTAAAAAACACTGGTCTTCTGTTTTCTTTAGAAAAGAGAAGTTTTCTCCTTGTGACTAAACTACATAGCTGAATCATGACCTACCAGCCCCACTCAGTGTGCTGGTTTTGGCTGAGGGTGCACAAGAAACCAAGAGGGGACACTGCCAGAACAGCTGACCCCAGCTGACCAAAGGGATATTCCAGGCCATAAAGCCTCATGCTCAGCAATAAAACCAGGAAGAAGGCTGTTGAGAGGGAAATACTGCTCAGGGACTGGCTGGGCATTGGTTAGTTGGTGGTGAGCAATTGTTCTCATTTGCTTTACTTGCTGGTTTGTATTTCCCTCTGTTATTTTCCTTTTCATTACAGCTATTATTATTTTTATTACTATTTTATTTAAATTATTAAACAGTTCTTATCTCAACCCATGAGGTTTCTCAGATGCTTCCAGTTTCTTCAGGGGGGCAGTGAGTGAGCAGCTGTGTGCTGCCAGGTGGGGTTAAGCATACAGTTACTTCTGCTGCTCAGCTCTGCTTCACTGACAAGCAAGTTCTAAGAAATTGAACAACACCCTTTCACAGAATTCAAAATGATCATAACTTCCAGCATGAGCACTTCTAGTCTTAATATTTACTTATTTTTTAATTACATTGCATGTTCATTTCTTACCACCAAGTGGTTTTGAATAACCATTTCAATTTAAAAATAACCATTTCAATTTAAATATGATCACTGTGCTTTTTCTGCACTTTCACTTTTTTTTTCTCTTCCTGTAGACAAAAGTGAGCAGGTCTCAGATCCTCACAGCACTTTGTGGCATCCCTTTTCTTTTTTTAAAGTCTAAAAACTGTAGCATAAATAACATGTACAAAGTACTACAGTGAATGGTAAAAAACTAAAACCATGTATGAATTCCTTCAAGTTATCTATCAAAACAAAAATTCCTAATAAACATCAAGATGACAGCAGGACTACAAAAAAGCCTCTTCAAAATACTGAGTTGCAGATATAACCACAACTTCAGTGTTTCAATTTCTGTTTTCTAATCACGCTTCTGCTTTATATGTCAGCTTTGAAAAGATATTTGAACCATCACTTCGTACAGCCAGTGCAAATGTGGAAGTGTGCTTCATGCTCCAAGTCTTGAAAATTAGGCTGGGGACAAGGGAAAAAGAAGGTAATAGCCCATCTCTCTGCTTGGTATGTAAAAACCCAACCAACCAAAACCCCATCCAGTCAAGAACTGCTTACAATTACAGCTATCCTAACCTAGTTTGGCCAAACAAATCTGTTGTTGCTCTTCCCTTAGTCTCTTCCTTAAATTTGACACAGCTTAATCCCTAAATTAAACAATTGCTACGCAGTCCTCTTCACTAGAAATCCTACGTTGTCCTCCAACACCAAGGGGCGGTTTAGAGGGCTCCCTACAGATCAGAGTCTAAAATAGCTACTGGTCAGCAAAACCGAGAATGAAATACATGTTGAAGGCTTATCTTTTTTTTAACAACCCAGCAGGATATACAGGTTTATCAAAGCACTCAGATTTTTGCAGCGCAAAGCCCTAACACAGCACCTTCTTGGACCACCAACTTCGTCTGAACTCTGAACAACCAACCAGGTTTACCAACCTGCTGAGAAATATTATCTCAAAGTTGTTTAAATTTCTCAGGCATTTGTGAGAGAATAAAATCCAGCAATCACAACAAAAAAAGACTCTGACGTATCATTATTTCAGAAGAACCAATGGCATTGAGGTCACACTGAATTCTACACACTGGCAAAGTAGATACAGTACCGCACAGTGTGTTCTACCTGAAGGAAAGATTTCAGAGGTTCGTGTGTTACTTTTACCAAGTAATCAGTAGTTTCGGAATGATCCTGTGAGCGGCTTCCTGTGAGTAACCCGCTCCTCGAGGCAGGGCAGGGCCGGTCCGAGGGGAGTATTCCCTAAGGAAAGGGCCACCTTTCGCCTGCCACACCGGGAAAGCGAAACTCCGGCCTCGCTCGGTCCCCGCCCGCACCGCCCAGGGCAGGAGCCGTGGCCCACGGCGTGTCCCGGACCGTCCCGGGAGCGGCCTGCGACTGCGGCGCTCGGGACACCGCCGGCCCGGGAAGCGCCAGCCTGCCCGCGGTGCCCCGGGGGGCTCCTGCGGGGCGGGACCAGCCCCGAAGCCGCGGCTTCTCCCGCTCCCCGCAGCCGGGCCGGAGCTCTAGGAGCGGCCTGGGGAGGACAGCGCTCAGGCCCGGGAGCGGCCCCGGCTGAGGAGCAAAATCCCCCCCGCGCCCCGCTCTGCCCTGCCCGCTGCACCACCAGGCTCCGGGCACAGCCCTTACCGTGCCGAGCCGTGCCCGCCTCGCCGCTCCGCTCCTCTCCGCTCGCCGGGGTGCAGCCACCGTCAGCAGGGCTTGTCCCGTCCCGTCCCCACCCGCGTTTCCTCCTCCCCTTCCCGCTAGAGCCGCCAGCAGGCGCCGGGGGCCGCTCGCCCTGGCCGGGCCCTGCCCCGGGAGCCGCCCCGGCCGCTCTCCCGGACCCACGGCAGCGACGGGACGGACGGGAGCTGTGGAAGTGCAGGCACTCGTGACGGCTTTCGCAGTCACAGCGATCGAGAACTCCGCGGTTTTCGCCAAGAGCTCACTCAGATTAAACCAGTAATCTTCAACTTCCCCGTCAGCAGCGCAGCCAAGCACCACGGTCTGTAACACTGCCGGGAAATCACTTCTCTAGTTCTACAATACCCCTTGCGTTACCACATCAGGTATTTCAGACAACATACGAGAACACATATAATGATCAACAAAACTTTCAAGTTCAAGATACGGTGATTTTAGGTAGTGTCTTTACAAGCAATTGAATTGGATTCAGTCTTTGAAAACACAAGAGTATGTAATTCCTTCTATCCAGCTCCAAGATAACATAAAAGTAAATTATGTTCAGATCCCTAAACGGGCTTCAAAAGGGACTGCCTCACACTCTGGTTTGTGTGAATCTACCTTAGACTGAATGGACTTGATAACCCCTGCGGGTTATCAGCAGGGACAGTTCATAAGTCCTTTTGGCTGAAAGCATCTAAAACACGTCAAAGTCCTGTTTTTGTATTTAAATCTTTTCTTGAACCTTGCCCTAAAGAATACACATAAAGCTTCAATAGAAATCCATCCTGGAGCAAGGAGTCAGTTTATAGGATGAAAGGAGCTCTTACCCAAGGTGATGATAAACCCAACATGAAGCTCTGCAGTCACAGTAATCTACTGAATTACCTGCAAGTATGGGTGCTTGGGGATGTAATCAGATGTTGAGAGTATTGAGGTCATGAATACACCAGTCCCCCAGTTTGGGGGGAACAGAGAAAGGAATGTGGAGTGTGATTCATCTGCACTGAGATTAGAACTAGACTTAGAGGTGAATAAATTTACACCATTATCAATAAATCACATTATATATTATTTTTCTCAGGAGTAGAACATGAGTATTTTGGGCTTTGGTGGCCTGGATTAACTAAAATCGGAATAATTGCTCTCTTACTAACTAAATTCCCTTCCCCAGGTGGCTATGAGCAGCTTAGGAGCCACAGAAGAGAGAAGCCATGACAGAACACATGTCCCAGGGTGAAATTAGGCACGACCTTCAACTGAAAGCCTTCTTACCCCAGCTGCCATGCTCTCTCACATGTTGTGCTTTGCATCTAGTCTAGGCTGGCACATGCTGCTCCTTGGAGACCCCAGTAGCATTTCTCCTTTTTTACCCTACTGCTGTTTCCACGAAATCTCCAAATAGGCTGTTGGCATCCATTTACTGGTACGTGAGTGTATTTCCTCTCACTATCCATCCTCCTTCTCATCCTGCTCACCATTTGCTAATTCTGCCTTTCCAGTCCTTTTGCTGGATGGTACTGGTCGAAAGCAGCATCATCTTTAGCCAGTCTGTGGCTGGGCATGTCACCATAGCAGCTGAGAGTGTATGGAAAATTACACAGAAGTCACAATTAATGGAATGTTGCGTAGTGGTCAGTGAAACAAATCATCCCAATCCAGTTGCTGGGCTCTGTTTCCTAAAGTAACAACAAATTGTAACACTTTCCTGAGGAATATGTATATCCTTTCTTATAAATACTTGTTCCACCCTGAGCCAAGTGTGCAACTTAGGCAGAGTTATCCTGCCCATCAGGCACCACAAAAAGTAATGCCCTGCTTCTTAATACTACATTTGTGTTAAGGAGTTTTATTCCTGATTCTCAGTGACAAGCTTGTGGGAAATTGTCAGGTTTGCTATGGAGAATTGATGAGGCTGGTTGAGCAAGGACATGGGTTGAGGTGCTTGTTTATATTACACCTGACTTGAGTGAAACTTAATCACTGCATGGTGTCTGGGGTAATGTGTAGGGCTCCCAGCCCAGTGTCTCAGCAAAGTAGAGAGTGTGCTCACACACTGGTATGGAGACAGGGCCTCAGCACCCTTATCCACACACAGCAAGCCTTGTTAGAAGTAGAAATCTGGCCCTGTGAGATGTGTGGCCAGAAGGCTGAGGAAGAGGATTCTGTGTCTCTGCTCCACTCTCATGAAAGTCCACCTGCAGGGCTGAATCCAGGTCAGTGGCCTCCAATGTAACAAGGGCATGGAGCTGCTGAAGCAAGTCCAGAAATAGCCATGAAGATGTGCCAAAGGCTGCAGCACCTCTGCTATGCAGACAGACTGGCAGAGCTGGAGTTGTTCAGCCTGGAGAAGAGAAGGCTCCAGAATGACCTTACTGTTCCCTTCAGTACTTGAAAGGGGCCTATAAGAAAATTGGAGACAAACTTGAGCAGGGCCTGTTGCAGCAGGAAAAGATATGATGGTTTTAGTCTGAAGGAGGGGTTGATTTAGATATAAAAAGGAGGCTTTTGCTTTGTTTTTACTGTGTGGGTGATAAGCCATTGTCACAGTTTGCCCAGAGAGGTGGTGGATGCCCCTGGAAACATTGAAGGCAAGGTTGGACAGGGCTCTGAGCATTGCAGGGGCCTTGGACTTAAATGATATTTAAGGGTCCTTTCCAACTCACACTGTTCTGTGATTCTGTGAGGATGATGTGCAGTTGTAAAATGTTGACGGGAGTAAAGATGATCAAGCAAAGCTCAGATTTCCTTTACTGCTGCTTCAGCTGAGTGGAGGAGGAAGCAATGCTGAAGTATCATGGTTCTGTTCTCCCTTTGATTCAACCAATAATCCTAACTCAGCCTGACCAAAGGTAACTGAAACCCTCATTATCTCTTATTTATATATGAAGCATACACCAACATGCAAGTGAGAAAGTGCCTTCTTCCCCACTATCTAAGATGGAAGCAACAGGTAACCAATTATATTTGACTGTAGTCTCACCTCCATTTATCTGAAATTATAAAATTTATATTTGGAATCCTCCATGTAGAGGATGAGAATATGACCCCATTTCACAGACAAGTGGATGGATTTGCTCCTCTCTCCTCCCCAAAGGAGAGATGCCTCTTTAGTAAGTTTTGTGTCTCTGTGTCAGACCATATCTGGGTGAAACTAAGCTTAATTAACTGTGAAGTTAAGTGTAATGAAAAACTGATTTTTTAATTTAGCTTGAAGCTAATTTAGGTTGATTAACCATTGGCTGGTGCTAATGCAGTAACAGCATTTATCAACAGCAATTGCATATCTGTATTCCTTCTGCTTCATTAAGTAACACTGTTTGTGAATTTGTGATTGTGGATGTTCTTACTAAACACTAAAAGTGTCAGGAATTAAGGCCAGCTGCATTCAGCCCCTCCGATCTCCAACACAAGTGAGGTTATTTTTGTGCCAAACTACCTAGTCTGGAACAGAGCTGCAGCCCAACCTGGGTTAGGCCCCAGGAAATGCACAGAGCTTCCCCGAAGCTGCTGCCTGCTTGTTGGCACCCACAGAAATTCTCTTCCTGCAGCAGCCCAGGTGACTGGGTGGGGACACAGCCAGTGCCAGCTCAAGGCGTGCATGAGGAAATGTGGCGAGAAACTGACACAGCTCTTTATCCTCCTCCCTTCCCAAGGAGCTGTGCACCTGAAGATTATAAACATAACTCGTTTTTAAAAAACCATAAGAAGGAAGTTTCAGAGGCCTGACATACAAACCCAGCAGGATGTACCCACCAGAGCTCTGCTCTGTCCCCAGTCCCGTGGCACGGTGTGATCAGCAGCCCTACCTGCTCTAGTCACTGTTCACCTCCTCTCTGCTTCACTGAGTCATCACCAGGGCTGCTAACAGCGCTGTGGAAAAGTACACCGAATATAGTGGATGGTTTGTCATCACACTGATTGCTATTGCAGAACACCAGCAGATGTCAGTTTAGCCCCAAAAATAATTGCATGTTGTATTTTTACTAGCCTTTGCTTTTACAGCAGTAGGCTTCTGTAAAAGAAGCTAAATGAAGTTCAAAAGTTGATGTACATTTAAAAGCCTGTTAGCCATATTTTAATATACTGTAATATGTTCTCAATAACGTGTAAAATAAGTAAATCCTTAATCTCAAATTTCTCCTGCCTGGAAATCACAGGACTTGCACACATACAAATAAATCTTTTTTTATGTACGTATGTCATTTTACATATACTGATTTGTTGAAGTTAGATAAGAATTTCTATGACTTTTGATCATTTCAGCAATACTGGATCCTTATGGAGTTGTACTAGAATGCAGTTTCAGACCAATAATCAATGTACAAAGACAGATTTAAAGAGAAGCAAACTAGATACATTAAACCAAATAATCTGAAAGAATATTTGTTTTTGTCTTCACTGATGCAATGGCTGATTCAAGTTGCTAAGCAAACAGAACAAAAACTCCAATACAATTTCAACACTTATTATAATGATATAAGTGTTGAAGTTCCCATGAGAAGCCTCAAAGGTGACGACAAGATCTCACACTTCAGTGTAAATGTACGTTCACATTGCTGAGG